CCATTCCAGTCATTATTATGAGCCGTCCTCCCCTCAGCAGTCTCCTGTGTCTCACATGTACTGTATGTCCCAGGCACACACATAAACAGGGCTTGAGCACAAACATATTTTGTTTCATTGTCAGGGAATGGGAGACTCAGTGTACGGCACACAACATCACAACTGTATGATAAAGGCACATTATCAGTCTCCGTATTGGACCCAGTGGCACTTGAAAGGCTCTGTTGTGCCAAAAGCCAGAGAGGCAAAGTTTGTTTTTGTTTCCTAAACATGTTTTTTTTAAACTGTGTTGTCCCACAATATTGTTCATCTGATGTTCCTCGGCGTCTTGAAGCCCTCTCTCCTCTAGTAATGAGCAAATGAGCTCAGGCTGCAAATGAGCTATAGCAGTCCTTCCCAAGTTAATTGTTTCATGATGCAAATGACTTGTAAATACACCCAACTACTTACTGTTTACAGGGAGAATAAACTGTCAAATTCGGCTTTATACTTTACAATATGGCCAGGATGGTGCTTGTGTTTTTTTTTTTTTGTCTGTTCCCCTATTTATGCTGTTGGGTGGGGGTCTATTTGTGCTGATTCATCTATCAGTGTTTGTGTGTGTGTAACAGCTTGTGTGATGATAAGTCCTGGGAGAACACACTCCCCTCACCACAAATCTAGGAGTTCCAGCAAAGAGCACCTAACACAAACACACACACTCACACATGATATCCCACCCCAATGTTTATCTTCAGCCCAGGACGTTCTGTATGGTGAGAGAAGGAGTGAAGTTACGGACAAGGAGGGTGTGTAGCTCGCAGGTATACCCACAGGGCAAACACACTGACCCCATGTAGTCCCCTGTAGCTCAGTTGGTAGAGCATGGCGCTTGCAACGCCAGGGTTGTGGGTTCGTTTCCCACGGGGGGCCAGTATGAAAATGTATGCACTCACTAACTGTAAGAGCGACTGCTAAATGACTAAAATGTCAAATGTAATGTTCAAATACACATCCACTGAAACCACAAAAATGTTTTCAACATAAGGAGCAGAGTGGTAGGCCATGTAGTGTGTCTAATGCTGTTTTTGGTTTCTTTTTGTGTGCAGACTATAGGAACTTGATCTCCTTGTCAACATTATCTCACTCCACAATTACGTTTACTGTTACAACAGCACATACCAGACAAGTTTCTCATGAAAGAGCAGAGTCAGTAACTCCCGACAAACAGATGTGTGTGTGTCTGATGGGTATGTCACCCCTTGCCTTGTTTTGCTGTTCTTGATTCTTGACTGGGGTGTGGAGAGGAAACGATCCCATATTGCAACACAAACACACCTAGTGACGTTACGTCTGATACCGGAGTTCCGAGGAATGCTTCGAACTGGCTAAACTGTGTCGACTACTGCGAAGCAGTGTGTCGATGCCGGTATCACTTTATCAGAAGCACGTGATCAATGACGTCCGAAGCTTAGTTTTGTCGAACAACCATCTGATTGGTTTGGTATTGGTTTCCGTAGAAGACAAAAAAACAAGCTCCGGCATGTAGGACGTCATCTATAATAATTTGGCTTCTCTAAATTATTTTGACCAGCGTGTGCCACTAGCATACACTATGTTGACCAAAGCCTCGAGAATATAACCTATTTTCGACACAATTAGCTGGATAGCCTCAATGCTTCAGGAAGCTGTCTGTGGTGGACAAATAAATATGTGATATTCTCACAGAATAAACACACATATTTTATCACAAGCCTGTCAGCATTATGTTAATTACTCATTTAGACACATTCATTAATTAAGTTCATGGTATGGCTCGATAACCCACCCCCATAGACTGTCAGTTGGTGGATGACGAATGAATGTGCAATATACTCACCCCATGATGCTAGCCTAAGGCCAACCCTTTGTGAGACACGCGCGCCAGGGCTTCTCCGGTAGCCAATCACAGTACATTCTTTTCCCCGTGACGTCGAGAAAGCCACTAGAGGGTGGAGCGAGAGAAAGAAAGAGAAGGCATATCCTCGGTCAGTGAAAAGAGTGAGAAATACATTTTGGAGACAGGATTTGTTTCAAAAACGACTGCTCAACCAGACCATACATCTGTGTGATTCCGATCAAATTGTGCAGGTGAGAATCGAGATTTGAAACGGTGGGTTGTCGTGGTGTATGGTTGAAGACAGAAAAGGGACACCGACAATTGGATCAACATCAACGTAATATGGAATTTCGTAAGGATTTTTTTTTTATCGAATCAATTAACTTTATAAATGTGTGTATTGTGGAGGAGAGGGCCTATTTTATCATTGGTCGTTATCCTCTGTGCCTGGTAAACAAGGTCTAGCGAGCTAAAGTTGTCACCACCTCTTCACAAAAAATATCACAAGCCTTCGAACGTGATCAGTCTAGCTGGGCCAGGGGGGGAATAAGACCTGGGGGGTCGCTACAGTAGTAATCGAACGTTGTGATATCGGTTTTCTAGATTTGTTTTAAAAGTGTAAACTAGCGATATAATTTAAGCAAATGTTTCGTAGTTGTGCTTTGTCTAAAAATCGTTTACAATAATACGTTAACAGCTAGCTACCTAGCTAATTGCAATTACTAACCAAATTGATCGAATGAGTTGACTGGTTGATTTTAAATGAGTTCCATGTTACATTTGAACGACAAATAAATGTTACGTTGAACACGACATTGAGTTTGGACGTTCTTTGTCTGGTTGCCTTGCTGATTAACGTTACCTTGCTAACAACATTATCTGCAAATAATCATTATAGGTCACTAGTAACGTTATGGGAGCTATCAAACGACGTCCAACAACAGGAAGAGATGATAGCAGAGAAAGAAAGAACAAGGGTCAAAACGCGGCTGATTTGATATCTAGCTAGCTACTTCACTAATCTAGTAACAATACATTGTGTGCGACAAAGATGGCTAGCTAGCACCATATTGCTTTTGGTCTCGGCAATGTTGCTTGTCAAGCTAGCTACCTGTTGTCTGATAGCACTTTTTAGCTGTACTGTAGCATGACTCGGTGATTTTGGGCCACATCAATGTATTTCAGTGTGTCCTTTTGGTAGTTGTTTGTTTCCTTAAGAGGTTGTTGGTTAATGTCACTGACCATGATATGACTCATTGGATAGCGTAGCCTGATAAAAATGTACAGATACTGCGTTTTGCCAGCTGGTGAACATCATGGAAGTGTTCCATGACGGTCGACCAAAATGAACAAGGCACTGCTCAGATTCAATTATCTGTAGGAGACCTTACTTGTTAGTTGTATTAGCTACATTTGAGGTAAAGCTAGGCAAATCTGTGCAGCCTTGGTTAGGTCTATCCTCGTGAGTAAAAAGCACATTGTGCCAAGCCAAGGGGTGTGATGAACTGTATGGTGGGCCCCGTGTAGCTCAGTTGGTAGAGCATGGCGCTTGCAACGCCATGGTTGTGGGTTCGTTTCCCACGGGGGGACAGTATGAAAAAAATATATGCACTCACTAACTGTAAGTCGCTCTGGATAAGAGCGTCTGCTAAATGACTAAAATACAAACTACAGACAGATTCATGCGTGTTTTGTTTCTGGCTGATTGCATTAATATGTTTGGTTCTGGCTGATTGCATTAATTGGTTGAAACAAATTAGCCTAGCTGGTGTTTGATTTAAAATATATAGTCGCTATTGGCTCTGAAGTGATCCACGCACGTGAAGGACTTTGATTGACATGTGGCCTCACTGACATTCTGTCGGAGAGCAGCAGGGTCTGACTGGCAGTAGAGCAAAATACTTACTACCTTTTGTCAGTTCAGTCAAAATAATGATGGCTTGCAAATGCTATTTATTTCTCTGTGAATAAGATGCGTGAGAGCGTTCGTGTTCCATGCATGCCCAGGTGGCAAATATAGATTGTCGAGCAGGTCACGATCATCCTATAGCTCGTGACATTCGAACATTTCCTCCAGTCAACGTCAACAATTTTGGTGCTTGCAAAGGACTTTGCTGTGCAGACACGTGATAAGGTGGAAGAGGCTTTTCTAAGGAAACCCTTGCGTGGTAGGCCACCTTGGTGAGGGGTTGGAGACTACAGTATACACTTGTGGTTAAGTGCAAAGGCCTGTCAGGCATATTGTTTGTCGATCGCAGGGCCATAATAACGCTGACCTCAGGACGTTCTGAGTAGGCTGCTGTGGCCCCTTCCAATAGCATTTGACATGTTTGGGTATGACTACAATGGGATAAGCTCCTCGAGGGACAGGAGGTGTCAAGTGCCACCTGTTTAATTAATTTTGTTGTGAGAGATATCATAGAACTTTAATCTAATATTCCATTTGGTTTAATCAGTTTATTTCCCTGCAAAGTGTTGAAGCCTATTTAGTCTTGGGGAAGTCACCTGTTGTTTGTTACCTTGAGTGTCCTGGCGCATTCTGTTGATGTGCTCAGCTCCTGCCAAGGAGAACAAGTCTCAATTGTTCTTCTCACCATTTGTTCTCCTGTTTTCTTGTGCACAAAGAGGAATTTCAACAACAGTTTCTACATACATTTTTTGACTTCTAAATTAATGATATGTACCCATTGATTCTTGAAGACTTATAAATGCCTCATGAGATTAGTTCAACTGTCGTACTCCATCAGAACCCAAAGTATAACCTATGCATGTTTTATTCCAATGTTTGTAAACAAACACTGTATAGCCTCAACATGATTAAAACTAATTTTGATATCATGGATGGACAGACCTTGTATCCATAGCTCTGTCTTTGAATTTGAGTGATTACATTTCTCCAACTGCTTATTGCCCCTTTGATAGTATAATCCTTGCCTCGGGGGATGTCTTTTAGAATTTTTCCCTGTTTCTTTGCGAGTCTTAATGTTCCTTCCTGGTATGTTATTTTCACATATGTGCCCAACCACCACACTGACATTTAGTCACCTAGGTTTCACACACGCTGTCCCGTATGCACACATACAGACACGCTGTCACATTCCCCCACACTAACAAGATGCCTTGCTCCCATTTGTCAGCAGCGATGGCCCAAGAGACTAACCCGAGCCTGACGCCTGTGCTTTGTGCCACTGGCTGTGGTTTCTATGGAAACCCCAGGAACAACGGCATGTGCTCGGTCTGCTACAAGGAGCACCTGAACCGTCAGCAGAGTAGTGACCACGGCTTGAGCCAACTTAGCCCAATAGGTAAGTTCCTCCTCACCCTGTTTCTTACTCACAACACAAATCTACTCCAAACATCTACTCCGCTATATGTTGTCTGCTAAAATTAGCATACACGTTATGGGCCAGCTGCACTGTTGAGAGGAAACTGTTGAACCAAAAAGTATCTTCTCCCATCTGAGGTTGATGTTTTACTTTTGCTGTATCACATGAACAGTTGGTAGTCCTACCCCTGATGCCTCAGCCATCCAGCGACTAGAGGCCAGTCTAGCCAAAGTAGACCCTTCATCTGGCTCTGCTGCAGACATGGCTGGGTAAGGTGTGTGTGTCCGCATGTGATACAATGGATGTGTTATTACTTTTTTTTCTCTCTCATATCTCTAACTTATTTTTCTTTAAATCGCCTCCTCTGCAGAACTATTCAAGGCTCTCTTCCAGTGACTCAACAAATGACAGAGATGAGCATCTCAAGAGAGGATAAAGCAGATCCCCTAGAGCCTGGTAAAACACACACTTCTAGAGGGACACATTGCTCTGTTCGACCCACTTTAGCATTAGCGTATACACGGAGTGTACAAAACATTAACAAACCTTCCTAATATTGAGTAGCCCCCCCCCCCACCCGTTTGCCCTCAGAACAGCCTCAATTTGTCTGGGCATGGACCATACAAGGTGTCAAAAGCGTTCCACAGGGATGCTGGCCCGTGTTCACTCTAACGCTTTCCACAGTTGTGTCAACTTGGCTGGATGTCCTTTGGGTGGTGGATCACCTACTACCATAGCCCGTTCAAAGGCACTTAAATATTTTGTCTTGCCCATTCACCCTCTGAATGGCACACATACACAATCCATGTCTCAAGGCTTAAAAATATTTTTTCCACCTGTCTCCTCCCCTTCATCTAAACTGATTTGAAGTGGATTTAACAAGTGACATCAATAAGGGATCATAGCTTTCACCTGGTCAGTTTTTCATGGAAAAAGCAGGTGTTCATAATGTTTTGTACACTCTGTGTATTTAGCTGCACCCTGACTTAAAGTCCTTGTATGTGAGTACTAAAACTGCCTCAGAAAAAAACACAGTAACACTTTTATTTGAATCTCCAGACTGAAAGAAGCGTATATTTAACAGTACTTTTCTGTTTTCTCCTTTAGTCGTGACTCAGCCTACTGCTTCTAGCCCTGCCACTGCCAGCGGTGACAAGGCTAAGGGAGACACCCCCAATCCCAAGAAGAATAGGTGCTTCATGTGCCGCAAGAAGGTGGGCCTAACAGGTGAGCATGCCATAGCAGAATGTGGTGCTTTTCCAAAGAAATGGGATGACAGGATTGCGCATTGTGTACGACGTAATGTCATTTTTGCTGAAGAGATTGGCCATGGTCCAGACCGCATACACTGCAGTCACACAAATTGACAATATTAATGGGGTTCCTGCAATGTAAAACACTACTTCCACATTTGTGATGGTCTCAGATCTTTACTAATGTATAAGTAGTGTCTTAACGTGGCAGGAACCCCATCAATATCACTTATTGATCTAATAATCTGCACAAGACAACTGCAATGTAGGCAATTTGGAATGTAACTGTATTATTCCTGTGTGTCTGGTCTTATTAACAGAGGTGAATTGTTATTGAGTTGGTGTTTGATTCCTACAGTGGTTCCCTTCTAATCTCTGACCTTTGAACTCTACCCCAGGGTTCGACTGTCGCTGTGGGAACCTGTTCTGCGGTCTCCATCGGTACTCCGACAAGCACAACTGTCCTTACGACTACAAGGCGGAGGCAGCTGCCAAGATCCGCAAGGAGAACCCTGTTGTGGTCGCTGACAAGATTCAGAGAATATAGGGTTAAGAACCATCCACACAAAGACTGAAGTATGATTGGACACTCGACATGAACATTGGCATGAGTGGCAAAAGGATATCGGACTCATTTTTAAAATCACAACCTTGAGAAAAGCAAAAGAGCCCCTGCCTGAGGGCGAGATGCATGAACGATCACCATTTGTCCTGTTTTTTTATTTCTATAATATATTATTTTGTTTCCGTTAGTTTTTCCTATGTCTTTGCCGATATTCTGTTTTTGTCTTTTAAAGAGAAGCCCAGGGTACCTGTCGAGGAGACGTAGTGATTGTTGCAGATGGATAGAAATGCCACAAATAGAGCCGACATGATCCCTCCCTCAACATGTCAGAGGCATGTCTGTTCTGCGTGACCTATTTCTATCTGGACGTTCCATCACAACGTTGTGCCCCACTGAATACAGCCCCTGAGCTGTTTGGCCACGTTGTTGCCAAATAGCCAACAGACATTTTGTCTAAAGTTATATGCACATGCAGTATCCCGACAAGTTCAGTTGTCTCCATTTCTACTTTCTGTTCACGTTAGTGTTGGTCGGGTCAGTTGTCCGAAAGGTATGACCGCTCGAACTGCAAAGCTGTTCCAAAATGCACATGGGCATTGTTTCAGACAAATTTCTGCGCGAACGCTTCCGCCACAGCGCTCTCTCACCGCAGCTACCCTAGCGTGCATGCAATTGCAAACATATTCATGGGAAAACAGCTGTTCACTAATTCATTGTGTTAAACACAAAAGGCTGTATGGCGGAGGGCTCTGTCTGTACAGTGTTGTACCCTCGCTGTCTTGCATGACAAAGACACGTAAGCCTCTCTGACCCGCCTACCTCACAGCAGCAGGACATGTTTCGCCTCATCACATTGTCAGTCGTCTTCTCTTATCACTTCATTATTGCCAGATGAGGGTTACCTCGATATGCCATTTTTAGGTAGCCAGGTCATTGGGCACCGTTTCGTTTTGATCAAGTGACCGACGCAGTCATTTTTACGTTCATTGTAAGAGGCGTGAGAACGGGGACAAAAACGCTTAATTAACCAACTATCATGTGGGACAGAACTTTTAGTCAAGGAGGTCCTAGACTGATCTTCATATCAGAATCTCCCAACTGGTCTCACGCGGAGGGTTGTGTGCACTGACCCTGGTGCAGTTCTCTGGGTGAGGCTTGGGCACTACCCGTCTGTGTTATCTGATATATGGGGGTATGAATGGGATAGAGCAACCCCATGCGGTTATCTAAAATAGGGTAAAATATCTGAATGAATTGGCATCACTAGTGCTAGGTCATTATTTTATCCTCAGATGTTGTTGTTTTTATATATATATATTAGCACATGTATTCAGTCGAGTTAGGGTCTGTGAGCCAGCCATGCTGTGTGTGTTAAGAGTGAGTTTGAGTGAGCACATGGTTGTCAGATTGTGTGTGCTCCCCCACCTTAGTCTGTGAAGCAATATGGGTTAAACAGCACAAGCTACAGGAGCATGTGTGACCTGTGTTGAACTTATTTTTGTCTCCTGTAGGGATGTGAGGTCTACTTTTTAAAAGAAAGTTATCCGTTTCAGTTTCCCCTTTTGATTGTTAGTTTATATGCAAATTTGTACAAAAAACACTTGATTTATGTATTACATATAATCTTGCTACACAGCATTACAGCAGCATTGTATCATGCAAATAAAGACTGTACAGAGAGACAGTACAAGGCCTGGTATCGGTGATTTGGATTACAGCTTCACTTGTTTTCAACGATGTAATTTGGATCATGACCCCACATGAGTGTATAGACATGCATCTCTTGTCTATTGCCCCTGTGAGCTCAACTTTGCTATAGCATTACAAGTAGAGGTTGGAGTGGTGGTTAACATAGTTTGGGTAAGGAAAAAGGATTGCCTGGGTAGAAGTAAAGGTGACTGTGGGCCAGGCAGACTGTTTGGAGGCACACTTCTTTCAAACGCATTGTTTTTTTTGCACACCTGTCATATGCTTGGGGGAGTGCGTCGGCAGATGGCGTCCCGCTGTCAGCTGCTCAGACAGCTGAGGCCGGGGAGAGCGAGAGGAAGACCGAGAAGAAGATGACGACATTACTACTCAGCTCAACTCCCTCTGGCCCACCCCCCCAGTACCTCAACGTCACCCCTCTGTCTGAGAATGGAGAGAAAAGAGGACAGCTGATGTGGGATGTGAGCAGGAGGATCAGGGAACCAATGTGTTCTGTTCAACCTGACCCAGGAACAGCTGGGGAGGTCCTGTAGCCTACCTCTGAGGGTTGGGACAGACACACATCTACATTTACGTCATTTAGCAGACGCTCTTATCCAGAGCGATATACCTCCCCACCCCCTGGCGGACCGCTAATGTCTTATGTGTCTGTTTCACTTGCCATGTGTTAGTGAGTGTGCATGTGTCTGGAAACCTGGCTCAGTGTATGACATCAGTGACGTGGATTTGACATGAATGCGCCTAAGTCTACTGTGGGGAATTAGGAACACTGTACAAGGGGAGAGCTAGGGGAAGTACGGTAGGAAGGAGATTGTTTCTGAATTCCAAATCGACCTCTAGCCCCTACACCCGAGGCACTCCTGTAGATCTGAGAGGATTGGGTAAGCATTATGGTAATAGCTTCTTCCCTTTAGATTAGCTGGGTGGAAATGTCATATTGCTTCTATCTATACCATCCTCTCAGTTCTACATGAGGGTTTATGGGTTGGATTTTAATCCAGGGAGTGGGAGCAAGCGCCCGAGGAGGGCCATAGGGATAAGTGAGAGCGTTTTGAGGGGTCAGGGCGAGTTCACAGTGAACGTAGGGAATGGACGGGTTTGAGATTATGAAGGGTTGACCCGAGGTAGCATCACTAAACTCTCGGAGCGTAACCAGATTAGACCAGTCTGAGCCTGGTCCCAACGATGACACACTCTTAACATACAGAACACTAAACAGACACTGCTAGAAATAAATGCTCTACTATACAGAACACTCTAAACAAACACTCCTAGGAATACTTGCTCACCTTCCCATTCATCCTTTTGAACCTGTTCTACTTCTCCATCATCTCCCTTACGACAGGCGTCCCTCACTTTTGCCCAGAATGGATGGATAAAGAGGAGAGTGCGAGGGGAGAGGGAGACATGGGTTTGCAGGCATGCCATTGCCCTAGGTTTAACATTAGGTGTCAGTAGCCATCTAGGAAGCTTCCTTTAAGTCACTGGGAGAATCTCAATTGCATTCTCCTTGCCTCCTTCTAAAAACCCATTGGATGAGAAAGCCAGATGTCCCTCTCCTCTGACCTCCTCCAATGGGTTTTGGGAAGGAGGCGAAGAGAGAGGACGCGAGGAGTATGCAATTGAGATTCTCCCACTGAGATTATATGAGTGGTCACAGGATATTTGTGTCATTGTGAGAGTGAAGGAAGGGTAGAGGGAGAAAGAGGGGAAGATTGACAAAGGGTGTGCATGTAGGCTAATCAGTGGATGAATGATTGAAGAGTGTGTAAGCAGGGATGGGGAAAAAATAACTAATTGTGAAAGTCAAGTGTTGCATTAACATGATTAAAAGGTCAATCGTAGGTCCAGAGGTCACAGCTTTTGACTGACTGGGACATAAAGGAACGTGCTATTTGTCTTGGCATAGGGAAGATCTCAATTGCATACTCCTCGTCTCCTCAAAACCCATTGAATGAGAAATCCAGAGGTCCCGCCCCTCTGACCTTATCCTCCAATGGGTTTTGAGAAGGAGACGAGAAGAGAGGACACCAGGAGTATGCAATTGATATCTTCCTTAGTTTTACATTACTACCTTTGAAACTGGTAATCAGGGTTGGGGTGATTTCCCATTTCACATCTAGTCAATTCATGAAGTCCACTAAAATTCCAATTCTCTTCAATGCTTTTCAATGAAGAAAAATTGGAATTGGAGTCCAGTTTACTTTTTGAATTTAAATGGAATTGACCCCAACCCTGCTGGTAACCTTTTGGGGACAAGCGTTTGGGGATATTGTGATTAAGGACCTGCCTGGGGACACTTCAGACATTCCAGAAATTCATGGCAGCAGCGAGAGTCAGGTAATAAATCACCAAGTCGCCAACTTTAAAGGTGAAAAATATATTTGAATGTATTGTAAAGATTCAGTGCAGTATCGTCATTTTATTATTTAATTTCATACAAAACAAATGAGTCATTAAAAAGTTATGACAAAGCTATTCTTGTTATAAAAAATGATATGTTTTTTATAACTCACTATAGTGATTAGTGAATATAATCTACAGTATATTTTACAACAGTAGTTCCCAAGCTTTTTCGGTTACTGTACCACCAACTGAATTTTGCTCTGCCCTGAGTACTCCTGAAGTACCCCCTCGTGTGCATTTTAACCGTAGGCCTATGGTCTCATGAGTCTTCTCAAGTACCTCCTGTGGATAGGCCAAGTACCCCTGGATGGGAACCACTGTTCTACAATATAACATAGAATGTGTGAATGAGGGTGCCCCCTCCTGGTAGCCTGTTAGATGTAACGCAAATCATGTCCAGGTGATAATGATACAACGTCGCCTCCTGGTGTCTATCCTCTGTAACTGCCTCATCTTGTCCAGGCTCACTGCCCAGCAGCCGCTCAGTTCCAGGCTGCTCAGACGCCTGCTGGCGGTCATCAGACTCGATGCCGTCTCCATGGAGACGTCACTGCGGACCAGGCTGAGGTGGCAAACAAGTGGTCAAATCATGTGCACATTTAGAAATTAACAGATATTGCAGCGTACACATACACAATCCCTTCCTGTTCCCGTGACAGACTCACTCAGCAAGTTAAAAGGGGCCCATGACGTATCTCAAGGAGTACTGGTCCATGTAGTTGTCGGCATTGTCTTTGACCCACACTTCCTTCATGTTCTCTGCCTGGTCATACCAAGGATAATCTCTGTAGACACAGCTGGGTCAATGGGGGAGGGTGACCATCATCCTCCTCCCATCTTCCTCGTCCTCAAATCTTCCTCACTCCCCGTTTCTCAGCCCTGAGCTCAATCATGGCACAGAATAGAGACATCTCTAACTCTGCTGACTCAGGTGGTGTTTCGCTGATTCGACGATGTCGTCTAGAATAATGGCACTGTTGTGTCCTTGCAGGTATTGTAAAGATATGCTGTTGTTTACACAACACAAACAACTTTCAATAGCCTTACACATGACTTCATATGGACAAGTCCATAATAGAACACTTATCAGCTGTAGGCTACGTTGAAGCAACTTTTGACGTTAGGGCTATCGTTGCCAACAAACAGCACATTCATACAACAAACGCACAATTAAGTGATAATGCCAGAGAAGCCGGTGTTTGGAGGATATTGGCACATGTTGTTAGGCCTGAGACGAAGTCGAGGACGCTGTTGTTCAGAGGAGCTAGATAACAACACAGCTAACACAATCACTTCAAACTGAAGCTGGAAAGACTGCAAACTAGCTGATTCATGATTTCGACTGGCTGAGAAACGCTGCTTACCTGTCTGTCTTGTGAAATGTTCATTACTATGGGACAGCTGGAGATCGAATTTGAATATTGAAACAATGTTGCAAATGTCAGAGGTTTATATACATCTCAGCTGTTGAAAACTTAATGTTAGTCTAAAAGAAATGTGAGATAATGTCTAGATGCTTTTTATAGTGGAGATCAAGTTTATAAATTGCCTGGCTGGGCTGATGAGACAGTGGATTGCGAAGTAGGTCCGGAATATCTCTTATGGAAGGATGAAATAGTGATGAATTCATACTTCTTCATCCTTCCACAAGATATAGTCCCGACACAAATCTAGGGTTTCTATCCAAGCCGGCTGGTCGTTCGTTCTATCGGTTCAGTTGCAAGAGACGCGACCCAGTCGTTCAGTCTTTTTGTTCTGTATCTATGGACGTGACCCAGTCGTTCGTTCTAAATGTTCCATTGCCATACTGGCTGGCAACGTTATTTTCCTTTGCCTGCTAGCTAGCCAACTACGGCTAACTTACAGTCGCATCAAATAGTGCAACCAGAATAACAACAGTAGCTGCATTTGCATTTGTTTAAGCTGTTTTCTAGCTTTCATTTATTAAGATACATCATCCATAACAATGAGCTAATGATGGGTGATTTTGCCTGACATAGAAAATGTGCTCTCTCGTCAGGACACTGTTGTTCAGAGGAGCTAGCCACCAACAACACAGCTAACACAATCACTTCAAACTGAAGCTGGAAAGACTGCAAACTAGCTGCACTTTGTTTCATTTAACCTTTTTTCAATTTACATTTCTTTGTACTGTGTATATCCATAAAAATGATTCCAGCTGATTCATGATTTCGACTGGCTGAGAAACCCTGCCTGCCTGTCTCGTCCCGTTCATTACTATTGGACAGCTGGAGATCGAATTTGAATATTGAAACAATGTTGCAAATGTCGGAGAGACAGACAGCAAGGTTTATAAAAATCTCCGCTGTTGAAAACTAAATGTTAGTCTAAAAGAAATGTGAGATAACGTCAAGATGCTTTTTGTAGTGGAGTTCAAGTTTAAATTGTCTGGCTGGGCTGATGAGACAGTGGATTGCGCAGTCAGATGGAACAGAGTAAATAGGCATTTTAACGTCATAGATTTAGCCGGTGGTAACTTGTGGAATAGACACCGGCTGGAATGTTTTTAACCAATCAGCATTCAGGATTAGACCCACCTGTTGTATAAAACGGCAATAAACTGTTTATTTGTGGGTGTGAAATTCGAACCCGCTATCCTGGCATTGCAAGTGCCATGCTCTACCAACTGAGTTACAACTGAGCTACAGAGGACCACAGCCTCTCTGCAGGTGGGTCTGCGGGCATTGTATATTTTCATAGAATAAATTGTGTTATCATGTAGACTTATCAATAATGTGTTAAACGTTTTTAAAAAAGAGACACATTTAGACTTAAAATCATACAAATACTCTTTAATAAAATCTTTCTAAAATCTTTTCCCCCTTTTACTTTGTAGCTTTTGCTACAAAACTGAATGATCATAATCAACAAAGATACATTTTACATGTATTAGGCTCAGTATATTAGAATATGTCTCCTAAAGCTACATTGCAGGTTTTACATTTCAAAAAAATTTAAGCTGGACACATACAAAGCTACACATGAATTCAACATTTTCCTTGACTTTGAAATTTAAAAAAGGATCCAGGTGCATATGAAACAATGTGATAACTTAAAAGAAAAGAGTAACCTCCACACTGCTCTTGCTAGTATCACTTAACAGCACTACCATCTATTGAATTGTACTGTATGTAAGTACACTAGAGATTGAACACACATACAGTGGGGAAAAAAAGTATTTAGTCAGCCACCAATTGTGCAATTTCTCCCACTTAAAAAGATGAGAGAGGCCTGTAATTTTCATCATAGGTACACGTCAACTATGACAGACAAAATGAGAAAAAAAAATCCAGAAAATCACATTGTAGGATTTTTTATTAATTTATTGGCATATGATGGTGGAAAATAAGTATTTGGTCAATAACAAAAGTTTCTCAATACTTTGTTATATACCCTTTGTTGGCAATGACACAGGTCAAACGTTTTCTGTAAGTCTTCACAAGGTTTTCACACACTGTTGCTGGTATTTTGGCCCATTCCTCCATGCAGATCTCCTCTAGAGCAGTGATGTTTTGGGGCTGTCGCTGGGCAACACAGACTTTCAACTCCCTCCAAAGATTTTCTATGGGGTTGAGATCTGGAGACTGGCTAGGCCACTCCAGGACCTTGAAATGCTTCTTACGAAGCCACTCCTTCGTTGCCCGGGCGGTGTGTTTGGGATCATTGTCATGCTGAAAGACCCAGCCACGTTTCATCTTCAATGCCCTTGCTGATGGAAGGAGGGTTTCACTCAAAATCTCACGATACATGGCCCCATTCATTCTTTCCTTTACACGGATCAGTCGTCCTGGTCCCTTTGCAGAAAAACAGCCCCAAAGCATGATGTTTCCAACCCCATGCTTCACAGTAGGTATGGTGTTCTTTGGATGCAACTCAGCATTCTTTGTCCTCCAAACATGACGAGTTGAGTTTTTACCAAAAAGTTATATTTTGGTTTCATCTGACCATATGACATTCTCCCAATCCTCTTCTGGATCATCCAAATGCACTTCAGACGGGCCTGGACATGTACTGGCTTAAGCAGGGGGACACGTCTCGCACTGCAGGATTTGAGTCCCTGGCGGCGTAGTGTGTTACTGATGGTTGGCTTTGTTACTTTGGTCCCAGCTCTCTGCAGGTCATTCACTAGGTCCCCCCGTGTGGTTCTGGGATTTTTGCTCACCGTTCTTGTGATCATTTTGACCCCACGGGGTGAGATCTTGCGTGGAGCCCCAGATCGAGGGAGATTATCAGTGGTCTTGTATGTCTTCCATTTCCTAATAATTGCTCCCACAGTTGATTTCTTCAAACCAAGCTGCTTACCTATTGCAGATTCAGTCTTCCCAGCCTGGTGCAGGTCTACAATTTTGTTTTTGGTGTCCTTTGACAGCTCTTTGGTCTTGGCCATTGTGAAGTTTGGAGTGTGACTGTTTGAGGTTGTGGACAGGTGTATTTTATACTGATAACAAGTTCAAACAGGTGCCATTAATACAGGTAACGAGTGGAGGACAGAGGAGCCTCTGAAAGAAGAAGTTACAGGTCTGTGAGAGCCAGAAATCTTGCTTGTTTGTAGGTGACCAAATACTTATTTTCCACCATAATTTGCAAATAAATTCATTAAAAATCCTACAATGGGATTTTCTGGATTTTTTTTCCTCAATTTGTCTGTCATAGTTGACGTGTACCTATGATGAAAATTACAGGCCTCTCTCATCTTTTTAAGTGGGAGAACTTGCACAATTGGTGGCTGACTAAATACTTTTTTTCCCCACTGTACATACAGTAATAATAATCCCTCCAGTTGAATACATTTTCCAATCACCTCCTGTCATATTACAAAAGCAGTCAGGTAGACTGGTAGAGGGTACAGATTACAACAAGCCAGCAGCAAATCCCAAATCTATGGTCTGTCTACGAATGGGACCACTCGCTTCCCTGCCACGTACACCTCCGCAATGTTACGATCATCCCCTGAAGGAGAAAGGGGGAACAAAGATGGAACAAAATATCACATAAACATGCTTTAGTGACCTTACAACACTTAGCGACCTCATCAAGAGTTTAGGAAATCAAGGACCCAGGTTTGAGTCCGGGTCAGGGCTATCCCCGAATTCGCCACAATACTTTCATGGCACATCATAGCCCCAACCACCAAAGTCTGAATACATGTAACCTATTGTGTGAGAGAGACAGTAACAGAGATGAAACACTTACCCAAATTCAAGAACTTCTCCAGGAGCACCTGAAATCACATGTAGCCAAGATGAATGTCATGTTGGGGGAGTGAATCAGTCACTTCCTGAGTTGTGGACTAGAATCCTATAATTTGGATTGAAGTCTGATTCGAGTCACACATTTAATAAGACCTGGTTTGACTTGGTTTAGATAGAATGACTCAACAAGTAACAGCTGTGATATTTCAACACCATTGAAGGCCAACAGGGGCAACATATTGCTCTGGTTCCTACCTTAGGCTCCTCCCCGTGATTGATTAGGTCAATGGGTCCTCCTGCTGCATCCGTATTCACTCGCAGAGCGTCAAAGTCTTTCCCCACCTCAAAGTTTCCTGTATGCTCATCCAGGGATAGGGCTACAAACCAAACAATCAATCCAGAGCTCAGAATAGCAATCAATTATTCATCATTTATCAATCAAGAAATCAATAAACAAATAAACCGTTGGGTGCATTAAAACATTTTTTGATTTTAGCGCAGTGGATATACCTGCACTGTCAAGGACATATTTCAGAAATGTCTCCTATGCATTTCATTGCAGTTTAGATGATTGCAAACAATCTTGTTTGCTTGACGTCACCCTGCAAGAGAATTTGTCCTATCAACGATGTAGCGATGCTGCAGCACAGGCGTTTTGAAAAGTAACTTTTGAGCGCATGCATCTGTATCAATTCATAGTTCATCATGTATCCGATCTTTCAAACTGATGATTGATGTATTGATTTAATGACGGTGATAACTCTGTAGCTCAGCTGGTAGAGCACGGCGCTTGTAACGCCAAGGTAGTGGGTTCGATCCCCGGGACCACAGATACACAAAAAAAAAAAAGAAAATGTATGCACGCATGACTGTAAGTCGCTTTGGATAAAAGCGTCTGCTAAATGGCATATTATTATTATATATTATAACGGCCCTTCCACCCCACCCCCATCACCCCTCCAGCCAAGTCTCCCACCTTGGCTGCCTCCCAGTGTGGCCAGTCTGAAGACCTCCTCGAAGGTGAGCGTGTGGTACTGGGTGTCCTGGATGGTCAAGGCTTTAGAGGTGTCCAGCGTTCTCCGCACAGCATCCAACATAGATGGAGAGTAGCCTCCTGCCACATCTACAAGGCCGGAAACATACACACGCACGGGTGCATACACAGATAAAAGCATGTACGTGTTAAAACAGAGACAATTGCAACAAATAAGCACTGTTTTAACATTCCAGTGTCAAGCCAGTTTGATACTAGAAATCGGCAACTTTCGTCTAGGTTTTGGGTTCTCTAATTGTATTTATTATGGATCCCCATTAGCTGCTGCCAAGGCAGCAGCTACTCTTCCTGGGGTCCAGCTAAATTAAAGCAGTTCATACAATTTAAAAAACATTTCAATACAGTTGAAGTCGGAAGTTTACATATACTTAGGTTGGAGTCATTAAAACTTGTTTTTCAACCACTCCACAAATGTCTTGTTAACAAACTATAGTTTTGGCAAGTCGGTTAGGACATCTACTTTGTGCATTGCAAAAGTAATTTTTTCAACAATTGTTTACAGACAATGACCCCAAGCATACTTCCAAAGTGGTGGCAAAATGGCTTAAGGACAACAAAGTCAAGGTATTGGAGTGGCCATCACAAAGCCCTGACCTCAATCCTATTGAAAATGTGTGGGCAGAACTGAAAAAGCGTGTGCGAGCAAGGAGGCCTACAAACCTGACTCAGTTACACCAGCTCTGTCAGGAGGAATGGGCCAAAATCCACCCAACTTATTGTGGGAAGCTTGTGGAAGGCTACCCGAAATGTTTGACCCAAGTTAAACAATTTAAAGGCAATGCTACCAAATACTAATTGAGTGTATGTAAACTTCTGACCCACTGGGAATGTGATGAAATAAATAAAAGCTTAAATAAAGAATTCTCTCTACTATTATTCTGACATTTCACATTCTTAAAATAAAGTGGTGATCCTAACTGACCTAAGAAAGGGAATTTTTACTAGGATTAAATGTCAGGAATTGTGAAAAACAGAGTTTAAATGTATTTGGCTAAGGTGTATGTAAACTTCCCACTTCAACTGTACATTCACAACACACTGTGTGCCCTCAGGCCCCAACTCCAGCTCTACCACATATCTACAGTACAAAATCCATGTGTACGTGTGTGTATAGTGAGTTTGTTATCGTGTGTGTATGCATGTGTCTGTGCCTATGTTTGTGTTGCTTCACAGTCCCCACTGTTCCATAAGGTGTTTTTTAATCTGTTTTTAATCAGTTACTTGATGTGGAATAGAGTTCCATATAGTCATGGCTCTATGTAGTACTGTGCACCTCCCATAGTCTGTTCTGGACTTGGGGACTGTGAAGAGACCTCTGGTGGCATGTCTTGTGGGGTATGCATGGGTGTCCGAGCTGTGTGCCAGTAGTTCAAACAGACAGCTCGGTGCATTCAACATGTCAATACCTCGCATAAATACAAGTAGTGATGAAGTCAATCCCTCCTCCACTTTGAGCCAGGAGAGATTGACATGCATATTATTAATATTAGCTCTATGTGTACATCCAAGGGCCAGCCGTGCTGCCCTGTCTGAGCCAATTGCAATTTTCCTAAGTCCTTTTTTGTGGCACCTGACCACACGACTGAACAGTAGTCCAGGTGTGACAAAACTAGGGCCTGTAGGACCTGCCTTGTTAATAGTGATGTTAAGAAGGTAGAACAGTGCTTTATTATGGACATGCATCTCCCCATCTTAGCTACTGTTGTATCAATATGTTTTGACCATGACACTTTACAATCCAGGGTTACTCCAAGCAGTTTAGTCACCTCAACTTGCTCAATTTCCACATTACAAGATTTAGTTGAGGTTTAGGGTTTAGTGAATGATTTGTCCCAAATACAATGCTTTTAGTTTTAGAAATATTTAGGACTAACTTATTCCTTGCCACCCACTCTGAAACTAACTGCAACTCTTTGTTATGTGTTGCAGTCATTTCAGTCGCTGTAGTAGCTGACATGTATAGTATTGAGTCATCCGCATACATAGACACTCTGGCTTTACTCAAAGCCAGTGGCATGTCATTAGTAAAGATTGAAAAAAGTAATGGGCCTATACAGCTGCCCTGGGGAATTCCTGATTCTACCAGGATTATGTTGGAGAGGCTTCCATTAAAGAACACCCTCTGTTCTTTTAGACAGGTAACTCTTTATCCACAATATAGCAGGGGGAGTAAAGCCATAACACATACAGTGGGGAAAAAAAGTATTTAGTCAGCCACCAATTGTGCAAGTTCTCCCACTTAAAAAGATGAGAGAGGCCTGTAATTTTCATCATAGGTACACGTCAACTATGACAGACAAAATTAGAAAAAAAAATCCAGAAAATCACATTGTAGGATTTTTAATGAATTTATTTGCAAATGATGGTGGAAAATAAGTATTTGGTCAATAACAAAAGTTTCTCAATACTTTGTTATATACCCTTTGTTGGCAATGACACAGGTCAAACGTTTTCTGTAAGTCTTCACAAGGTTTTCACACACTGTTGCTGGTTTTTTGGCCCATTCCTCCATGCAGATCTCCTCTAGAGCAGTGATGTTTTGGGGCTGTCGCTGGGCAACACGGACTTTCAACTCCCTCCAAAGATTTTCTATGGGGTTGAGATCTGGAGACTGGCTAGGCCACTCCAGGACCTTGAAATGCTTCTTACGAAGCCACTCCTTCGTTGCCCGGGCGGTGTGTTTGGGATCATTGTCATGCTGAAAGACCCAGCCACCTTTCATCTTCAATGCCCTTGCTGATGGAAGGAGGTTTTCACTCAAAATCTCACGATACATGGCCCCATTCATTCTTTCCTTTACATGGATCAGTCGTCCTGGTCCCTTTGCAGAAAAACAGCCCCAAAGCATGATGTTTCCACCCCCATGCTTCACAGTAGGTATGGTGTTCTTTGGATGCAACTCAGCATTCTTTGAGTTTTGACCAAAAAGTTATATTTTGGTTTCATCTGACCATATGACATTCTCCCAATCCTCTTCTGGATCATCCAAATGCACTCTAGCAAACTTCAGACGGGCCTGGACATGTACTGGCTTAAGCAGGGGGACACGTCTGGCACTGCAGGATTTGAGTCCCTGGCGGCGTAGTGTGTTACTGATGGTAGGCTTTGTTACTTTGGTCCCAGCTCTCTGTAGGTCATTCACTAGGTCCCCACGTGTGGTTCTGGGATTTTTGCTCACCGTTCTTGTGATCATTTTGACCCCACGGGGTAAGATGTTGCGTGGAGCCCCAGATCGAGGGAGATTATCAGTGGTCTTGTATGTCTTCCATTTCCTAATAATTGCTCCCACAGTTGATTTCTTAAAACCAAGCTGCTTACCTATTGCAGATTCAGTCTTCCCAGCCTGGTGCAGGTCTACAATTTTGTTTCTGGTGTCCTTTGACAGTTCTTTGGTCTTGGCCATAGTGGAGTTTGGAGTGTGACTGTTTGAGGTTGTGGACAGGTGTCTTTTATACTGATAACAAGTTCAAACAGGTGCCATTAATACAGGTAACGAGTGGAGGACAGATGAGCCTCTTAAAGAAGAAGTTACAGGTCTGTGAGAGCCAGAAATCTTGCTTGTTTGTAGGTGACCAAATACTTATTTTCCACCATAATTTGCAAATAAATTCATTAAAAATCCTACAATGTGATTTTCTGGATTTTTTTTTCTCAATTTGTCTGTCATAGTTGACGTGTACCTATGATGAAAATTACAGGCCTCTCTCATCTTTTTAAGTGGGAGAACTTGCACAATTGGTGGCTGACTAAATACTTTTTTTCCCCACTGTACGTTTTTCCAGCAGCAGACTATGATCAATAACGTCAAAAGCTGCACTGAAGTCTAACATAACAGGCCCCACAATCTTTTTATTATCAATTTATTATTTTTATTACCAATCATCAGTCATTTGTGTACGTGCTGTGCTTGTTGAATGTCCTTCTCTGTAAGCATGCTGAAAATTTGTTGTCAATTTGTTTACTGTAAAATAGCATTGTATCTGGTCCAATAGTTTAGTAAGGGTTGGTAACAGGCTGATTGGTCGGCTATTTGAGCCAGTAAAGGGGGCTTTACTATTTTTCGGTAGAGGAATTACTTTTGCTTCCCTCCAAGCCTGGGGGCACACACATTCTAGTAGGCTTAAATTGAAAATATGGCAAATAGGAGTGCCAATATCGTCCGCTATTATCCTCAGAAATAATTCATCCAAGTTGTCATTGTTGATAGACAACAATAATTTTTCCACCTCTTCAACACAGACTTTACGGAATTCAAAATTACAATGCTTGTCTTTCATAATTTGGTCAGATATACTTGGATGTGTAGCGTCAGCAATTGTTGCTGGCATGTCATGGCTAAGTTTGCTAATCTTGCAATGAAAAAATTCATTAAAGTAGTTGGCAATATCAGTTGGTTTTGTGATGAATGAGCCATCTGATTCAATGAATGATGGAGTTGAGTTTGCCTTTTTCCCCCAAAATGTAATTTAAGGTGCTCCAAAGCAATTTACTATCATTCTTTGTGTCATATTGTAGTTTCTTCTTCTTTTTATTCAGTTTAGTTACATGATGTCTCAATTTGCAATACGTTTGCCAATCGGTTGTGCAGCCAGACTTATTTGCCTTTCCTTTTGCCTCATCCCTCTCAACCATACCATTTTTCAATTCCTCATCAATCCACGGAGATTCAACAGTTTTTACAGTAATTTTCTTAATGGGTGCATGCTTATTAGGAACTGGAATAAGCCATTTCAAAAATGTGTCAAGTGCAGTGTCTGTTTGCTCCTCATTACACACCACGGACCAACATATATATGATTTACATCAACAACATAGGAATCACTTCAAAACTTATTGTATGACCTCTTATACACAATATTAGGTCCAGACTTTGGAACTTTGGTTTTCTTAGATATGGCTACTATATTGTGATTACTAGATCCAATGGATTTGGATACTGCTTTCAAACAAATCTCTGCAGAAATAGTAAAGATATGATCACTACATGTTGATGATTTCATTCCTGTACTGTTTGTAACTACCCTGGTAGGTTGACTGAATACCTGAACCAGGTTGCTGGCACTGGTTACAGTTTGAAGCTCTCTTGAGTGGGCAGCCTGATGAAAGCCAGTCAATATTTAAAATCACCCAGAAAGTATACCTCTCTATTGATATCACATACATTATCAAGAATTTCACACATTATCCAGATACTGACAGTTAGAACTTGGTGGTCTATAGCAGCTTCCCACCAGAATGGGCTTTAGGTGAGGCAGATGAACCTGTAGCCATATTACTTCAACAGTATTTAACATGAAAAAGAAAAACCTATTGGGATCATTCAAAATCATAATGAATGTAAAATACTCATTGTAAGAATATGAGAGTAGGCCTATATTTCATAAAACGTTTCATCAAAATAATATAATCTGTGCCATTTGAACAATACATCTTGAGATGCACTTGGACACATCATCAGATCATAGATTATATAACTCAATCACGATTGCCTTGATTTAGTTGCAAATTTCCAATATGGAAAGTTCAGGTATATTTCAACATTGTAATAGTTTTTTGGATACAGTACACATAGGCTAAAAAAAAACTATACAGAACACTGTGCTCTCAGGTAACAGGAAAAGTATATGTTTTGTAGTGTGTTGTCATGGACTCACCTGTGCCAAGCCCCAGCTTCACTTTGTGGTTCAGAACCCTGCGCACATCTAGCATACCACTGCACAACCTTGAGAGAGAAAAAAATGAGGGAAATGAGAGAGAATATGGACGGGTGAAACACCATGGCTGAGGATTTATAAATAAATCAGATTCTTATATTTGACCCTATCCAGTTAAGAACTCAGCAGTTATCCTAAATATCATATCAGCACTCAAGATAGCACACACACACAGACAGAGACAGAGAGAGAAAGACAGAGAGAGAAAATCAGAGTTATCCTCAGTGAACAAGTTTCAAATAGATACCAAACATGTATAATATAGCATTATTCTATCACTCATTCAATAGTCAGACCTCTGGATACTGTAACAGAGATACAATTTGGCCCCTCAGAGGTCGAAGGGCTGACTAAATCTTTGGCATTGTCCTTTGTCTTCCTTGTGCTCCTGGACAATTTGCCATGCAACTCCAGGTGTCAGAGAGCACATCAATTAGGGCCCAGCCTTTAGGTGGGGAAGAAGGAGAAAACACTTACGAGATGTTGGAATTGGGACAGTGAGCAACGGACGCCCCTGTCTCTCTGAACAGCTTCAGCTCTCCATCGGTCAGGTGACAACCATGAGCCATCACCGTCTGTGAACCATCATCATCATCAACAACAATATCATCATAATCATCCTTACTACCATTACCACATCATTACAGTGCATTGGGAAAGTATTCAGACCCCTTCACTTTTTCCACTTTGTTACATTAGACTTATTCTAAAATTGATTTAAAAAATAATTATCATCAATCTACACACACAATACCCCATAAGGACAAAGCGAAAAATAAGTTTAGAATTTTTTGCAAATGTATTTCAAATAAAAAACAGATATACCTTATTTACATAAGTATTCAGACCTCTCTGAATCAGAGGGGTTGGGTTAAATGCGGAAGACACATTTCAGTTGAATGCATTCAGTTGTACAACTGACTAGATATCCCCCTTTCCCATGAGACTCGAAATTGAGCTCAGGTGCGTCCTGTTTCCATTGATCATCCTTGAGATGTTTCTACAACTTGATTGGAGTCCACCTGTGGTAAATTATATTGATTGGACATGATTTGGAAAGGCACACACCTGTCTATATAAGGTCCCACAGCTGACAGTGCATGTCAGAGCAAAAACCAAGCCATGAGGTCGAAGGAATTGTCCGTAGAGCTCAGAGACAGGATTGTGTCTAGGCACAGATCTGGGGAAGGGTACAAAAACATTTCTGCAGCATTGAAGGTCCCCAACAACACTGTGGCCTCCATCATTCTTAAATGGAAGAAGTTTGGAACCACCAAGACTCTTCCTAGAGTTGGCTGCCCGACCAAACTGAGCAATCGGGGGAGAAGGGCCTTGGTCAGGAAGATAACCAAGAACCCGATGGTCACTCTGAGAGAGCTCCAGAGTTCCTCTGTGGAGATGGGAGAACCTACCAGAAGGACAACCATCTCTCCAGCACTCCACCAATCAGGCATTTATGGTAGAGTGGCCAGACGGAAGCCATTCCTCAGTAAAAGGCACATGACAGCCCGCTTGGAGTTTGCCAAACGGCACCTAAAGGACTCTCAGACCATGAGAAACAAGATTCTCTGGTCTGATGAAACCAAGATTGAACTCTTTGGCCTGAATGCCAAGCGTCACGTCTGGAGGAAACCAGGCACCGCTCATCACCTGGCCAATACCATCCCTACGGTGAAGCATGGTGGTGGCAGCATCATGCTGTGTGGATGTTTTTCAGCGACAGGGACTGGGAGACTAGTCAGGAAGGTGATCCTTGATGAATACCTGCTCTAGAACTCTTAGAATCTCAGACTGGGGCAAAGGTTCACCTTCCAACAGGACAACGACCCTAAGCACACAGCCAAGACAACTCAGGAGTGGCTTCGGAACAAGTCTCTGAATGTCCTTGAGTGGCCCAGCCAGGGCCCGGACTTGAACCTGATCGAACATCTCTGGAGAGACCTGAAAATAGCTGTGCAGCGACGCTCCCCATCCAACCTGACAGAGCTTGAGAGGATCTGCAGAGAAGAATGGGAGAAACTCCCCAAATACAGGTGTGCTAAACTTGTAGCGTCATACCCAAGAAGAGTCGAGGCTGTAATCGCTGCAAAAGGTGATTCAACAAAGTATTGAGTAAAGGGTCTGAATACTTATGTAAATGTGATCAGTTTATTTTTAATACATTTGCAATAACTTCTAAAAAACCTGTTTGTGCTTTGTCATTATGAGGTATTGTGTGTAGATTGATGATAAAAATAAAAATGTAAAGGCTGTAACGTAACAAAATGTGGAAAAAGTGAAGGGGTCTGAATACTTTCCGAATGCACTGTATAATCATCATTGTCATAATTATCACCACCACCAATATCATCATCATGATCCTTATCGCCACCACTATCATTAGCAATATTATGATCTTCATTATCCATGGAATGTCCTTGTGGTGAGGTTGTGTGTGCGTGCATGCGATGGGCTAACCTTGTCTGTGAGAAGGTTGTGTCTGTGGTAGACATCTGTGTAGGAGTCGTAGTCTGGGAACAGCTCCTTCACCAGCTTCACCTCCTCCTTCGTCTCACTGATGTGACTCTGGGGATCACAGAGAAGATCAATGAATTGTTTGAATGTTCAGGTGATTATCAATGTGTATGAAAGCAAGAGAGAGAGATGGAGAGTCAGAGATAAATACACTTGGTTGCCGTGACGACAGGCTAGCAAGGCTCACCTGGATGTGCAGGTGGTTGTTCTGGGCAATCTCTCCCAGGTGACCCAGCAAGGCGGAGGAGCAGGATGGGGCGAAGCGCGGGGTCACCACTGGCCTCACAAGGGGGTACTGCCCCAAACAAGACAGAAATACACCCAGTGAGAAACACCCTAAAAAGCTCCTTTTAAAGATTCTGATCACAAATGTTCCTGTGATATTTTGGTTTTGTATTGAGGGAATGGGATTCAATACCTACATGGGTTTGCCACTGACTTGTACATGTTCCCTTACATTCTATTAGGCTTAGAAACACCCTGTTCTAGCGAGGCAAAGGAGTCTTACCTTCTTCTTTAAGAGCTCACCAATGAACCTAGAGCAACACAAAACAATAAATCAACACGTTTTTTTTCCTTCTTCAGAAGAATGCTGTATTACCAGACACAACCAAGCAAAACACTCTTGACAGGAGTTGAGAGACTGCTGGGGTGTATTTATTAGTCGCACACCATAGCAAAATGTTGCACCGTAGCAAAATGTTGCACTGTAGCAAAATAGAAAAATGTTGCACCGTAGCAAAATGTTGCACTGTAGCAAAATAGAAAAATGTTGCACCATAGCAAAATACACTGCTCAAAAAAATAAAGGGAACACTTAAACAACACAATGTAACTCCAAGTCAATCACACTTCTGTGAAATCAAACTGTCCACTTAGGAAGCAACACTGATTGACAATAAATTTCACATGCTGTTGTGCAAATGGAATAGACAACAGGTGGAAATTATAGGCAATTAGCAAGACACCCCCAATAAAGAAGTGGTTCTGCAGGTGGTGACCACAGACCACTTCTCAGTTCCTATGCTTCCTGGCTGATGTTTTGGTCACTTTTGAATGCTGGCGGTGCTTTCACTCTAGTGGTAGCATGAGACGGAGTCTACAACCCACACAAGTGGCTCAGGTAGTGCAGCTCATCCAGGATGGCACATCAATGCAAGCTGTGGCAAGAAGGTTTGCTGTGTCTGTCAGCGTAGTGTCCAGAGCATGGAGGCGCTACCAGGAGACAGGCCAGTACATCAGGAGACGTGGAGGAGGCCGTAGGAGGGCAACAACCCAGCAGCAGGACCGCTACCTCTGCCTTTGTGCAAGGAGGAGCAGGAGGAGCACTGCCAGAGCCCTGCAAAATGACCTCCAGCAGGCCACAAATGTGCATGTGTCTGCTCAAACGGTCAGAAACAGACTCCATGAGGGTGGTATGAGGGCCCGACGTCCACAGGTGGGGGTTGTGCTTACAGCCCAACACCGTGCAGGACGTTTGGCATTTGCCAGAGAACACCAAGATTGGCAAATTCGCCACTGGCGCCCTGTGCTCTTCACAGATGAAAGCAGGTTCACACTGAGCACGTGACAGACGTGACAGAGTCTGGAGACGCCGTGGAGAACGTTCTGCTGCCTGCAACATCCTCCAGCATGACCGGTTTGGCGGTGGGTCAGTCATGGTGTGGGGTGGCATTTCTTTGGGGGGCCGCACAACCCTCCATGTGCTCGCCAGAGGTAGCCTGACTGCCATTAGGTACCAAGATGAGATCCTCAGACCCCTTGTGAGACCATATGCTGGTGAGGTTGGCCCTGGGTTCCTCCTAATGCAAGAAAATGCTAGACCTCATGTGGCTGGAGTGTGTCAGCAGTTCCTGCAAGAGGAAGGCATTGATGCTATGGACTGGTCCGCCCGTTCCCCAGACCTGAATCCAATTGAGCACATCTGGGACATCATGTCTCGCTCCATCCACCAACGCCACGTTGCACCACAGACTGTCCAGGAGTTGGCGGATGCTTTAGTCCAGGTCTGGGAGGAGATCCCACAGGAGACCATCCGCCACCTCATCAGGAGCATGCCCAGGCGTTGTAGGGAGGTCATACAGGCACGTGGAGGCCACACACACTACTGAGCCTCATTTTGACTTGTTTTAAGGACATTACATCAAAGTTGGATCAGCCTGTAGTGTGGTTTTCCACTTTAATTTTGAGGGTGACTCCAAATCCAGACCTCCATGGGTTGATCAATTTGATTTCCATTGATAATTTTTGTGTGATTTTCTTGTCAGCACATTCAACTATGTAAAGAAAAAAGTATTTAATAAGATTATTTCATTCATTCAGATCTAGGATGTGTTGTTTAAGTGTTCCCTTTATTTTTTTGAGCAGTGTAGAAACATTTTGCACTGTAGCAAAAAATGGTGCAACAGAAACCAATTACTCTAAAATGTCTTGTTTTTTAAATATACGAAAACATGTTTCTATTGGACAACTTCAGGTAGGTTCCTCCCCGTTTCGTTCTGTTTGGTTCCTGGGGGGGGGGGGGGAATTCCGACCCGAGTTAAGCGTGCGTAAATGGAACCTAATTCCGTTTTTATGAATTTAAGCATGAGAATATTCACCCGCTATTTGTTTGGGGTGGAGATCAAATAAATGAAGGTGTGGCGGAGGTGTGTCTACAGATACACCGTATTCTGACCTTTACTTAATTCCCTCATGAATCCCCAACCTTTACACACTATGAAACAATTAATAAGGTCTAGCAACCTGTCGGTTCCAAGTGGAACATCTACAGTGGGGGAAAAAAGTATTTAGTCAGCCACCAATTGTGCACATTCTCCCACTTAAAAAGATGAGAGAGGCCTGTAATTTTCATCATAGGTACACATCAACTATGACAGACAAATTTAGAAGAAAAAAATCCAGAAAATCACATTGTAGGATTTTTAATGAATTGATTTGCAAATTATGGTGGAAAATAAGTATTTGGTCACCTACAAACAAGCAAGATTTCTGGCTCTCACAGACCTGTAACTTCTTCTTTAAGAGGCTCCTCTGTCCTCCACTCGTTACCTGTATTAATGGCACCTGTTTGAACTTGTTATCAGTATAAAAGATACCTGTCCACAACCTCAAACAGTCACACTCCAAACTCCACTATGGCCAAGACCAAAGAGCTGTCAAAGGACACCAGAAACAAAATTGTAGACCTGCACCAGGCTGGGAAGACTGAATCTGCAATAGGTAAGCAGCTTGGTTTGAAGAAATCAACTGTGGGAGCAATTATTAGGAAATGGAAGACATACAAGACCACTGATAATCTCCCTCGATCTGGGGCTCCACGCAAGATCTCACCCCGTGGGGACAAAATGATCACAAGAACAGTGAGCAAAAATCCCAGAACCACACGGGGGGACCTAGTTAATGACCTGCAGAGAGCTGGGACCAAAGTAACAAAGCCTACCATCAGTAACACACTACGCCGCCAGGGACTCAAATCCTGCAGTGCCAGACGTGTCCCCCTGCTTAAGCCAGTACATGTCCAGGTCCGTCTGAAGTTTGCTAGAGTGCATTTGGATGATCCAGAAGAGGATTGGGAGAATGTCATATGGTCAGATGAAACCAAAATATAACTTTTTGGTAAAAACTCAACTCGTCGTGTTTGGAGGACAAAGAATGCTGAGTTGCATCCAAAGAACACCATACCTACTGTGAAGCATGGGGGTGGAAACATCATGCTTTGGGGCTGTTTTTCTGCAAAGGGACCAGGACGACTGATCCGTGTAAAGGAAAGAATGAATGGGGCCATGTATCGTGAGATTTTGAGTGAAAACCTCCTTCCATCAGCAAGGGCATTGAAGATGAAACGTGGCTGTGTCTTTCAGCATGACAATGATCCCAAACACACCGCCCGGGCAATGAAGGAGTGGCTTCGTAAGAAGCATTTCAAGGTCCTGGAGTGGCCTAGCCAGTCTCCAGATCTCAACCCCATAGAAAATCTTTGGAGGGAGTTGAAAGTCTGTGTTGCCCAGCGACAGCCCCAAAACATCACTGCTCTAGAGGAGATCTGCATGGAGGAATGGGCCAAAATAGCAGCAACAGTGTGTGAAAACCTTGTGAAGACTTACAGAAAACATTTGACCTGTGTCATTGCCAACAAAGGGTATATAACAAAGTATTGAGAAACTTTTGTTATTGACCAAATACTTATTTTCCACCATAATTTGCAAATAAATTCATTAAAAATCCTACAATGTGATTTTCTGGATTTTTCTTTCTCATTTTGTCTGTCATAGTTGACGTGTACCTATGATGAAAATTACAGGCCTCTCTCATCTTTTTAAGTGGGATAACTTGCACAATTGGTGGCTGACTAAATCCTTTTTTCCCCACTGTACTTTATTTTTTCTGATAGAAATAACACCATTCTCCATGCACTGCAATTTAACAAATTGATAAGATATATTGATAAGAGCTAGGTAAATGAGTAAGCTGTTTGGATTAGAGGATTGTAAATATAGATGACAATTGTTTTCGATCTATTTTACCGTATGATCGCTGGAGACAAATGTGAAACCAGACATATGGCAGCAAACTGAAGCATAACATATCACCTTTTCCACAGTGAAGTTTATGAAATGCAGGACTAATAACTAGGGAAGAAATGTGGAGACCCAAGCTACAGGCTTCTGTAGCCATACACAAATAACAGTATAGCGCCAAACCTACAGAGTTAATTTCTGATTTCTATAAAGTTTTAATTATATCATGTTAAATATTAGCCACTATTGGTAGCCACCGTCAGTTATACCCACATACATTTATAATTGTCACTGACTTCAATGTTAGTTTCCTTACATTTTGCATCATTCCATTACATCGTTAGTTTACCTTTCTTTCCTCTGTCATGATCGTGTGGTTGTTCTTGAGGATCGCTAGCTATAGTGGATCATATTAGTTAATTTGGGACATGTAGCCATTTGAATCATTATGGAATGCAGACTCATGTAAAGTCTAGAAAGAGCCAGCCATCTGACGCAATATGATAATGTTATTCTTGGTCATTGGTTGAATTTGCAGAAAAGGGCTTTGAGCATTCAAGAGAAGTGCACAAAATGTAGGCTTCCTGCACCTGCTTATATATAGAATAGAATACAATATCATAAAATGGAACAGAATAGAAACGTTTACCGTCCTCTTCCTCCAAGGAAATTATTTTCCACTACACCTTACAGTCTTGAGTCATGAGATAGAGTCAAAAGGCCATTGTGAGAGTCCATAAACTCTTCCTGTTCAAAGCTCCTGTTCTAATTCTTTAGATATTTATTATGTACAGTTGAAGTCGAAAGTTTACATACACCTTTGCCAAACACATTTAAACTCAGTTTTTCACAATTCCTGACATTTAATCCTAGTAAAAATGCCCTGTGTTGGGTCAGTTAGGATAACCACTTTATTTTAAGAATATGAAATGTCAGAATAATAGTAGAGAGAATTATTTATTTAAGCTTTTATATCTTTCATCACATTTCCAGTGGGTCAGAAGTTTACGTACACTCAATTAGTATTTGGTAGCATTGCCTTTAAATTGTTTAACTTGGGTCAAACGTTTCGGGTAGCCTACCACAAGCTTCCCACAATAAGTTGGATGAATTTTGGCCCATTCCTCCTGACAGAGCTGGTGTAACTGAGTCAGGTTTGTAGGCCTCCTTGCTCGCACACACTTTTTCAGTTCTGCCCACAAATGTTCTATAGGATTGAGGTCAGGGCTTTGTGATGGCCACTCCAATACCTTGACTTTGTTGTCCTTAAGCCATTTTGCCACAACTTTGAAAGTATGCTTGGGGTCATTGTCCATTTGGAAGGCCCATTTGCGACCAAGCTTTAACTTCCTGACTGATGTCTAGAGATGTTGCTTCAATATATCCACATCATTTTCCTTCTTCATGATGCCATCTATTTTGTGAAGTGCACCAGTCCGTCATGCAGCAAAGCATCCCCACAGCATGATGCTGTCACCCCGTGCTTCATGGTTGGGATGGTGTTCTTCAGCTTGCAAGCATGCCCCTTTTTCCTCCAAACATAACGATAATCATTATGGCCAAACAGTTCTATTTGTGTTTCATCAGACCAGAGGACATTTCTCAAAAAAGTACAATCTTTGTCCCCATGTGCAGTTGCAAAAAGTTGCCTGGCTTTTTTATGGCGGTTTTGGAGCAGTGGCTTCTTCCTTGCTGAGCGGCCTTTCAGGTTATGTCGATATAGGACACGTTTTACTGTGGATATAGATACTTTTGTACCTGTTTCCTCTAGCATCTTCACAAGGTCCTTTGCTGTTGTTCTGGGATTGATTTGCACTTTTCGCACCAAAGTACGTTCATCTCTAGGAGACAGAACGCGTCTCCTTCCTGAGCGGTATGAAGGCTGCGTGGTCCCATGGTGTTTATACTTGTGTACTATTGTTTGTACAGATGAACGTTGTACCTTCAGGCATTTGGAAATTGCTCCCAAGGATGAACCAGACTTGTGGAGGTCTACAAAAAAAAATTCTGAGGTCTTGTCTGATTTATTTAGATTTTCCCATGATGTCAAGCAAGTTTGAAGGTAGGCGTTATAATACATCCACAGGTACACCTCCAATTGACTCAAATTATGTCAATTAGCCTATCAGAAGCATCTAAAGCCATGATGATTTTCTGGAACGTTCCAAGCTGTTTAAAGGCACAGTCAACTTAGTGTATGTAAATGTCTGACCCACTGGAATTGTGATACAGTGAATTATAAGTGAAATAATCTGTCTGTAAACAATTGTTGGAAAAAGTACTTGTGTCATGCACAAAGTAGATGTCCTAAACCGACTTTGTGGAGTGGTTGAAAAACAAGTTTTAATGACTCCAACCTAAGTGTATGTAAACTTCCGACTTCAACTGTACAGTCGTGGTCAAAAGTTTTGAGAATGACACAAATACAAATTTTCACAAAGTCTGCTGCCTCAGTTTTGATGAGGCAATTTGCATATACTCCAGAATGTCATGAAGAGTGAAAAGATGAACAAGGAGAGGAGGCAGCTTCGGAGGAAGTCATGACAGCAAAGTTGTCATCAAGTCAAAGGGTGGCTGCTTTGAAGAATCTCAAATAGAAAATATATTTTGATTTGTTTAACCCTTTTTTGGTTACTACATGAATCCATGTGTGTTATTTCATAGTTCTGATGTCTTATTATTCTATAATGTAGAAAATAGTAAAAATAAAGAAAAACCCTTGAATTAATAGGTGTGTCCAAACGTTTGACTGGTACTGTCAAACCATCCTAATATACATACTACTGTACACAAGTGATAACTAAGTGGCTCGGGGAACAAAACATCAACATTTTGGGTCCATGGCCAGGAAACTCCCCAGACCTTAATCCCATTGAGAACTTGTGGTCGATCCTCAAGAGGCGGGTGGACAAACAAAAACCCACAAATTCTGACAAACTCCAAGCATTGATTATGCAAGAATGGGCTGCCATCAGTCAGGATGTGGCCCAGAAGTTAATTGACAGCATGCCAGGGCGGATTGCAGAGGTCTTGAAAAAGAAGGGTCATGTCATTAGCTGAGGTTAATGTGGTGCGGGAGTCAGGCGCAGGACACCGAAGCTTAGTCCAACAACGTTTACTAGTGCAAACCCAAGCACAATACAATGAACGGCCTCAAACAACAAACAGAGGCGAGCGATTACGCAGACTGTGCGTAAACTAACAAAACAATAAACAGAGAAAACACGCAGCACTAACGGACAGGCGAATAACAACACACAACCTAACCACTACAAAACAGGCAACTTATAGAACACATAATCAGACACAAACGGACACAGGTGCAATAGACAGACAAAAGCAATCAAACATAGAAACATTCAACGGTGGCAGCTAGTACTCCGGGGACGACGAACGCCGAAGCCTGCCCGAACAAGGAGGAGGAGCAGCCTCGGCAGAATCCGTGACAGGTCAACACTGCAAATATTGACTCTTTGCATAAACTTAATGTAATTGTCAATAAAAGCCTTTGACACTTATGGAATGCTTGTAATTATACTTCAGTATACCATAGTAACATCTGACAAAAATATCTCATAACACTGAAGCAGCGAACTTTGTGAAGACCAATACTTGTGTCATTCTTAAAACTTTTGACCACGACTGTATACAGCTTGCCCCCTCTCATATTTATTACCTACCTACCTGTTAGTTTCACCTTGTCCCCTCTCATATCTATTACCTACCTACCTGTTAGTTTCCCCTTGCCCCCTCTCATATCTATTACCTACCTACCTTTTAGTTTCCCCTTCGGACTCCTCTGGCGTCTCTTTGTAATGTGGGACAAAGTTGTTTGTGTCCATACACACCTTGCCCACAAGGGCACGCTGTCCAAAATCGTCTGCAATGACAAGAAACATTGGCAAAGGTCACCATATCGGTCAAATCACCTGTCAGGGCAGCTGCATTTGGTGTGATGAGTAGCACTTTGTCAAGACTGTATCAGACTGGAGTCATTAGTGACCTTTGTGATGTTAGTCACTAGGCTTCGTCAGCATCGTGGAATAACCTAAATAATAAACTAAAGCTAACAGTAGTCTATTGAACCAAAAGGCGGGTGCTGCAGAAAATGCTTTAACGTTGTGATGACACAATTCTGGTGTCCTCCCAAACTACAAACTCTGGACTATTTTTAGGAGGAGTGATGCAACCACCAAAGGATAAACATTCCAGGCATACAGTTAATGGATGAGAAAGTGACTAATTCTACTCACTCCTCCACATACAATATACCCTATGTTCATTTCTTGTTCTGAGCTGGTGTTCGTAAAAATAATTTTCATTACAGTGGGTAACCATAAAGACGGCATGCAGCAAATTAACAAAACGTTCACACTAGACTCCCCCAAGTGATGGCTCACACTGACATAAGAAGTTAAACATTGTCAACTACCTAACTACAAAGCATAGAGAATGTGTGCCAGAGGCTGGCCTAGCGGTCAAGACAGCCGCCTCCAGATCACTTGTATTGTATCCTCCTGCGACGAGGGTTAGAATCCCCACACCGCCATCTTTGATACTGTCTATCCCCTGCTATCAGTCTACCTACTTTCCTGTCTAAAGAAAAAATATGAAAACATACGAAAGAGGAGTGGAGTTCCATTCCCCTTTTAAACAAGAGACTGGGATTTATACAATTTTACATAACAACTTGCGCAGTGAAGGCATGTGGTCTAAGGCACTGCATCGCAGTGCTAGCTGTGCCAGTAGAGATCCTGGTTCGAATCCAGGCTCTGTCGTAGCTGGCCGCGACCGGGAGACCCATGGGGCGGTGCACAATTGGCCCAGCGTCGTCCAGGGTAGGGGAGGGAATGGCCAGCAGGGATGTACCTCAGTTGGTAGAGCATGGCGTTTGGAACGCCAGGGTTGTGGGTTCGATTCCCACGGGGGGTATGAAAAATAAAAAAATAATGTATGCACTCACTAACTGTAAGTCGCTCTGGATAAGAGTGTCTGCTAAATGACTAAAATAAATAATAATAAAATAATGTGTGTGTGTGTGTATATTCCAGGTACAGTTGTACACTTTGTGACTAAGGTTCATGTTTAGGTCCAGTTAGATAATGTCCTATACTATTTTACTATCTAACATGTCCTTCCCTTCCTCTCTCTATGTCTTTCTCATCAATTGTTATACTTACGTAATAAACACAAGAGTTATCCACAGGAGAGGAGACCACTGGAAACAGGTCAAAGTTCAAAGTACAACCACTCTGATTAAGATCACACAAATGTCTGGGCTAACTTTGACCTCGGCAAATGTGCAAGTGAGCAGTAGAGTGTGTGTGTGTGCACGTTTATGTGTGTGTTTTCTCACTTGCGATTTGGCCCAGCAGTAGAGAAGCGTCGGTGTGTATGGTGGCAAAGTAACAGGCCGTAGTCGTACCATTTCTCAGGGTTCTTTTCTGAAATAGACAAGTATTGCGTTAGTATTCAGACTCTTTTCAAATAGGGCCTGCTCATACATACCCATCTCTCACTGCAATGTCACCTGCCCAAGCCTACTGTGTGTAACAGTATCTGGATTTCAGATTTTCTATGCCAATGTCCCACTCCGTGAGCATTCCTTATGGTAGCCAAGGAAGCAACCTTAAAGATATAGGGCCGATTCCGACCCGAGTTAAGCACGAGTAAATGGAACGTAATTCCCTTTTATGCACTTCTCTCTCTGCGTATTCTGACCTTGAACTTAAGCATGAGAATATCATGCTATTCACCTGCTATTCGTTTTGGGTGGAGATCGAATAAATGAAGGTGTGGCGGAGGTGTGTCTACAGATACGCCGTATTCTGACTTTGACTTAATTCCCAAATAATTCCACCACCTTTACGCGCGAGGAAACCATGAATAAGGTCTAGCGAACCTACCGGTTCCAAGTGGAAACGCATCAACTTCATTTTTTCCAATAGAAATAACACTATTCTCCATGTTAAATATTAGCCACCATCAGTTTCGACCATCAGTAGGCCTAATAACAACTCATGTTCAACTGCCAATTCACTGTTAGTTCCCTTCAGTTGGTATAGACTACATTATCATTCCATTTAATGACATTGTTTAGTTTACCTTCATTTGCTTCCTCTATAAACGTCATCACAGCCGTGTGGTTGTTGCTGAGAATCATTAGTAACAGTTGATAATATTTTTAAAAAATGACATGTAGGCTAATTCAATCGTTATGGAGCGGAGCGCAGACTAAGCCCTAACAGTTTGAACCCGACAGAAGGCGTAGTACTTGTCATTACACAGTTCCATGGTTAGTGCAGGCAATAGACAAGGGTATAGCCTACTATTGTACACTAATCTTCCAACATTACCCTGGGTTAGAAAACTGAATGTGGCAATTTTCAGAATGAATCAAAACACTTTTCTTTCTTTCGTGCGTAAAGGCTCTCCAGACCTGTTTTTTTATGATTCTTAAATACTTTCCTAACCCTAAATAATCTACAAGATCAGAGCATTTTTAAATCTACCAACTGGTGCTGAAACTGAGACAAATATGCATATATTTAGATGGATTTCTTTCATTGATCTCTAATATTCTGAACCCGTTCTCTCCATATATTCTAGTGAGTCTGTCGACAAACTTTAAACTAAAAGGTACAATGTATTTAAAGGGATGGCTTAAGATAAATGTACTATTGAATGAAAACTCCATGAGAAAATCTGTTGGCCAGTAAGTGGGAGGGTTTTCAGCAGTTGAATTACATATACAGTGGGGGGAAAAAGTATTTAGTCAGCCACCAATTGTGCAAGTTCTCCCACTTAAAAAGATGAGAGAGGCCTGTAATTTTCATCATAGGTACATGTCAACTATGACAGACAAAATGAGAAAAAAAATCCAGAAAATCACATTGTAGGATTTTTAATGAATTTATTTGCAAATTATGGTGGAAAATAAGTATTTGGTCAATAACAAAAGTTTCTCAATACTTTGTTATATACCCTTTGTTGGCAATGACACAGGTCAAACGTTTTCTGTAAGTCTTCACAAGGTTCACACACACTGTTGCTGGTATTTTGGCCCATTCCTCCATGCAGATCTCCTCTAGAGCAGTGATGTTTTGGGGCTGTCGCTGGGCAACACGGACTTTCAACTCCCTCCAAAGATTTTCTATGGGGTTGAGATCTGGAGACTGGCTAGGCCACTCCAGGACCTTGAAATGCTTCTTACGAAGCCACTCCTTCGTTGCCCGGGCGGTGTATTTGGGATCATTGTCATGCTGAAAGACCCAGCCACGTTTCATTTTCAATGCCCTTGCTGATGGAAGGAGGTTTTCACTCAAAATCTCACGATACATGGCCCCATTCATTCTTTCCTTTACACGGATCAGTTGTCCTGGTCCCTTTGCAGAAAAACAGCCCCAAAGCATGATGTTTCCACCCCCATGCTTCACAGTAGGTATGGTGTTCTTTGGATGCAACTCAGCATTCTTTGTCCTCCAAACACGACGAGTTGAGTTATTACCAAAAAGTTTTATTTTGGTTTCATCTGACATTCTCCCAATCTTCTTCTGGATCATCCAAATGCACTCTAGCAAACTTCAGACGGGCCTGGACATGTACTGGCTTAAGCAGGGGGACACGTCTCGCACTGCAGGATTTGAGTCCCTGGCGGCGTAGTGTGTTACTGATGGTAGGCTTTGTTACTTTGGTCCCAGCTCTCTGCAGGTCATTCACTAGGTCCCCCCGTGTGGTTCTGGGATTTTTGCTCACCGTTCTTGTGATCATTTTGACCCCACGGGGTGAGATGTTGCGTGGAGCCCCAGATCGAGGGAGATTATCAGTGGTCTTGTATGTCTTCCATTTCCTAATAATTGCTCCCACAGTTGATTTCTTCAAACCAAGCTGCTTACCTATTGCAGATTCAGTCTTCCCAGCCTGGTGCAGGTCTACAATTTTGTTTCTGGTGTCCTTTGACAGCTCTTTGGTCTTGGCCATAGTGGAGTTTGGAGTGTGACTGTTTGAGGTTGTGGACAGGTGTCTTTTATACTGATAACAAGTTCAAACAGGTGCCATTAATACAGGTAACGAGTGGAGGACAGAGGAGCCTCTTAAAGAAGAAGTTACAGGTCTGTGAGAGCCAGAAATCTTGCTTGTTTGTAGGTGACCAAATACTTATTTTCCACCATAATTTGCAAATAAATTCATTAAAAATCCTACAATGTGATTTTCTGGAGAAAAAAAATCTCAATTTGTCTGTCATAGTTGACATGTACCTATGATGAAAATTACAGGCCTCTCTCATCTTTTTAAGTGGGAGAGCTTGCACAATTGGTGGCTGACTAAATACTTTTTTTCCCCACTGTATTTAGCGCGTGCATGGGAACCACTTCTGAAAAGCCTGTCACGCACCTTACTAAGAAGTGCGTAGGAAAGGCATGTGTAAGAAAGGCTTAATTTCCTAAATCGGAATCGGGCCCATAGTGCAGTAATAGTTTTTGCTTCACTGCAGGTTTGTTTAATAAGCTAAAACTTCACAAAAGTAAACTATCCCTTTATTAACCTTTAGTAAAAGGTCATAGCCGTTTGTTATTGGCCTTCCTTTGCCACGACATCCAACCAATTACAACACATTGGTGTTCCTCTCCCTGCCCAGCAGTGAATTCCGAAAAGTGAGAGAAAATGCCAAAGTTTGCTGCTCCTGCGTGTCCTTTGTCACTGCCATATTACCCTCTGCAACACAAGGCTTTAAAAATTATAACGTTAGTCTTACAAACATTTAAAATAGGAAATGGAGATAAGAATTGTCTAGGATCTTCTATGCTAATCTGAAATCTACTAGCGGGTCATGTTCATTCGGATGTGCAACGGCACACATTTTAAAACATTTTGTGAGTGTTTCTTATTAGACAAGTTCAGGTAGTCCCTGTTTCAGTTTGTTTTCTTGCATTTGGTGCATACTGAACAGGGCACTGATGACTTCTATGGGCTGAGGTGTGTTAGTGTGGCTCAGACAGCTCACCACGACATGGGTGTAGACATTGCAGGCGAAATCCAGGTCTTTGAAGCGGGCCTCCACTGGGAAGGTGTACATGTTGAGCCACTGTAGCAGGGGCAGGTCAAGGGCTGTGCCTGCATAGCTGTACTGAGATGCGTGGATGTGGGTGTCCACCATCCCTGGCATGAAGAACTCACTACAGACAACAAAATGGGCTTTAGGATAATAACTGGGGTGTGTTCTGTCACAAACAGATGTAGTGAATTATTTGGAATCAGTGTTACTCTCATAGAAAGGACTCGTCACTCACTGCTGACCAAGCTGTGTAACAGCCAACGCCTCAAAACCCCACTTCTGTGACAGACTGTCCACTTCCTTCCCACTCCCAATGAAAGCAATCTGTCAACATGAGAACCAACCAGAGACAAGGTCCTGATTAGAGCAACAGGGAGACAATCAGAGCCAGCTAGACTCAACAAGGTGATCAATTCATTTAAATATAATGTATCCATATATTGTTAAGTGAGCTACAGTGGGGACAAAAAGTATTTAGTCAGCCACCAATTGTGCAAGTTCTCCCACTTAAAAAGATGAGAGAGGCCTGTAATTTTAATCATAGGTACACGTCAACTATGACAGACAAAATGAGAAAAACAAATCCAGAAAATCACATTGTAGGATTTTTAATGAATTTATTTGCAAATTATGGTGGAAAATAAGTATTTGGTCAATAACAAAAGTTTCTCAATACTTTGTTATATACCCTTTGTTGGCAATGACACAGGTCAAACGTTTTCTGTAAGTCTTCACAAGGTTTTCACACACTGTTGCTGGTATTTTGGCCCATTCCTCCATGCAGATCTCCTCTAGAGCAGTGATGTTTTGGGGCTGTCGCTGGGCAACACGGACTTTCAACTCCCTCCAAAGATTTCTATGGGGTTGAGATCTGGAGACTGGCTAGGCCACTCCAGGACCTTGAAATGCTTCTTACGAAGCCACTCCTTCATTGCCCGGGCGGTGTGTTTGGGATCATTGTCATGCTGAAAGACCCAGCCACGTTTCATCTTCAATGCCCTTGCTGATGGAAGGAGGTTTTCACTCAAAATCTCATCATACATGGCCCCATTCATTCTTTCCTTTACACGGATCAGTCGTCCTGGTCCCTTTGCAGAAAAACAGCCCCAAAGCATGATGTTTCCACCCCCATGCTTCACAGTAGGTATGGTGTTCTTTGGATGCAACTCAGCATTCTTTGTCCTCCAAACACGACGAGTTGAGTTATTACCAAAAAGTTTTATTTTGGTTTCATCTGACATTCTCCCAATCTTCTTCTGGATCATCCAAATGCACTCTAGCAAACTTCAGACGGGCCTGGACATGTACTGGCTTAAGCAGGGGGACACGTCTCGCACTGCAGGATTTGAGTCCCTGGCGGCGTAGTGTGTTACTGATGGTAGGCTTTGTTACTTTGGTCCCAGCTCTCTGCAGGTCATTCACTAGGTCCCCCCGTGTGGTTCTGGGATTTTTGCTCACCGTTCTTGTGATCATTTTGACCCCACGGGGTGAGATGTTGCGTGGAGCCCCAGATCGAGGGAGATTATCAGTGGTCTTGTATGTCTTCCATTTCCTAATAATTGCTCCCACAGTTGATTTCTTCAAACCAAGCTGCTTACCTATTGCAGATTCAGTCTTCCCAGCCTGGTGCAGGTCTACAATTTTGTTTCTGGTGTCCTTTGACAGCTCTTTGGTCTTGGCCATAGTGGAGTTTGGAGTGTGACTGTTTGAGGTTGTGGACAGGTGTCTTTTATACTGATAACAAGTTCAAACAGGTGCCATTAATACAGGTAACGAGTGGAGGACAGAGGAGCCTCTTAAATAAGAAGTTACAGGTCTGTGAGAGCAAGAAATCTTGCTTGTTTGTAGGTGACCAAATACTTATTTTCCACCATAATTTGCAAATAAATTCATTAAAAATCCTACAATGTGATTTTCTGGATTTTTTTTCCTCCATTTGTCTGTCATAGTTGCCTTGTACCTATGATGAAAATTACAGGCCTCTCTCATCTTTTTAAGTGGGAGAACTTGCACAATTGGTGGCTGACTAAATACTTTTTTTCCCCACTGTATTGTAACACATCAGGTGCAATTAAGAAAGGCATCAGATTACACATCTTGCATCACATGCATGACAAAGCAATATATTGCTACACAGTCTGACTACATTTCACAACTTTTGTGACAGTTGTCACGGAATAACCCTAGTTCTACTCGAGTTACACGCCACACAATTTTAACGGATCAAATGAAACTGGTTTGTCTTCTTTTGAAGTAAATGTTATTTGTGTAGGCCACACAAAAAAAAAAACGAATAAAATGTTGGCTTGGGGGAATTTTTTTGTTTGCCAAGGTTTGTCATTACAGTATTTTGAAAATATTTACCGAGCCTATGCATGTTTGTAAAATGTATAGACTCCGGCAACAAATAAATAATGGATAAAAGAGTAGAAAAACATGTAAGTGTACTATGCCTATGTAAAGTAGGGTAATCAAGTTTAAAATGCAACGTTTTTAGGCCTACATAGGCCTATTTCTAAATTAATTGAAATAATGTATGATGCTCGTAAGAGATATTAAAATACTGTTTCACAACTTCCTTCTGTGACAGACCTTCCCCTCCGTGTCCACTCCCAGTAGCCTATCCTCCAGAATTTCCACGGCTTTGTGATAGGTGGAGTGCACAAATGTCCCCCTGTAGACGTGCGCAATTCCCACAGCGGATTCGTTGAAGCTCGTCATCTCTGTACAGGTCAAAGAGCAGGGACCGGCAGTTTGATTATAGAAATTAATCACGTTACGATTTTATCCTCGGCGAGGATAGTGGGCGGTTATCTGCGCACCAATTGGCGCGACTCCACCTGTAGGCACAGTGGGACTGGCCAATAAGCGTGCGCCCGCATGGACAGCAATAGCAGGTTTTTTTTTCCACATATTGAGGGAGTTTGATTAAGTGCACCGGGCTATGGCCCGTGTCGTGAATGGACAAAAGCGGTGAGGGAGGAGCGCCTTTCTCAAATCGAACAGTATAGGCTAATCAGCGCCACTCGGTCATGTTTTCAACAAGGTAGCATGATGCATCTTTCAGAAATGTACATCTCTTTTTCATAAAATATGTTAGCATTTTCAAACTAGTTTTCATTGGAAAGGCAGATTAAGTGGTTTAATTTGCATGTGAACACAAAATCCTACTCATACTCTACAGAACTTTTGTTTTGAGCCGATTTCGCAGTCCAAAACGGGACACCTGGGAGGCAAGCCAGTTCCAAAACGAACGCAATCAACGCTAACTCGGTTCACCCCGGGCGGCCCGGGGTGAACCGGATGTAGGTCGCCAAGATGTAGTCTATCTTTACAATAAACAACTCCTTGTACAATGAGGGTATTAAGCTATTACACACTCCCAAATCTACATCTAGCCTACAACTAGCTAGCCTACATCGCAATAAGTTGTTAAGGCACAAGTCTTGTTCAAATTGTGTTGATTGTAAAATAATGGAACTTCTATGCAATTGTTGTTATTATTAGTTTATAGTAGGGTTATCAAAATAGGTTCTTGTGCATGAGCAATGGTGCATTACTCATTTTCGTACGATAGTTTCGCTCTCCAGTCTCTATAAGCAATTTTTGGCATAGCCTAGACGTGTTCTCCAAGGACTGCTTAGACATGGTGAGAGGAGAGTATATATAGGCTTACCTCCCTCCCTGCTAGGGACTCGATTTTTTGTTTTTTACACAATTGTAAATGAGAGGGAAGGTATACAAATATCTTGAAAAATATTCACCACCTTTGTTGCGGAAAGCCTAAATTAGTTATTTAGTCAAGTTTGCTTACCAAATAACTTGCATCATGGATTCCAGCTGTGTGTAGTACTAGGTGTTAACATGATTTTTAAATAGGCGTATACCTCCATAATCAACCACAAAGACCAAGGAGCTTTTCCAATGGCTTAGGAAGGGCACCGAATGATATGTGGTAAAGACACTGAATATTCTGTTAAATTGTCAAGTTACTAATTAAATGCCAACTCTGAAAAACATCACAATAGTAGCCACTTGGTTGCAGAAGGATATCACTTATAACTGCCTCATGAATTAAGTTAATATGACTAACCCCATCATTTAGTTAATATGACTAACCCCATCATAACCTAAAATGTAAAGTTATTTTAATAATGTTAGCAAAATAAAATATATTGCTTCAAAATATGGTTGAAACTATCAAGAGATTGGTAGGATGCTAATGACTAATAGTACTTGATATATATATATATTTTTTTACATTTCTTAGTCATTTTAGCAGACGCTCTTATCCAGAGCGACTTACAGGAGAAATCAGGGGTTAAGTGCCTTGCTCAAGGGCACAGACAGATTTTTCACCTAGTCGACTCGGGGATTAGAACCAGCGACCTTTCGGTTACTGGCACAAAGCTCTTAACCACTAAGCTACCTGCCGATATGATATGGCCCAATAGGTCATGTAAATTGGCCAACATCTTCAAATGAAATGAACCAAAAGACAATCATATTTAGCAACTTCTATGTCATAATCCAGACAATTTCAAACAAGTTGCTGGTTCAGCACTAAAGCTCACTGCTTCAACACTGAATCTCCCTGGGCATTCCAAGTGAGTTTGGCCCAAAGTTTGTTTTGTATCGTCCAGAAATTAAATTCATAGAAAGTTTCTTTGGGGAGGGGTGTTTGGCATACATTTTAAATCTGCATCCAAAATAATTATTGAGAAAAAATAATAAAAGTAGCAGAGAGCACTAAAAATGTGAGATACTTGGAGTCAGCCTGCTGGAAGTGGTTGGTGGGGGGGGTTGCTGAAATAAATACATTTGCACAACCTACAGATGACTATATGGGTCCACTAATACTGGACTATTAAAAGGCCCAGTGTACTACTTTTGTGAAAAAAATACATTTATTTTTCACATTCTGATTTCAGGGGGTGCTGGAGCACCCTCAGCACCCCTACTTCCCGCAGCTATGCTTGGAGTTTAAAATACTGTCTAAAAATAAACAAAATCAAAAAAGGGTACTGTTAAGTTCAACAATAAGAAACAAAAAAAAAGATCACTCCAGAGTGAAAAAGGGATCTAACAAATGAGCCACTGACAACCAAAACGAAGCGGGTGTGGTTTTAAAACGGGTTCTGAAAGGCATCCATTGGTGTGCCTTACTCACAGGGTGCTGGCCAAGCAAACTCAAGTAGGGTCTTAACAAACCCCCACCATGGACGCCCACTAGATCTGCATAATAGACGAACTAAAGAAGAAAAAAAAAAGAAAAAAACAATTTAGGGAGTAAAAACAAAACGTGGAGCAAGCCAAACAGAGGAAACAAGATCAAACTTAGAGGAAGAGCTAAACAGCCATGTAGCTCTTCAAACATCTCTCATGCCAACTGAAGCATGGGCTGTGCAGCTCTTGAATATATAACCTGTGCCAGCATAGGTGAAACTAATGAGGCAACAGGTGCAACACATCCTGACCAACTAGGATGATTCCAATCAGCGTGCGTCCACACCTAAATAAAACCAACCTTGAAATCAAAAATGAAAAACAAAGCCTGTAACAGTTAATGTAAATAAAATAGTATTCTTAATTTAAACACTACTCATATTTCAAAGCACATGCACACTACGGTTTCAATTGACAGCAAGACAGCCTTTGCAGCATTTACAGACTAATCATTGTAGTGTTTTAAAGCAGACCGTGCTCGAGGAAGGACTGCATTTGCATATTAGACTTTCAAGGCAAGGAAACAGTTTTGTTATTTGGGTCAACTGTCCCTTTAAGTTAGACAGAGCACGTCACTGGACTTTCGATCATGTGTTTTCGATTACGTGTGTTTGAATAAGCAGAACAAACGCATGTGAGCATTACCAAAAGGCACTAAAAACCTGCTCTAAGATCATCAATGAATTGTGTTAATAGCATGATAACAAGTTAGCATGACTCACATGGTCCACTTAGCCTTGTAGCGCTGAAAGGGACAGAACTGAGAGAAGACGATGTCCCACCATGGCAAAGAGATGAAATAATTATCTATAAACAGAGCTACACTGAGTATACCAAACATTAGGAAAACCTTCCTAATGTTGGGTTTCATCCCCTCCACTCCCTTACCCTCAGAACAGCCTCAATTCATCAGGGCATGGACTCTACAAGGTGTCGAAAGCGTTTCATAGGGATGCTGGCCCATGTTGACTCAAATGCTTCCCAAAGTGGTGTAAAGTTGCCTGGATGTCCTTCGGGTGGTGGATCATTCTTGATACACACGGGAAACTTTTGAGCGTGAAAAACCCAGCAGTGTTGCAGTTCTTGACATAAACCGGTGCACCTGGCACCTACTACCAGCCCCCGTTCAAAGGCACTTACATTTTCTATCTTGATCATTCACCCCCTGACTGTCACACATACACAATCTTTGTCTCAATTTTCTCAAGGCTTAAAAATCCTTATTTAACCTGTCTCCTTCCCTTTATCTACACTGATTGAAGTGAATTTAACAAGTGACATCAATAAGGGATCATATCTTTCACCTGGTCAGTGTCATGGAAAAAGCAGGTGTTCTTAATGTTTTATTACACAAAATACACCTTCACTGTCAGAATCAATCTCAAAACTTTTGTGGGGACATACAGTGCATTTGGAAAGTATTCAGACCCCTTTACTTTTTCCTTCATTGTTACATTTACAGCCTTATTCTAAAATGGATTAAATACATTTTATCCCTCAATCTCCACACAATACCCCATAATGACAAAGCGAAAACAGGTTTAGAAATGTTTGCACAAAAAATAAAAATATAAATAAGAGATACCTTATTTACATAAGCATTCTGACCCTTTGCTATGAGACTCAAAATTGAGATCAGGTTCATCCTGTTTTCATAGATCATCCTTGATGTTTCTACAACTTGATTGGAGTCCACCTGTGGTAAATTCAATTGATTGGACATGATTTGGAAAGGCACACACCTGTCTATATAAGGTCCCACAGTTGACAGTGCATGTCAGAGCAAAATCCAACCCATGAGGTCGAAGGAATTGTCCGTAGAGCTCCGAGACAGGATTGTGTCTAGGCACAGATCTGGGGAAGGGTACCAAAACATTTCTGCAGCATTGAAGGTCCCGAAAGAACACAGTGGCCTCCATCATTCTTAAATGGAAGAAGTTTGGAACCACCAAGAGCTGGCCGCCCGGCCAAACTGAGCAATCGGCGGAGAAGGGCCTTGGTCAGGGAGGTGACCAAGAACCCAGTGGTCATTCTGACAGAGCTCCAGAGTTCCTCTGTGGAGATGGGAAAACCTTCCAGAAGGACAACCATCTCTGCAGCACTCCACAAATCAGGCCTTTATGGTAGAGTGGCACTCCTTAGTAAAAGGCACATGACAGCCCGCTTGGAGTTTGCCAAAAGGCACCTAAAGGACTCTGACCATGAGAAACAAGATTCTCTTGTCTGACGAAACCAAGATCGAACTCTTTGGCCTGAATGCCAAGCGTCACGTCTGAAGGAAACCAGGCACCATGCCTACCGTGAAGCATGGTGGTGGCAGCATGCTGTGGGGATGTTTTCCAGCAGCAGGGACTAGTCAGGATCGAGGGATAGATGAACGGAGCAAAGTACAGAGAGATCCATTAAGAAAACCTGATCCAGAGCGCTCAGGACCTCAGACTGTGGCGAAGGTTACCCTTCCAACAGGACATCGATCCAAAGCACACCGCTTCGGGACAAGTCTCTGAATGTCCTTGAGTAGCTCAGCCAGAGCCCGATCGAACATCTCTGGAGAGCCCTGAAAATAGCAGTGCAGCAATGCTCCCCATCCAACCTGACAGAGCTTGAGAGGATCTGCAGAGAATGGGAGAAACTCCCTAAATACAGGTGTGCCAAGCTTGTAGCGTCATACCCAAGAAGACTCAAGGCTGTAATCGCGGCCAAAGGTGCTTCAACAAAGTACTGAGTAAAGGGTCTGAATACTTATGTAAATGAGATATTCTAAAAACCTGTTTGTGCTTTGTCATTATGGGGTATTGTGTGTAGATTGATGAGGGGGGGAAATGACTTAATCCATTTTAGAATAAGGCTGTAACGTAACAAAATGTGGAAAAAGTGAAGGAGACTGAATACTTTCCGAATGCACTGTATGTGTACGTGTGTGTGTATTACTATATTTATATACACTGGATATATTTTTTCAATGAGAAAAGCTGCGGGGTCACTATAATGAATTTATCACAGTAATGCTTGTCAATTGTCCTTCAAACACGACAGGATAACGCTTCCTTAAAGCTATCAAAACAGAACAAAATTGATGTCTCATAGGATTTATTATAAAACAGTTAATTGAAAGTGGGCTTGTCCATTTAAATGTCCCAACACCAAATATAAGTAGGCTATTGTATTTTAGAGTGGTGAAATCTACTGTGGAGGCTTCTATGCAAAAGTATGTATAATCACAGAGGATAAGTATATTAATCCATTTCAATGAATACAGGAGAGGTACAGTTAGGGTGATCTTGGTTTAGCTGTCTTTAGTCTTTGAAACTAACATGTGCCACGTCAGGGATAGGGACCTTGCCTCCTGCCTTCTCAAGACCCGAGTCACTGGGAAAGTCCTCATAGTCACTGCTCAAATCGCCAAAGTCATTGTCATTGTCAAACTCATCTAAGTCCTTCTTCCTCCGAGTGCGTCCGGTCTTCTTTTGATTGGGGTCTTCCTCCTCTTCCTCCTTTGTGTTAACCCTATAGGTGGAAGCGGAATGAAAAAAATAATCATGAAAAATTGAACCCTTTGATCTTTACAACCTGAAAGTACTAGTGCCCAACAGCACACGTGGTTATTCAGAGACACAAAAACCTATTGAACTAGTAGTGGATACGGGGATAATTGTAACACTTAATACAAACAACTTCAATTTGTCTGCTACAAATTGATATAGTTATCATTTTGTCTCAAACAGAATGCATGATTTTGTCTCAAACAAGGACAGTTACAGTATGTTTCAATTGACCCCGTGGTCAGGGTCAGTTGTAAGTGTTTGTGGTAAAATTTAGCATAAATATTTTTTTAATGACTATAATTAACACATGCATTTCAAGAATGAATGCATTTTTATTGAACATAAGAACATTTAAAAAATTGCTGAGCGTGGCACAGTGACTTGACTCTTCACATGACTTTGCAACTAAATTGAGCATGTGCACAGTGAATCACATGATTCTAGCTAGTTCCTGATTGGAGATATTGAAACTGACAGTTATTTCCCTGGTCTTCCCTATGCACTCGTGTTATTATTAGGGATTACTAATAGGTTACATTTATAAGCACTGACATTTTCAAACTAAGATGTGTTCATGTCAAGTGCAGTGAAATATATTTTTAGTTGTTTAGCAGACGCTCTTATCCAGAGCGACTTACAGGAGCAATTAGGGTTAAGTGCCTTGCTCAAGGGCACAAACAGATTTTTTACCTAGTCGGCTCGGGAATTAGAACCAGCGATCTTTCGGTTACTGGCACAACGCTCTTAACCACTAAACTACCTGACGCCCAATTTCTATATGTTAAGGACCTTGAAATGGATTTGTTGTAAGAAATGTGCTATAGACATGTAAATAACATTTCATTTGATCCAGATTTAAAGTGCTAACATGAGTACTCAAAATAATTTTCATGAGAGTACTTGAACAAAGGGGTATCACCACTGAAGGCCATTTAAAGTTACCAGAATTTGCGCACTTGCAACACACACATTTCATAATAATTTGAATAAAGCAGTGGAGAGCAGTATAATTATGTGGGGCAGGTCTCTCATGCCTTTATTATAATATGATTTAGACATAGAGCTAATCTCGAGGTAAGAAAACATTTAAGACTGTGGTAAACATTCTTTTTAAACTCAAATCAAATCAAATTTTATTGGTCACATGCGCCGAATACAACAGGTGCAGACATTACAGTGAAATGCTTACTTACAGCCCTTAACCAACAGTGCATTTATTTTAAACAAAAAAGTAAGAATAAAACAACAACAAAAAAGTGTTGAGAAAAAAAGAGCAGAAGTAAAATAAAGTGACAGTAGGGAGGCTATATATACAGTAAAATAAAGTGACAGTAGGGAGGCTATATATACAGGGGGGTACCGTTGCATAGTCAATGTGCGGGGGCACCGGCTAGTTGAGGTAGTTGAGGTAATATGTACATGTGGGTAGAGTTAAAGTGACTATGCATAAATACTTAACAGAGTAGCAGCAGCGTAAAAAGGATGGGGTGGGGGGGCAGTGCAAATAGTCCGGGTAGCCCTTGAACATGCTATACCGAACAAAAATATAAACGCAACATGTAAAGTGTTGGTCCCATGTTTCATGAGCTGAAATAAAAGATCCCAGAAATGTTCCATAAACACAAAAACCTTCTCTCAAATTTTGGACCTCCACATCTGGCTTATTCACCTGCGGGATCGTCTGAGACCAGCCACCCGGACAGCTGATGAAACTGTGGGTTTGCACAACCGAAGAATTACTACACAAATTTCCTTCTCAGGGAAGCTCATGTGCGTGCTCGTTGTCCTCACCAGGGTCTTGACTTGACTGCAGTTTGGCGTCGTAACCAACTTCAGTGGTCAAATGCTCACCTTCGATGGCCACTGGCACGCTGGAGAAGTGTGCTCTTCACGGATTAATCCCGGTTTCAACTGTACCGGGCAGATGGCAGACAGCGTGTATGTGAACAAGAGTGCCCCAGTGGGGTTATAGTATGGGCAGGCATAAGCTACGGACAACGAACACAATTGCATTTTATAGATGGCAATTTGAATGCACAGACACACCGTGACGAGACCCTGAGGCCCATTGTCGTGCCATTCATCCGCCGCCATCACCTCATGTTTCAGCATGATAATACACGGCCTCATGTTACAAGGATCTGTACACAATTCCTGGAAGCTGAAAATGTCCCAGTTCTTCCATGGCCTGCATACTCACCAGACATTGAGCATGTTTGGAATGCTCTGGATCAACGTGTACGACAGCGTGTTCCAGTTCCCGCCAAAATCCAGCAACTTCGTACAGCCATTGAAGAGGAGTGGGACAACATTCCACAATCAACAGCCTGATCAACTCCATGCGAAGGAGATGTGTCGCGCTGCATGAGGCAAATGGTGGTCACCCCAGATACTGACTGGTTTTCTGATCCACGCCCCTACCTTATTTTTAAGGTATATGTAACCAACAGATGCATATCTGTATTCCCAGTCATGTGAAATCCATAGATTAGGGTTTAATGAATTTATTTAAATTGACTGATTTCCTTATATGAACTGTAACTCAGTAAAATCTTTGACATTTTTGCATGTTGCGTTTATGTTTTTGTTCAGTGTAGTTACCATTTCTTGAATCCAAAAGGACAGTGTTATGCAGTATTTTGATAGCGGTCATTCAAAACAACAAATTACATGCTAAATGAGAACATAGTTATTATTTAGCTTACTAGCCGCCGAAATTGTCGCAACCCCTATTACTAGCCTGTTCAACCTCTCTTTTGTAACGTCTGAGATCCCCAGAGATTGGAAAGCTGCCGCGGTCATCCCCCTCTTCAAAGGGGGTGACACTCTAGATCCAAACTGTTACAGACCCATATCCATCCTGCCCTGCCTTTCAAAAGTTTTTGAAAGCCAAGTTAACAAACAGATCACCGACCATTTCGAATCCCACCGTACCTTCTCCTCCGCTATGCAATCCGGTTTCCGAGCTGGTCATGGGTGCACTTCAGCCACGCTCAAGGTCCTAAACGATATTATAACCGCGATCGATAATAGACAGTACTGTGCAGCCGTTTTCATTGACCTGGCCAAGGCTTTCGACTCTGTCAACCACCGCATTCTTATTGGCAGACTAAATAGCCTTGGTTTCTCAAATGACTGCCTCGCCTGGTTCACCAACTACTTCTCAGATAGAGTTCAATGTGTCAAATCGGAGGGCCTGTTGTCTGGACCTATGGCAGTCTCTATGGGGGTGCCACAGGGTTCAATTCTTGGGCCGACTCTTTTCTCTGTGTATATCAATGATGTCGCTCTTGCTGCTGGTGACTCTCAGATCCACCTCTACGCAGACGACACCATTTTGTATACATCTGGCCCTTCATTGGACACTGTGTTAACAAACCTCCAAACGAGCTTCAATGTCATACAACACTCCTTCAGTAGCCTCCAACTGCTCTTAAACACTAGTAAAACTAAATGCATGCTCTTCAACCGAACGCTGCTTGCACCCGCCCACCCGACTAGAATCACTACTCTCGACGGGTCTGACCTAGAGTATGTGGACAACTACAAATACCTAGGTGTCTGGTTAGACTGTAAACTCTCCTTCCAGACTCACATTAAGAATCTCCAATCCAAAGTTAAATCCAGAATCGGTTTCCTATTTCGCAACAAAGCCTCCTTCACTCATGCTGCCAAACATGCCCTCGTAAAACTGACTATCCTACCGATCCTTGACTTCGGCGATGTCATTTACAAAATAGCCTCCAACACTCTACTCAGCAAATTGGATGTAGTCTATCACAGTGCCATCCGTTTTGTCTCCAAAGCCCCATATACTACCCACCACTGTGACCTGTACGCTCTTGTTGGCTGGTCCTCACTACATATTCGTCGCCAAACCCACTGGCTCCAGGCCATCTATAAATCACTGCTAGGCAAATCCCCGCCTTATCTTAGCTCATTGGTCACCATAGCAACACCCACCCGTAGTATGCGCTCCAGCAGGTATATCTCACTGGTCATCCCCAAAGCCAACACCTCCTTTGGCCGCCATTCCTTCCAGTTCTCTGCTGCCAATGACTGGAACGAATTGCAAAAATCTCTGAAGCTGGAGACACTTATCTCCCTCACTAACTTTAAGCATCAGTTGTCAGAGCACCTTACCGATCACTGCACCTGTACACAGCCCATCTGAAATTAGCCCGCCCAACTACCTCATCCCTATATTGTGATTTATTTTGCTCATTTGTACCCCAGTATCTCTATTTGCACATCATTTCTTGCACATCTATCATCCCAGTGTTAATCCTAATTATAATTATTTTGCACTATAGCTTATTTATTGCCTTACCTCCATAACTTGCTACATTTGCACACACTGTATATATATATATATATATATATTTTTTTTCTGTTGTATTTTTGACTTTGTTTTGTTTTACCCCATATGTAACTCTGTGTTGTTGTTTTTATCGCACTGCTTTGCTTTATCTTGGCCAGGTCGCAGTTGTAAATGAGAACTTGTTCTCAACTGGCTTACCTGGTTAAATAGAGGTGAAATAAAAAATAAAATAAAAAAATTACAATGAACAAGGTAAATGTGGACTATTTGTTTTCACCCAGTAGACGGCAGTAGAAACAGACATCACTGTTTCCAAGCAACATCTCTGCCAGCTTAGCACACTGCTTGTGGGCATTAGACTCACACATACACCATAGTGTAGGAACACTCACGGAATGACGATGTCCTCTTTCTTCCCACACTTGGCACAAAGCTCCAGCTTCAGGGCACAGGGTTTACAAATGACGTGATACGCATCCTTCACGGTCTTCTGAGAACATTTCACACTGAAACACACAGAAACACCCCCTGAATACCCATGTCCTCCACCCCTTCCCTAGCCAACATTTCACCCATTCAAATCCAAAAAAGCTTCCCTTGATAAATCTAAAATGTAAAACATAATCAACTGTAAAAATGACGGCGAGCTTTGTCGGGCTAGATAAGTGGGATAAATGCATGCACCTGAGTACATCCTACCTCTATTTGGCTCACTATTGGATCATTAATCATTAATATGCCACTTAGCAAACGTTTTTATCTCAAACGACACTGAGTGCATACATTTTCAGCGTGTGTGTGTACTCACCATGTTCGAGGTTGGGTGAGGGATTTGTATTTGTTGTACTTGACTTTCCACTCAATAACTTCCTTGCAGCGTTGGCACAATCCGTTGTGGACCTTTGAGTTTGCTATCTGCAACAACATCAGCACCAGATTTACACAGGGAAAAGTAAAACAGACCTACAATCAGCCCAGCATTATCCATACGTATGGTAGACATAGTTGCCAGACAGAATGAATCCAAATGGTTCGCTAGCTAGCCAACTGTTTTGCTAACGCACTGCCATCATGTCTTGTAATGAAGCAAGGCGCTATGTAACGTTAGCCAGCCAGTCATAGACCGTACCTTCACTTGAACACTTGCTCCATATTTGTCGTTCTTGTAAGCAGTCGTGTTTTGGTGCTTCTGTCCTCGTGAGCGAGATGCGTTGCCTTTTTGAGAACTCATTTTGATATAAACAGAACTAGCGCTTGAGCTCACATACCACAACACATGGCATGACAAAATAACCCGGAAGAATATGCCTCGTCATGAGTGACGTCGAATAAAGAGCTACAATTTAACTTTACAAAATCAGTGGTATCAGCGTTTAATAGCATAAAAATCCAGACGCGAATATATTATTGCTCTAATTGAAATATCGTATTTACACTTTCTCTTTTAGATAACGCATTTCCCTTATCCCATTCCGCAAAAAATGTAAATAATTACGTCATTCTATACCGGAAGAGGTAACGCCTTGAGCAATCTGATTGGCCTCTGTTAGAAAATAGTCGTTTCTAATTGGCTTTCTTATAAGCCAATTCAATCATACGGGCGTCACTACGGGGTTCGATGTTTATTTGTTCCGTTTCCCGAAGAGAAGATAGTCTTCGAGCAACAGTGGGCTAGCTACAAGGCTTGAACCTGTGACTGAAGTCAACATTATATAGCATATTTGTTTTACATACGTCTTGTGGAGGCAATTAAGTGAATATCCGGACCACATGGACAAGACTGAGTGTCAAGCAGTTGGAGCTTGGTTTGGGTAGACTGTAGTCGTGTGTAAGCCCCGTCAAGAAGATACATAGCTACCCTGCTAACCAGAGTGGACGAAGGGATATTCGAGTCAACCTGCCTGGTTAACGCTAGCTACTTGTACGCGTTATCTGTCTACGGCAGCTAGCTAGCTAAGTTACTCGCCAGAATAATCGAAATACTAACTACAATTCGCAACGTTACCAGGTATGTGTGTGAACCTCTTCGGGTAGCCTAGCTAGCTAGTATCAAAGCTTTTCTATTGACTCTATTAGCTCGCTAATAACGTAAATTATTGGCTGTTAGGAAATAGTTATCTTTCGTTTAAGGGGAAGGAGTTCTCTACTCAGAAGTGTTTGCTGTACCTTTGCCGAACACTTTACTTTTCAGTCATCATAGGCTGGCAAGGTGGTCCGACGATTTATTTTTGCTAATGTTAATATAATCGCTACGAAGCAATTCTGTCAAGCACCTCGGACTAGAAAGATTAATCAGGCGGTATATACCAATTAATTGTGTATTACAGCCTGATTAATCAGACTACTCCTTGACAGGCATTGATAAACCTTCAGTGCCATTGTAAACTAACGTTATAGCTAAATGTATCAGGATGTCTATAGCCAGGCCTTTTGGATAGTCTCTAAAACAAACCCTCGCTGATGTGTAACGTTATGGGGTCCTCAAGAATCTGAATTGCTTTTATAGATGGGTTGGCTGACAACCTCATGAAAAAGATGTGCTAGCTTCCATGGGGCAGAACTCAGCCTGTTGTGATTCTGGATGGCCAGATTGCTTGCAAGAATGACAAGAAAAGTGGGTGCGAGGGGATGTGCTGTGGGATTATTTTATATACTCTTTGCCCTAGGAGAGAAAGTCAGCTTTGGCAGTGTGGAGAGCCTCCTTGACACGGAAGAGCAGTTTCGGTTGAGTCAACAGTCTTGAAGCCTGACTGGTTAGGGTCAAGAAGATCGTTCTGAGAGAGTTGGTCAGAGACAGCATGCTTAAGTGTTTTGGAAAGAAAATAAGTGACATCAGAGGGGTTAAGTGTTGGTTTTTTGAGGAGCGACTTGGGCCATTTTGAAGAAAGAGGGGACGCAGCCAGTGGTCAGAGATGAGTTGATGAGGGAAGTGAGGAATGGGAGAATGTCTCCAGACATGGTCTAGAGGAGGGGATGGGGTCGAGCGGGCAGGTTGTCGGACGGCCGGACCTCACTAGTCGCAGGATTTCATCTGGAGAGAGAGGGGAGAAAGAGGTCAAGGCGTAAGGTTTGTTCTGTGTGAGTAGGACCAGTGGACTCAATAGGCTGAGTGAATGAGGAGGGGATGTCGCCAACCTTCTTTTCAAAGTTGACAAAGTTGTCCGCATAGAGGGAGTAGGGAGGGGGTAGAGGATTAAGGAGGGAGGAGAATGTGGAAAATAGTTTCCTAGGGTTCGAGGCAGAAGCTTGTCATTTAGAGTGATAGAAAGTGGCTTTAGCAGCGGATACAGAGGAAGGGAAGGTAGAGAGGAGGGAGTGAAAGGATGATAGGTCCACCGTAACTTTAGTTTTCCTCAATTATCGCTCAGCTCCCCGCAGCCCTGTTCTGTAAGCTTGCAATGAGTCACTCAGCCACGGAGCAGGAGGGGAGGGGACAGTGCAAGTCATAGGATGCGGAAAGGGAGTATAATAGGGTCGAGGAGGCAGAATAAGGAGGGAGAAGGATTTAGCAGAAGGGAGAGATGATAGGGAAAGGGGGATACCTATTCAGTTGTACAACTGTATGCATTCAACTGAAATGTGTCTTCCGCATTTAACCCAACCCCTCTGAATCAGAGAGGTGCGGGGAGCTGCCTTAATCAACATCCACGTCTTTGGTGCCCGGGGAACAGTGGGTTAACTGCCTTGCTCATGGACAAAACAACATACTTTTATCTTGTCAGATCTGGGATTCGACCCAGCAACCTTTCGGTTCATAAAGGATAAAGAGGAAAGGGGAGTGGGAGCGAAGATTGCGATGGCGCATGACCATCTGAGTGGCTAGGGTTGGAGAATGAGACAGAAAAGGAAACAATTTAGTGATCTGAGACCTGAAGGGGGGTTGCCGTGAGATTAGTAGGCGAACAGCCTCGAGTAGAGATGAGGTCAAGTGTATTGCCTGCCTTGAGTGGGAAGGGACTAGGAAAGGGTGAGGTCAAAAGAGGCAAGGAGGGGAAAGAAAGAGATGAAAATAAATTAATCGAAGGGAGACATCGGGAGGTTGAAGTCGCCCAGTACGAAGAGCAGTGAGCCGTTGTCAGGAAATGAGCTTATTAAGCTCATTAAGGAACTCTAAGGGCACTTGGTGGGTGATAGATGACAACAATGTTAAGCTTGAGTGGAGAAAATAGAAAACCTATGCTTAGGAGAAATGAGCAGCCCTGTGCCACCACCGCAACGAACAGATGCTCTCAGACTATGAGAGAGACCTAGTCCGATGAAGAGAGAGCAGCTGGAGTAGCAGTGTTCTCTAGGGTGGTTAATATCTCAGTCAGGGCCAAAAAGTCTAGGGACTGAAGGGCAGCATAGGCTAAGATGAACTCTGTGTTCTTGACCACAGATAGGCCGTTCCGAACGCTGCCAGAGACCAGGAATTCCACATGGGTTGTGCGCGCAGGGTACACTAAATTAGAAGGGTTGCAGCCAAGGGGTGGGGAGCGTCTGTAAAGCCTACAGGGAGAGGAGCGAACTGGGATAGAAAACACACACATAGTTGCCAAAGCTACAAACGAGCAAAATTAGCAGAACCGTCTTTGTTTCAGCGACGGTCTTAGTTTTGACGACTAGACAGCCGCTGACACTGATTACCAAAACCACAACAGTCACAAATTGCCCTGCCCCTTAATCCTGGTTGATGTGTCAACGATCAACAGCAAGTTATGTGCAGTCATTAGTTCACACACCAAGGCAGCACTTAAAGTAGATGGCCCTAGCTAGCAAAAAGACAGTACTACACTAGCGGTCAAAAGTTTTAGAACACCTACTCACTCAAGGGTTTTTCTCTATTTTCTACATTTTTACATTTCTACAGTGAAGACATCAAAACTATGAAATAACACATATGGAATCATGTAGTAACCCAAAAAGTGTTAAACAAATCAAAATATATGTTATATTTGAGATTCTTCAAATAGCCATCTTCACCTGTAGTCTCCCGAGTGGCGCAGTGGTCTAAGGCACTGCATCGCAGTGCTAGCTGTGCCACTAGAGATCCTGGTTCGAATCCAGGCTCTGTCGTAGCCGGCCGCGACCGGGAGACCCATGGGGCGGCGCACAATTGGCCCAGCGTCGTCCAGGGTAGGGGAGGGAATGGCCGGCAGGGATGTTTGTAGAGCATGGCGTTTGCAACGCCAGGGTTGTGGGTTCGATTCCCACGGGGGGCCAGTATGATTTTTTTAAAAATATATATATATATATATATAAAATGTATGCACTCACTAACTGTAAGTCGCTCTGGATAAGAGCATCTGCTAAATTACTAAAATGTAAATGTATACCACGTCTCACAAAGACACGGCGGTTGGAACCAAAAATCTCAAATTTGGACTCCAGACCAAAGGACATATTTTCACCGGTCTGATGTCCATTGCTCGTGTTTCTTGGCCCAAGCAAGTCTCTTCTTCTTATTGGTGTCCTTTTAGTAGTGGTTTATTTGCAGCAATTCGACCATGAAGGCCTGATTCACACAGTCTCCTCTGAACAGTTGATGTTGAGATGAGTCTGTTACTTGAACTCTGTGAAGTGTTTATTTGGGCTGCAATTTCTGAGGCTGGTAACTCTTATGAACTTATTCTCTGCAGCGGAGGTAACTCTGGGTCTTCCATTCCTGTGTCGGTCCTCATGAGAGCCAGTTTCATCATAGTGCTTGATGGCTTTTGCGACTGCAAACTTTCAAAGTTCTTGACATTTTCCGTATTGACTGACCTTCATGTCTTAAAGTAATGATGGACTGAGCTGTTCTTGCCATAATATGGACTTGGTCTTTTACCAAATAGGGCTATCTTCTGTATACCACCCCTACCTTGTCACAACACAACTGATTGGCTCAAACGCATTAAGAAGGAAAGAAATTCCACAAATTAACTTTTAAGAAGGCACACCTGTTAATTGAAATGCATTCCAGGTGACTACCTCATGAAGCTGGTTGAGAGAATGCCAAGAGTGTGCAAAGTTGTCATCAAGGCAAAGGGTGGCTATTTGAAGAATCTCAAATATAAAATATATTTTGATTTGTTTAACACTTTCTTGGTTACTACATGATTCCATATGTGTTATTTCATAGTTTTGATGTCTTCACTATTATTCTCCAATGTAGAAAATAGTAAAAAAAATAAAGAAAAACCCATGAATGAATAGGTGTTCTAAAACTTTTGACCGGTAGTGTAGACACAACAGATTAAGACAAAAAATTATACTTATTACTCCTGGAGATATCAGGAGTCCTCTAGCTATAGAATGAAGCATTATATAGAAATGGACAGAGTTGAGGATTGACACTTTGAGGCAGACAGAATAAATGCTCATCAGTGCTATAACTATCGAATGATCTCGGGGCTAAGGGAGGCCATGCAGAAGGGAATCGATAGTGCATGTAAAACAAGCTTTGTGTTAAGGGCACACAGCTCATGTGCATTTCCCACTTACCCATATGTCAGACAAGGTGGGTAGAGAGCTTTGAGAATCGCTGCACACCAGCCTAGTAACCTAAACACAGTAAGGCTATTTTATAGCTTTTTCTCATTTTACTCAAGAGGTCGACTTGATTCCCAGGGTTCGCAGAAGCACAAATACATTTTTAGCCTCAATGTGTTTAGATAAGACTCTATATCTGTTAAGGGGTTTCTGTCTAAGCGGAGGTGAAGTCTGGTTACAGGCTTTAACATATGTGGCTCACAGTCTGTTGGTCTGTTTGTGGGAGGCATGCATCAGTGGTCGAGACTGCCGTGAGTCACAGCTGTGTGGCGGTGTCTGAGCATATCTTTGAAAATGGCTGTCAATAACTGGGGTGTGCTGGAAATTAGACAATTAACCTAACCACACATACAGACCACACACAAACACACACATACCTTAAACCCTCTTTCATTTGTCCTCAGTCTTGGTGAGATCAATCTAATGTAGGCTAGTGAATGTGCCATGACAATAATACCCCATTAGTAATAGTGAATGGTAAGTAAAGTATGGAAATGGTAGTGAATGGTAATGATGTCTCCTCTCATTCCCCCTTCCCCCAGCAGTGTTTGAGGATGAACCACCTGTCCCTGAGTGAGCTGTGCTGCCTGTTCTGCTGCCCTCCATGCCCCAGCAAGATCACCTCCAAGCTGGCCTTCCTGCCCCCGGAGCCCACCTACACCCTCATGTGTGACGAGAGCGGCAGCCGCTGGACCTTGCACCTGTCTGAGCGGGCAGACTGGCAATACTCGGCGCGTGAGAAGGACGCCATCGAGTGCTTCATGACGCGCACTTCACGCGGCAACCGCATCGCGTGCATGTTTGTGCGCTGCTCGCCCAGCGCCCGCTTCACACTCCTCTTCTCACACGGCAATGCAGTGGATCTGGGCCAGATGAGCAGCTTCTACATCGGCCTGGGCTCACGCATCAACTGCAACGTCTTCTCCTACGACTACTCAGGCTACGGGGCCAGCTCGGGGAAACCCTCTGAGAAGAACCTGTACGCTGATGTGGACGCCGCCTGGCATGCCCTCAGGACACGGTAAGTAAGGGGACGAGTGAGTGAGGGAGGGCGGATGTGGTAGGTGATGGTGGAGGAGTGAGATGGCAAAGAAGTGGCTGTCTGTGACGTTGATGTGTCCTACCAAGAGTTGTTGACTATCTTTCCACCTAAAGCTCGATCCATGGCTTAAACGTCTTTAGTTGGAAAGCGAGGTGGAGACAGCATTTATTTTTCGTTACATTGAATGATGTGTTCGAAAATGTGTAGGCTAGGGGCTTTCTCCTCCACCCTCTACCCGGCCGCCCCCAAGGCAATGGTTTTCTGTTCATCAGTTCCTCTCGCCATCCCTCTGGCCCTCCATCCATCTATCAATGAATCGATCCCCACGTAACCTCTAGTCTCCAACACTCCCCTCTCACTCCCCTCTCGCTTCTCTCAACCTCTCTTCCTCCCTTTGTCCTCTATGACCTCCCCCTCTCCCGTTTTATTTTCTCTTGCTAGCATTTACTGGCAGCTCTGCTCTGGGTCCCAGGTGGGGTCCCATACCAACACAGACACACACACACACACACACACACTTCCCTCTGTGGATTATGTGGTTAATTTGCACAGGGTTGACTACCAATGCCTTCCCCTCTGTCCTGTCCTTCATTCTCAGCTGTCTTTTATGAGTGTGTCCGAGCGTATGCGATGATAGGCTACATATTGTTTATGCACAGTTTTGGGGGGAATAAAAGTTCATCCAGACTTATTTCCTGAATTATGACAACAAATCAAAGCAACAAACAAATGAGTCAGAGAATGGAAGGACCATCCAAAGACAAACAGGAAGAGAGTAACACAGTGCCACTCTGGCCCAAATTGCCCACCGTGATGACATTGACTAGAACAAGTGGTCTTCCATATAAGGTCTGGGAGTAAAGTTAAACAGGAAACGATTACCATACAGGGACTAGCAAGCATACAGCAGGACATACTGTAGCTGGGGCTGAGAAACCCATATGTGTGGTTGTCCTGCAAATCTCACATCCTTTTGACTGTAGCCATTCTCTTCTGTTGCTACACATATTACCTGTGTGTGTGTGTGCTTTGTGTGCCATTTTCCTCTCGTCTTAGCCTACTTGTTCCTTCTCCAGCTGTACACACACACACACACACACAAGAAACAACCACAGTCCTGTGGAAACGCACACACACACTGTCACCCGTGACCGGCTCAGAAAATCAGCTTTAAAATGTAATTACGTCAAAGCACAACAGAATCAGGCTTGATTGAATTATCCTCCATGTGGTGGGGGTGGGGTTAGAGAGAGATGGAATGGGGGTGGGGTTAGAGAGAGATGGAATGGGGGTGGGGTTAGAGAGAGATGGAATGGGGGTGGGGTTAGAGAGAGATGGAATGGGGGTGGGGTTAGAGAGAGATGGAAGAGTAGGAGAAAAAACATTAACATCTTCTGATGATTTCATTGGATTGTAAATTACACAATCCTTTTATTGCTATGGTAGCCAACAGTTTTTGTTTCTTGGACACACTGACCTGATTTCTCTCTCTTGCTTCAGTCCTCCTCTCTTCCCCCCTTTTGTCCTCTATGACCTCCCCCTCTGCCCTGCTTTTGAAATCTGATTCATATGCTGCACACTGCTTTCTGTTTGAAGCTGCGACTGTCTCTGTTGCCAATAAATTGATATCGAGCGATAATTCCACTGACGGATATTCAATACATAGGGTGAAAAAAGTTCATCTCAAACTTCTCTGGACACTTGCAGCCATTCTCATGATGTGCCATTATTGTCACAATGTAAGAAATCAACATTTGAAGAATATTTCATGGACAGTAGTTTTTTTGGATAGTAATGTATGAGAACTCGGTGTGAAAAAATTTGACTTTCATTTCCCTGCTGTAAAACAGTATATCGACAGATATATCTGTATCGGTAAGTTTTGTCCCCCAAAAATCGGAATCCGTATCGGACCCAAAAAACGCATATCGGTCGTGCTCTAGCTTTTGGTGTGTGTCTGGGTCATCTATAAAAAAAAAAATATATATATATATGGGGGTTTTCTCATGATTTCTCATGGCCCATCATATAGGCTAGCTACCTGTTAACTAACTGAGGAAGGTTTCAAGTTAATGTCACATGCGCAAGTACAGTGAAATGCTTTTCTTACAAACTCAAACTCAACAAACCCTACAATGCAATAATAAATAACAAGGTAATACTAGAAAAAACACACAAGAAATATGAAGAACACAAAGACTTACTGTTGGAATGGAATATGATTGCGGAGTGATTTAATAATGTGATGTGGCTAATACCCCTACAAATCATCTGGGATAGACAATCTGGACCCTTTCTTTCTAAAACTAGCCGCCGAAATTGTCGCAACCCCTATTACTAGCCTGTTCAACCTCTCTTTCGTAACGTCTGAGATCCCCAGAGATTGGAAAGCTGCCGCGGTCATCCCCCTCTTCAAAGGGGGTGACACTCTAGATCCAAACTGTTACAGACCCATATCCATCCTGCCCTGCCTTTCAAAAGTTTTTGAAAGCCAAGTCAACAAACAGATCACCGACCATTTCGAATCCCACCGTACCTTCTCCGCTATGCAATCCGGTTTCCGAGCTGGTCATGGGTGCACTTCAGCCACGCTCAAGGTCCTAAACGATATTATAACCGCGATCGATAATAGACAGTACTGTGCAGCCGTTTTCATTGACCTGGCCAAGGCTTTCGACTCTGTCAACCACCGCATTCTTATTGGCAGACTAAATAGCCTTGGTTTCTCAAATGACTGCCTCGCCTGGTTCACCAACTACTTCTCAGATAGAGTTCAATGTGTCAAATCGGAGGGCCTGTTGTCTGGACCTATGGCAGTCTCTATGGGGGTGCCACAGGGTTCAATTCTTGGGCCGACTCTTTTCTCTGTGTATATCAATGACGTCGCTCTTGCTGCTGGTGACTCTCAGATCCACCTCTACGCAGACGTAGAGGTGGACATTTTGTATACATCTGGCCCTTCATTGGACACTGTGTTAACAAACCTCCAAACGAGCTTCAATTCCATACAACACTCCTTCAGTAGCCTCCAACTGCTCTTAAACACTAGTAAAACTAAATGCATGCTCTTCAACCGAACGCTGCTTGCACCCGCCCACCCGACTAGAATCACTACTCTCGACGGGTCTGACCTAGAGTATGTGGACAACTACAAATATCTAGGTGTCTGGTTAGACTGTAAACTCTCCTTCCAGACTCACATTAAGAATCTCCAATCCAAAGTTAAATCTAGAATCGGTTTCCTATTTCGCAACAAAGCCTCCTTCACTCATGCTGCCAAACATGCCCTCGTAAAACTGACTATCCTACCGATCCTTGACTTCGGCGATGTCATTTACAAAATAGCCTCCAACACTCTACTCAGCAAATTGGATGTTGTCTATCACAGTGCCATCCGTTTTGTCTCCAAAGCCCCATATAATACCCACCACTGTGACCTGTACGCTCTTGTTGGCTGGTCCTCACTACATATTCGTCGCCAAACCCACTGGCTCCAGGCCATCTATAAATCACTGCTAGGCAAATCCCCGCCTTATCTTAGCTCATTGGTCACCATAGCAACACCCACCCGTAGTCTGCGCTCCAGCGGGTATATCTCACTGGTCATCCCCAAAGCCAACACCTCCTTTGGCCGCAATTCCTTCCAGTTCTCTGCTGCCAATGACTGGAACAAATTGCAAAAATCTCTGAAGCTGGAGACACTTATCTCCCTCACTAACTTTAAGCATCAGTTGTCAGAGCACCTTACCGATCACTGCACCTGTACACAGCCCATCTGAAATTAGCCCGCCCAACTACCTCATCCCTATATTGTGATTTATTTTGCTCATTTGTACCCCAGTATCTCTATTTGCACATCATCTCTTGCACATCTATCATTCCAGTGTTAATACTAATTGTAATTATTTTGCACTATAGCCTATTTTATTGCCTTACCTCCATAACTTGCTAAATTTGCACACTGTATATTATATGTATTTCTGTTGTATTTTTGACTTTGTTTTGTTTTACCCCATATGTAACTCTGTGTTGTTGTTTTTATCGCACTGCTTTGCTTTATCTTGGCCAGGTCGCAGTTGTAAATGAGAACTTGTTCTCAACTGGTTTACCTGGTTAAATAAAGGTGAAATATAAAAATAAAATACAGTCGGCCTAAATTACAAATACAGGAACTAGCCCTATATATTGAAGTTATCATGGACTCTCAGTTCTTGCGTCCAAAGATTCATTTTATGTAGGCTAGCCTATTTGAGAATAGTTACATTTCTACAAGCCCATCCCTCCGCTTTTGACCCAGTGGCAGAACTGCTTTAGACTGAAAAAACGAATTAAGGATTGTTGTGGCTTTAACTGTGGCTTTGGGTGGGTTGTCTGGATTTGCATGGCTGCACCACCATTAGCTATTAGGGGTGTTTTGTGTTTGCCACTTCAGTGTAGCTCCATAGATAAGGATTAAATATTCAGGAAGCCAATATTGAACTGAACATCACAATCTGGCTTATGGCTTCAGACAGTAATGTGACACTGATCAGCAGAGCTTTCTCTCTGGCAGTGTTAAACTGCACATGAGTGAGGAGTAGTCACTGCCGGTTTCCATGCCTGAAGGCTATGATAGTTTGGACGTCTGTGGGACAGACAGCTCCTCTTTGCATTGCAAATTCCATAACAGATCTCATTAAGTATGAAGAATGAAGCAGCATCAACAGTTAAAGCACTGGCATCCCATCTACCAGCGTGGGCTCCCATTGGTCAGAACCAGAGAAGAGAACCGTGAGACAGCACAACATGGGTGGTGGGGTTTGTAGTCCATGTTGATTGACAATAGCCTAATATACACTATCAGGCGAGACGAGGCTGTGCTACTTTTAATTTGGCCCAAGGCTTAGTATAGCCTCGCTCTGTGCCCGATTCGGGTGCTTCAAACCCTGCACGTTTTCAACTGGCCAGTGCTTGGTGTCTCCAACATCACATAGCATTCCACCCCAAATCTATGCCAGGTTCTGGCGCACTGTCACCCATCCACTGGTAATCCAAAGATCCATGTAATTTCTGTCCCATAATTGCCAAACTGACTGACACCCTCAAGGTAGAAGCTGACCCTAATGGCAGATCCAAGATCATCCCACCCTTCCCACAAGCCTTATTCGTAACCATAAAGAGGGCAAAAAGACACAGACCTCAGATCAGCGCAATGGGGAACTTTACCTCCACCTTGCTGCCTCTTAGCCATGCCACTGCCAGACCCAATTATCAATGCAACATGTGATCTTATTCTCCATTCTACAGGGAGCCCTGGCCTCCTTTATTTAACAGTCAGATGGTTAATCTTGGTCCTGTGTTTCACTGCCCTGTGTTTGACTTGAATTCCAGTTGCCTGTCAAATGTCAATCATCTGATCACAACGATGCAAACAGTCACACAACTAAACTCACTGGGTTCAAACAGACACAGGTATGATAGACTTGACTCACTACATGAGTGTGTTTTGCCTGTGGTTGACTACAGGTCATAGCCTATATGAGATGAGATGTGTGTGGCATGTGTGTGCTTGTGTGAAAGAAAGCTGTGGGCCTACTGACTTTGAACGTGAATTAACTTGTTTCTATTTATCATATCAAAAAGCTCTCTCTCCATGTCTCCCCTTTAGCATCCTGCCGCTGTCTGTTTTATGTAAGTGTGTTCCTCATGCAAATTAAATGAGGGCTGGCGATAGGGCTGTGGTGGTCATGAAATTTTGTCAGCCGGTTATTGTCATGCAAAAGTCTGCCGGTATCACGGTAATTGACCCTTAATTAACATAAACATGTTTAGCATCTCCAGGCCTCCACGCATACAAGCCAGGTACAAGCCGTTGATGCACGGCTTTGGAACGTTTACATTTTAAAAAGTCTAATATACACCATCATAATAAATCCATGATTTATTTTAGGCAGGTCTAAAGAAATCAGTATTAAAAAATAAATAAAAAATAGTTTTCTGCCATGTGTAATATGCGGTAGGCTATGTATTGTATAACGACACAATCCTTATTTTAATCTTTTTTTTTTTTCGGGCTTGGGCTCATATATAGGCCTATGCTAATGCATAAGCTCTAATATGCATATGGATGTTTTGAATTAGTCATCACCTTAGAAAGTGCTGTCCATTTTAGTTGTTAGGCTTTGAAACAACATGTTTTTCACTCCGTTTCAACCTGTTGTTGAACTTGTTCTTCAAATTGATCAATCACATTGAGGTGAGTTTTAAAAGCAAGATACTGTTTTGATGAGAATTGTTTGATGTGATTTTCAATTGCATTTGAATTGATTTCAGAGAGGAAAATGGCACACAAAGCACAAGAACAGAGCAGCCTCCACACACACACACAGCTGGAAAGACTATGAAGGACTTTGTGTGTGTTCCTATGTTCTGGTGCAGGGTGAGGTCCTGTCTTACCTGAGTGTTCAGGTGACTCAGTCATGAGTCAGCAGGTGTGTCCCACACTGTCAGCAGACAGCTTTGACCGAACACACACACACTTTATTGGTACATACAGTTGAAGTCGGAAGTTTACATACACCTTAGCCAAATACATTTAAGTTTTTCACAATTCCTGACATTTAATCCTAGTTCAGCCCCGTGTAGCTCGGCTGGTAGAGCATGGCGCTTGCAACGCCAGGGTTGTAGGTTAGTTTCCCACAAAATGTATGCACCCACTAACTGTAAGTCGCTCTGGATAAGAGCGTCTGCTAAATGACTAAAATGTAAATGTAGCACAAATTCCCTGTCTTAGGTCAGTTAGGATCACCACTTTATTTTATGAATGTGAAATGTCAGAATAATAGTAGAGAGAATTATTTATTTCAGCTTTTATTTCTTTCATCACATTCCCAGTGGGTCAGAAATTTACATACACTCAATTAGTATTTCGTTGCATTGCCTTTAAATTGCTTAACTTGGGTCAAACTTTTCGGGTAGCCTTCCACAAGCTTCCCACAATAAGTTGGGTGAATTTTGGCCCATTCCTCCTGACAGAGCTGGTGTAACTGAGTCAGGTTTGTAGGTCTCCTTGCTCGCACACGCTTTTTCAGTTCTGCCCACACATTTTCTATAGGATTGAGGTCAGGGCTTTGTGATGGCAACTCCAATACCTTGACTTTGTTGTCCTTAAGCCATTTTGCCACCACTTTGGAAGTATGCTTGGAGTCATTGTCCATTTGGAAGACCCATTTGCAACCAAGCTTTAACTTCCTGACTGATGTCTTGAGATGTTGCTTCAATATATCCACATCATTTTCCTTCCTCATGATGCCATCTATTTTGTGAAGTGCGCCAGACCCTCCTACAGCAAAGCACCCCCACAGCATGATGCTGCCACCCCGTGCTTCACGATTGGGATGGTGTTCCTCGGCTTGCAAGCAACCCCCTTTTTCCTCCAAACATAACGATGGTCATTATGGCCAAACAGTTCAATTTTTGTTTAATCAGACCAGAGGACATTTCTCCAAAAAGTACGATCTTTGTCCCCATGTACAGTTGCAAACCGTAGTCTGGCTTTTTTATGGCGGTTTTGGGGCAGTGGCTTCTTCCTTGCTGAGCGGCCTTTCAGGTTATGTTGATATAGGACTCGTTTTACTGTGGATATAGATACTTTTGTACCTGATTCCTCCAGCAGCTTCACAAGGTCCTTTGCTGTTGTTCTGGGATTGATTTGCACTTTTCGCACCAAAGTACGTTCATCTCTAAGAGACAGAACACGTCTCCTTCCTGAGCGGTATGACGTCTGCATGGTCCCATGGTGTTTATACTTGCGTACTATTGTTTGTACAGATGAATGTGGTACCTTCAGGCGTTTGGAAATTGCTCCCAAGGATGAGCCAGAGTTGTGGAGGTCTACACATTTTTTTCTGAGGTCTTGGCTGATTTCTTTTGATTTTCCCATGATGTCAAGCAAAGAGGCACTGGGTTTGACGAAACTATAGTTTGTTAACAAGAAATTTGTGGAGTGGTTGAAAAACGAGTTTTAATGACTCCAACCTAAGTGTATGTTAACTTCCGACTTTAACTGTATATGGCAGGGTATAGGGCGTACAGCCAGTATCAGTGTTATTGCATTGAGGCCCATAACCAGGGAGGGAGAAGGGAGGGAGGGAGTGGGGGAGGGTATTTCTGGAACTAAAAGGGTTGGGTTTTGTCAGTGGAAGCCTGCTGTCGCTGTGAGGGCTGTCCACTCCTATAGAATAGTGCTGTTTCATTTTCTTTTCACTTGGCCATGTTCCAGCAGTCAATCCTTCCAAGTCTAATATTGACTGGTAGCCTAGCAACAGATTTCCAATGAGGTTTCAGACGGAGACCCACTGCAGCCTCTGCCTCAGGAAGTGAAAACAACAAACTTCCTGATCAATCATATTATTGATTGGAGACTAAATGAAGGTCCCTTCAGCCAGCAGCAAACACACACGTAGCCTAGATCGCACGCACGCACGCAGCCTAGATCGCACGCACGCAGCCTAGATCGCACGCACGCAGCCTAGATCGCACGCACGCAGCCTAGATCGCACGCACGCAGCCTAGATCGCACGCACGCAGCCTAGATCGCACGCACGCAGCCTAGATCGCACGCACGCACGCAGCCTAGATCGCACGCACGCGCGCAGCCTAGATCGCACGCACCATAGTGGTGATGGCAGCCAACACAGTAAGTCATTTGTAATGTCATTTGGTATGGGTATGGGGCTACACAATGGCAGCACTGTCCTCAGAGTCATAGTGAGTGTAGCCACTCGATCTTCAGTTCCGATTGACATGACTGGGGGCAGGAGAGAGAGCAGCTATTAACGTACGTAGCACCATGTCCTCTTCAGTAAAAAATATGACCCAGTATAGAACACAAAGAACACGAGACCTAATTATCTTATAGCCTAGCTGCTTCCCCCTTGACCTCTATTGACAGTGGTTCTGTTTCTCTCTCCCCCTCTCTCTCTCTCTCTCTCTCTCTCTCTCTCTCTCTCTGTCTCTCTCTGTCTCTCTCTCTCTCTCTCTCTCTCTGTCTGTCTCTGTCTCTCTCTCTCTCTCTCTGCCTGCATTATAGATTGGATTGGACTCAGGGAATACATTTATGATTGGGTAGTGGAGAGCTTGTGTAACCATGGAGCGTGCTCAGGGAGGTGAAGTGAGTTCATGCCCTAAGTTGGCCTGGTAACACACACACACAAAGTCACTTGCATTCATATCACCTGATCCACTAGTGTTACAGTCCCTGACTGTACTTTATATCATATGTTTTACATTAACTGTTGTTATAAACATTACACACGGTGTGTTTTGACAACCTTTTGATATCTTAGGTTTTGGCCAGCCTGTTATAGCCTGGCTAGCCTGTCATTAGATGCATTTGATATAGGCTAAAGATTAAATCCAGGCCTACTGTTTCACTGTTTATGTGGGAATGCTGGTGCTCAGAACAGTTGCCTGCAAAGAAGAGGCTGAATTAAAAATTCCTCACCCACATTTCAGGATTCTAGTTCTTAATATAGGCTAGTTCCAATGGGCACTGTGCGCCTATTAAGTCCACTCTGTCATCAGAAGGTTTTGACCTATTGGGACCTCCTGTGAGCCTCCACCCATCATATGTCTTGTACAGTCCAGGCTAGGTTAGGCTAGGTAGAACTGGTGGTGTTTGTGTGATAAGTCCTGCAGCGGTTTAGAGCCGGGGAAGTCAGCTGACTGGCTGTGTTGGTCACATTCTCCATAATCAGCAGTGGAATGCCTTTCTCGCTCTCTTCTCCTCTCTTTTTCTATCTGTATCTCTCTTTTTCTTTGGTCTTCTGCTTGTCCCACCACACCCCTTATTGACATGTCAATGCTCCCACACCGACTGATCCTAGACTTCCGCTCCCTCCTGACTACTGAACCTCTGACCTGAGTGGGGTGACTGGGTCATGTTAATAGAGACTGACTGAATAACTGTGACTATGTCATCATCATCCTTATCTTGACTAGGTCTACATTCTTATCATCGACATCCTACCTTGTCATGGTCCTTACTCATGGTATCAGGAAATTGATGCTGTGTAGCTGATGATAATGTTTAACCTGAGAGTGTTCTGTGTCTCTGCCCCCAGGTACGGTATTAGGCCAGAGACCGTGATCGTGTATGGTCAGAGTATCGGTACAGTCCCTTCCGTGGACCTGGCGGCACGCTACGAGAGCGCCGCGGTCGTCCTGCACTCCCCCCTCACCTCTGGCATGAGAGTGGCCTTCCCAGACACCAAGAAAACCTACTGCTTTGATGCCTTCCCCAAGTGAGTGACACACACACAGCATAAAGCAGTCATGTTTGAGTCACTCTGAACTCAAATGCTCCATCTGGTGGTCCTTGGTTACTGCCAGGTTATGGAGAATCGTAGGACTGTGACTGTCATGGAATTTTGGATGACGGTTATTGGTCAGCCAAATGACTGTGGTCACCATTATAACCCTTCAAATAACCTTTGGAAATGTGCGTATTTTCTCATCTCCTCCACTCCTGACTGCATGTGCTGCCATAGAAATGGAATGAATAGAACAGGTGTCCCCATTCAAGTCAATGATGGCATAATGGGTGGACTGGTGGCCATTGCGAGTGTACCCATAGAGCAAAGCAGGAAGTGTACCCATCAATATGTGCTGTGATATGTTGATTCAACTCAATTGACATTACAAAAAATACATTCCATTGCATGAGCCTACTACATTACCATGGAAATTATTGCAACACAATACCAGGCGGCCATTGCGATTGTACCCATTAATTTTATTTTTTTAGATGGCCATTTTATTTTCATAACTGTTGGTTATACAGTAATTGTGCCAGCCCTAGAGAATTGCGCTGTTGACAAGTCTAAAAGGGTAAACTGCCTGCTGTTGAAATGACCACATTGGGTTATTTTAAATCCTGTTCCTGTCATCTGTTTCATCATTGCTTGGAAATTATACTTGCCTAACACTTCCCTTCCTCTTTCCTCTGTGTTCCGTCCCTCGTGCGTGGTGCATCCGTCCATCTAAACTCGCCTTGCCTCAAAGTATTGACAAGATCTCCAAGGTGACGTCTCCAGTGCTGGTGATTCACGGGACAGAGGATGAGGTGATTGACTTTTCCCACGGCCTGGCGCTGTACGAGCGCTGCCAGAGGCCCGTGGAGCCCCTGTGGGTGGAGGGCGCCGGCCACAACGATGTCGAGCTCTATGGACAGTACCTGGAGCGCTTGAAACAGTTTGTGGCCCATGAGCTCGTCAACTTGTCAACTTGACTTCCCCCCTCAGTCACTCACCTGCTGCAACTGTGAGCTTTTGAAATACCATCCTTTTTTAAATATTTTTTTAATATATAATTTGAAATTGCACAATGTGCGCATGTGTCTGTGAGTGTGTGGGAGAGTTGGATGGACAGATATGTGCTCAAGGGGATTATGTGTGTTTTGTGCATAGAAGAGCAGTGGAGGTGGGATTCTGTGTGTGTGTGTGTGTGTCACATATTTTCTGCCTTTCAGAAGAATGCGGTCCTGGTCCATTGTAAGGACTTTTGAGCATATCTGAGAGGTTTGTGTGGAGCAGCCATGCTGGATGGAAGACTGGACTGCCACTCATCCCAGTCCATCTTGACTAAGGAGCCAAGTCTTATTCAATGTGGTCAACATGGATATTTTGTTGTTATTGTGTATTTGTTTATTTTTTTAATATATAAAGTTTGCATGTATCACGTGACTGGGAACTGTACGAGACAACTCTGATATTTAAGATAGAAGTGCCAGTGTTGCCAAAAGTTCAGCATATTGAAGAAAATGGCACGCAACTATATTGTAGAAATATCTCCAGTTGTATAAATGTACAGTTTTTTTGTTGTTGTTATTACTATGTTGTTTTTCATGTATTCTTTTAGTAAAGCTACTACGACTCCATTGTAGTATGAAGAAAGATGTGTTTTTCAGACCACAGTGACATGCTGGATAGTTCCAATTAAAGATGTATAATGTACATGTAACATTAATAATAATGCTTATTTACCAATTCAGAGGAATAGTATTTCTAGATATTTCTTTTGTATACAAACTGCCTGTACACCTGGTAGCTCTTAATCAAGCTATGTAATAAAGAGTCATGCCACTGATGCTGTTAGAAAGCATAGAAAAACAGTGTAAGTCATTAATGCTTGATTGGGAAATGTTTTGATGACAGCTTTGTTTTACCGAGGACACAACTGGACGCTTTCTTCTTTTTTGCACACTTTTGGCTTTTGTCTTAACTCTTATGATATCTGATGGACTGCATGGTATTTCGGCGCCTTTGTTTACTTTGAGAAACACTATTAATGCTGAACAAGGTGAAACATTTACCAATCACATACTTTATTGTATTAGTAGGGCACTGACTAAGCCTATAGAAGCAGATGTTAAGCGCTACTGCATGCTATGATAGGCTAGTGTTTTCTTACTTTTAGCTGGGTAAATGCTGTCTAGCTTAAGCCCATGGGTGCTACTGAAAACCTCCAGGTCTGATTGGTACAGTCTGATTAACTGAAATATTTGGATTGGTTGTTGATGTTACTAGAGTAATCAATAATTGTTAGGATTGGTTGTTAGATAGTACTAATACTTCCATCCATTTTGACTTTATAAATAATGTTTGTACTGGACATTTGTATTTCTTTCACTAACCTCTGTAATATCTAAATGTAAGTTATTATTAGTACTTTAACTGTTCATATGAGAATTAGGCATCCATCTGTGGTGAGACCATTTTGAATTATTCCGATGACTGTTGAACTCTATCTGGTCACCCAGATCGATGTAATTTATTATTTTCTAAGAAGTTTCATTACTGAAGGAAATTATATAACATGATCTTGATAATAGTTATAATAAAATGGATATAGACAATAAAAACGAAACAAAAAATACGCCTGATCTTTTTTGCTTGTGTACTGAATGGGTAGAGGGCAAGTTCAAGTTTCAACTTTATTGTCCCAGAGGGCAATTGGTTTTTCAGCATAGGAGCATAAATAACATTGAACATATAGAATCCACATGGATCACAATGACACAGTTCTAGGTAATACAATGGGTTAGTCCATCAAGTCATAGGGCTGACAGCCATCAATAGAAATATATACAGTAGGCTTCTAGTGATTGACATTAGCAGCAGTACAAAAGTATAGCAAGCAAAAGTTGCCTAATAAGTGAAGTGCTCTGTGCATTCTTAGATCATCTCGTGAACAAAAATCAACAATGTACTAACAAAAACATCAACGTCATCATCATCCTCATCATCCCTAGCCTACCTCCTCTTCCCTGTATTCAAAAGGGCAATGGCCATGGGGTAAAGGAGTGCTTGTGCCTGTTAGTCTTAACAGTTGGGAATCTAAACTGGGAGCCAGACCTGGAACTCATGGTGTAGGGGGGTGGGCACAGTCAGACAGGATGGATTCTGCCTTCCTCACCACTTGTGTTGTACAGATCAGACAGACTACTCTGCTGGACACCTGTGATCTTACTGCCCACTTTCACTATTTCTAGCTAGTGCATAAAATAAAATTTTAAAACACTCTATGTACAACTTATAAAAGTGTCATCAAGGACCTCTCTACCTGGAACTTTGCCAGTTACCTGAGACAGAAAAAGGTGTTGCTAGCCCTTCTTACACGTGTCAGTGTTACGCTCAAAGTTATCAATAATTTGTGCCAAAATACTTGTCGTTGTCTACAGTGTCTACTTTCTGGCCCTTGATGATAGTGTTCTGAGGGGCAGGGTGTTGACGCCTGAAATCAATACACATACAGTTGAAGTCGGAAGTTTACATACACTTAGGTTGGAGTCATTAAAACTCGTTTTTCAACCACTCCACAAATTTCTTGTTAACAAACTATAGTTTTGGCAAATCTACTTTGTGCATGACACAAGTAATTTTTCCAACAATTGTTTACAGACAGATTATTTCACTTATAATTCACTGTATCACAATTCCAGTGGTTCAGAAGTTTACATACAGTCGTGGTCAAAGTTGAGAATTATACAAATACTAATTTTCACAAAGTCTGCTGCCTCAGTTTTGATGATGGCAATTTGCATATACTCCATGTCATGAAGAGTGATAAGATGAATTGCAATTAATTGCAAAGTCCCTCTTTGCCATGAAAATGAACTTAATCCCCAAAAAACATTTCCACTGCATTTCAGCCATGCCACAAAAGGACCAGCTGCCATCATGTCAGTGATTCTCTCGTTAACACAGGTGAGAGTGTTGACGAGGACAAGGCTGGAGATCACTCTGTCATGCTGATTGAGTTAGAATAACAGACTAGAAGCTTTAAAAAAAGGGTGGTGCTTGAAATCATTGTTCTTCCTCTGTTAACCATGGTTACCTGCAAGGATACACGTGCCGTCATCATTGCTTTGCACAAAAAGGGCTTCACAGGCAAGGATATTGCTGCTAGTAAGATTGCACCTAAATCAACCATTTATCGGATCATCAAGAACTTCAAGGAGAGAGGTTCAATTGTTGTGAAGAAGGCGTCAGGGCGTCCAAGAAAGTCCAGCAAGTGCCAGGACCGTCTCCTAAAGTTGATTCAGCTGCGGGATCGGGGCACCACCAGTGCAGAGCTTGCTCAGGAATGGCAGCAGGCAGGTGTGAGTGCATCTGCACGCACAGTGAGGCGAAGACTTTTGGAGGATGGCCTGGTGTCAAGAAGGGCAGCAAAGAAGCCACTTCTATCCAGGAAAAACATCAGGGACAGACTGATATTCTGCAAAAGGTACAGGGATTGGACTGCTGAGGACTGGAGTAAAGTCATTTTCTCTGATGAATCCCCTTTCCGATTGTTTGGGGCATCCGGAAAACACCTTTTCCAGAGAAGACAAGGTGAGCGCTACCATCAGTCCTGTGTCATGCCAACAGTAAAGCATCCTGAGACCATTCATGTGTGGGGTTGCTTCTCAGCCAAGGGAGTGGGCTCACTCACAATTTTGCCTAAGAACACAGCCATGAATAAAGAATGGTACCAACACATCCTCTGAGAGCAACTTCTCCCAACCATCCAAGTACGGTTTGGTGACGACCAATGCCTTTTCCAGCATGATGGAGCACCTTGCCATAAGGCAAAAGTGATAACTAAGTGGCTCGGGGAAAAAAACATCGACATTTTGGGTCCATGGCCAGGAAACTCCCCAGACCTTAATCCCATTGAGAACTTGTGGTCGATCCTCAAGTGGCGGGTGGACAAACAAAAACCCACAAATTCTGACAAACTCCAAGCATTGATTATGCAAGAATGGGCTGCCATCAGTCAGGATGTGGCCCAGAAGTTAATTGAGAGCATGCCAGGGTGGATTGCAGAGGTCTTGAAAAAGAAGGGTTGTCAAGGCGTCAGTGTAATGCGGTAGGACGAAGTCAGGCGCAGGACACAGGTCTAATAGAAAAACTTACTTTACTCGTAGGTATCTTAATGAACATACCTCCACGCAGGGAGGAACAAACCCACTCACATACGACAACCAAAACATGAACAAACACGCATAACACACAGTGTGAGCCAGAGGGTTAAATAGGGAAGACATAATTACATGATGGGAAACAGGTGAGACTAATACAGACAAAACAAGTAGAACATACAGTGAGGGAAAAAAGTTTTTGATCCCCTGCTGATTTTGTACGTTTGCCCACTGACAAGGAAATGATCAGTCTATAATTTTAATGGTAGGTTTATTTGAACAGTGAGAGACAGAATAACAACAAAAAAATCCAGAAAAACGCATGTCAAAAATGATATAAATTGATTTGCATTTTAATGAGGGAAATAAGTATTTGACCCCCTCTCAATCAGAAAGATTTCTGGCTCCCAGGTGTCTTTTATACAGGTAACGAGCTGAGATTAGGAGCACACTCTTAAAGGGAGTGCTCCTAATCTCAGCTTGTTACTTGTATAAAAGACACCTGTCCACAGAAGCAATCAATCAATCAGATTCCAAACTCTCCACCATGGCCAAGACCAAAGAGCTCTCCAAGGATGTCAGGGACAAGATTGTAGACCTACACAAGGCTGGAATGGGCTACAAGACCATTGCCAAGCAGCTTGGTGAGAAGGTGACAACAGTTGGTGCGATTATTCACAAATGGAAGAAACACAAAATAACTGTCAATCTCCCTCGGCCTGGGGCTCCATGCAAGATCTCACCTCGTGAAGTTGCAATGATCATGAGAATGGTGAGGAATCATCCCAGAACTACACGGGAGGATCTTGTCAATGATCTCAAGGCAGCTGGGACCATAGTCACCAAGAAAACAATTGGTAACACACTACGCCGTGTAGGACTGAAATCCTGCAGTGCCCGCAAGGTCCCCCTGCTCAAGAAAGTACATATACAGGCCTGTCTGAAGTTTGCCAATGAACATCTGAATGATTCAGAGGAGAACTGGGTGAAAGTGTTGTGGTCAGATGAGACCAAAATGGAGCTCTTTGGCATCAACTCAACTCGCCGTGTTTGGAGGAGGAGGAATGCTGCCTATGACCCCAAGAACACCATCCCCACCGTCAAACATGGAGGTGGAAACATTATGCTTTGGGGGTGTTTTTCTGCTAAGGGTACAGGACAACTTCACCGCATCAAAGGGACGATGGACGGGGCCATGTACTGTCAAATCTTGGGTGAGAACCTCCTTCCCTCAGCCAGGGCATTGAAAATGGGTCGGGGATGGGTATTCCAGCATGACAATGACCCAAAACACACGGCCAAGGCAACAAAGAAGTGGCTCAAGAAGAAGCACATTAAGGTCCTGGAGTGGCCTAGCCAGTCTCCAGACCTTAATCCCATAGAAAATCTGTGGAGGGAGCTGAAGGTTCGAGTTGCCAAACGTCACCCTCGAAACCTTAATGACTTGGAGAAGATCTGCAAAGAGGAGTGGGACAAAATCCCTCCTGAGATGTGTGCAAACCTGGTGGCCAACTACAAGAAACGTTTGACCTCTGTGATTGCCAACAAGGGTTTTGCCACCAAGTACTAAGTCATGTTTTGCAGAGGGGTCAAATACTTATTTCCCTCATTAAAATGCAAATCAATTTATAACATTTTTGACATGCGTTTTTCTGGATTTTGTTGTTGTTATTCTGTCTCTCACTGTTCAAATAAACCTACCATTTAAATTATAGACTGATCATGTCTTTGTCAGTGGGCAAACGTATAAAATCAGCAGGGGATCAAAAACTTTTTTCCCTCACTGTAGAAACATGGATCGGAAGCAGCTAGTACTCCGGTGCCGACAAACGCAGAAGCCTCCCTGAGCAAGGAGGAGGGGCACCCTCGGCTGAATTCGTGACAAGGGTCAACACTGCAAATATTGACTCTCTGCATAAACGTAATGTAATTGTCAATAAAAGCCTTTGACACTTATGGAATGCTTGTAATTATACTTCAGTATAGCATAGTAACATCTGACAAAAATATCTCATAACACTGAAGCAGCGAACTTTGTGAAGACCAATACTGGTGTCATTCTCAAAACTTTTGACCACGACTGTACACTAAGTTGACTGTGCCTTTAAACAGCTTGGCTTTAGAAGCTTCTGATAGGCTAATTGACATAATTTGAGTCAATTGGAGGTGTACCTGTGGATGTATTTCAAGGCCTACCTTCAAACTCAGTGCCTCTTTGCTTGACATCATGGGAAAATCGAAAGAAATCAGCCAAGACCTCTGAAAAAAATGTATAGACCTCCACAAGTCTGGTTCATCCTTGGCAGCAATTTCCAAACGCCTGAAGGTACCACGTTCATCTGTACAAACAATAGTACGCAAGTATAAACACCATGGGACCACGCAGCTGTCATACCGCTCAGGAAGGAGACGCGTTCTGTCTCCTAGAGATGAACGTACTTTGGTGCGAGAAGTGCAAATCAATCCCAGAACAACAGCAAAGGACCTTGTGAAGATGCTGGAGGAAACAGGTACAAAAGTATCTACAGTGGGGAAAAAAGTATTTAGTCAGCCACCAATTGTGCAAGTTCTCCCACTTAAAAAGATGAGAGAGGCCTGTAATTTTCATCATAGGTACACGTCAACTATGACAGACAAAATGAGAATTTTTTTCTCCAGAAAATCACATTGTAGGATTTTTTATGAATTTATTTGCAAATTATGGTGGAAAATAAGTATTTGGTCAATAACAAAAGTTTCTCAATACTTTGTTATATACCCTTTGTTGGCAATGACACAGGTCAAACGTTTTCTGTAAGTCTTCACAAGGTTTTCACACACTGTTGCTGGTATTTTGGCCCATTCCTCCATGCAGATCTCCTCTAGAGCAGTGATGTTTTGGGGCTGTCGCTGGGCAACACGGACTTTCAACTCCCTCCAAAGATTTTCTATGGGGTTGAGATCTGGAGACTGGCTAGGCCACTCCAGGACCTTGAAATGCTTCTTACGAAGCCACTCCTTCGTTGCCCGGGCGGTGTGTTTGGGATCATTGTCATGCTGAAAGACCCAGCCACGTTTCATCTTCAATGCCCTTGCTGATGGAAGGAGGTTTTCACTCAAAATCTCACGATACATGGCCCCATTCATTCTTTCCTTTACACGGATCAGTCGTCCTGGTCCCTTTGCAGAAAAACTGCCCCAAAGCATGATATTTCCACCCCCATGCTTCACAGTAGGTATGGTGTTCTTTGGATGCAACTCAGCATTCTTTGTCCTCCAAACACGACGAGTTGAGTTTTTACCAAAAAGTTATATTTTGGTTTCATCTGACCATATGACATTCTCCCAATCCTCTTCTGGATCATCCAAATGCACTCTAGCAAACTTCAGACGGGCCTGGACATGTACTGGCTTAAGCAGGGGGACACGTCTTGCACTGCAGGATTTGAGTCCCTGGCGGCGTAGTGTGTTACTGATGGTAGGCTTTGTTACTTTGCTCCCAGCTCTCTGCAGGTCATTCACTAGGTCCCCCCGTGTGGTTCTGGGATTTTTGCTCATCGTTCTTGTGATCATTTTGACCCCACGGGGTGAGATCTTGCGTGGAGCCCCAGATCGAGGGAGATTATCAGTGGTCTTGTATGTCTTCCATTTCCTAATAATTGCTCCCACAGTTGATTTCTTCAAACCAAGCTGCTTACCTATTGCAGATTCAGTCTTCCCAGCCTGGTGCAGGTCTACAATTTTGTTTCTGGTGTCCTTTGACAGCTCTTTGGTCTTGGCCATAGTGGAGTTTGGAGTGTGACTGTTTGAGGTTGTGGACAGGTGTCTTTTATACTGATAACAAGTTCAAACAGGTGCCATTAATACAGGTAACAAGTGGAGGACAGAGGAGCCTCTTAAAGAAGAAGTTACAGGTCTGTGAGAGCCAGAAATCTTGCTTGTTTGTAGGTGACCAAATACTTATTTTCCACCATAATTTGCAAATAAATTCATAAAAAATCCTACAATGTGATTTTCTGGAATTTCTTTTCTTATTTTGTCTGTCATAGTTGACGTGTACCTATGATGAAAATTACAGGCCTCTCTCATCTTTTTACGTGGGAGAACTTGCACAATTGGTGGCTGACTAAATACTTTTTTCCCCCACTGTATCAGGACATTTACCCAGGAGTCATTCCTGTCAGTTGTGTGCTGTTGATAGCACATGGTGCTTGCAATGCCAGGGTTGTGGGTTCGACTCCCACGGGGGAGCAGTACAAAAAAGAATGAAAATGTATGCACTCACTACTGTAAGTTACTCTGGATGAGAGCATCTGCTACATGACTAAAATGTACTCTTGCATGCGTGAATTTTTCACTACATTCGTGTTAGTAGTGGGATGGCGAGTGAGGCCATAGCAGAGGCATGTACACTTGATGTGAGGGACTTGGTTTAGAGAAGTGTAGGGACAAGATAGCACCTGAAGGAAGGGGGTAGTGTAGCGACCTTAACGCAACACCTAGCAACCTTGTCAATGGGTTTGGATCTCTTGGCATAATGGCTAAGGTATTGGGTTGACAGTCGGACCTGAGTTTGAATCCCGGTCGATGGGTTACCTCCGAATACATCGCTACATTTATTTATATATTTTTATTTCACCTTTATTTAACCAGGTAAACCAGTTGAGAACAAGTTCTCATTTACAACTGCGACCTGGCCAAGATAAAGCAAAGCAGTGCGATAAAAAACAACAACACAGAGTTACATATGGGGTAAACAAAACATAAAGTCTAAAATACAACAGAAAATATATATACAGTGTGTGCAAATGTAGCAAGTTATGGAGGTAAGGCAATAAATAGGCCATAGTGCAAAATAATTACAATTGAGTATTAACACTGGAATGATAGATATGCAAGAGATGATGTGCAAATAGAGATACTGGGGTGCAAATGAGCAAAAATAAATAACAATATGGGGATGAGGTAGTTGGGTGGGCTAATTTCAGATGGGCTGTGTACAGGTGCAGTGATCAGTAAGGTGCTCTGACAACTGATGCTTAAAGTTAGTGAGGGAGATAAGAGTCTCCAGCTTCAGAGATTTTTGCAGTTCGTTCCAGTCATTGGCAGCAGAGAACTGGAAGGAATGGCGGCCAAAGGAGGTGTTGGCTTTGGGGATGACCAGTGAGATATACCTGCTGGAGCGCATACTATGGGTGGGTGTTGCTATGGTGACCAATGAGCTAAGATAAGGCGGGGATTTGCCTAGCAGTGATTTATAGATGACCTGGAGCCAGTGGGTTTGGTGAATAATATGTAGTGAGGACTAGCCAACAAGAGCATACAGGTCACAGTGGTGGGTAGTATATGGGGCTTTGGTGACAAAACGGATGGCACTGTGATAGACTACATCCAATTTGCTGAGTAGAGTGTTGGAGGCTATTTTGTAAATGACATCGCCGAAGTCAAGGATCAGTAGGATAGTCAGTTTAACGAGGGCATGTTTGGCAGCATGAGTGAAGGAGGCTTTGTTGCGAAATAGGAAGCCAATTCTAGATTTAACTTTGGATTGGAGATGCTTAATGTGAGTCTGGAAGGATAGTTTACAGTCTAACCAGACACCTAGGTATTTGTAGTTGTCCACATACTCTAGGTCAGACCCGCCGAGAGTAGTGATTCTAGTCGGGTTGGCGGGTGCCAGTAGCGTTCGATTGAAGAGCATGCATTTAGTTTTACTAGTGTTTAAGAGCAGTTGGAGGCTATGGAAGGAGTGTTGTATGGCATTGAAGCTCGTTTGGAGGTTTGTTAACACAGTGTCCAATGAAGGGACAGATGTATACAAAATGGTGTCGTCTGCGTAGAGGTGGATCTGAGAGTCACCAGCAGCAAGAGCGACATCATTGATATACACAGAGAAAAGAGTCGGCCCGAGAATTGAACCCTGTGGCACCCCCATAGAGACTGCCATAGGTCCAGACAACAGGCCCTCGGATTTGACACATACAGTATATGATGATAGTAGATTAATAGACTGCATTAGCCAAGGTTGTTATTCTCAAATCGGTCTTCACATTTGGATTGGGGTTGGAAATTAGGCTGCCCTGGGATTAGATGTGGAAATAAAGTTTGGCCTTGGTTTGGGTTCTGATAGCCTAGGGGTTGGAGATGATCGGAGCTAGTGTATGTTTAGTTATGGTTTGAACTGATAAGACTATGGTTAGGGTTTAATATATTTATCTAGTCCTCCACTTGACCGTTTATTATTTACCGTTAATTATTTATGCGTTTTCTCTGAATCCCTGGCCAAGTGCCTGTGCCATGTGCTCTGTCCTCCGCTCGCGCTACAGCAGGTGGCGGCGGCAGTGCGAGTCAACTCAAGCCCCTCCCACGAGCCCGTACTCTCTCCCCTCACTTCCTCTCCAAACCGCGCCTGGGACTGGGGCTGGCATTCTACAGCCCCGAAAGAAAACACCATGTAAAAGTATAAAAAGGACACACAACGCAAACTATAGATTTGTCTAATTATTCGTTCCGTGACTTCCGTCAGTCAACGCATCGTAACAACGCTTGCTGTGTGGAAGAGAGCGAATGGCCAGTGAAGGCACAGAGTAATCCCGTGAAAGGTAGGAGACCTCACATTGTTTCAATGCTACCACTATCAGCCCTGTGTGATGATAGAATATTTCATAGAAGTATTTAGCAAACGGTCTGTAGTGTAGCCTAGCTGCTGTGTGATTGGGGTGCTTGGTGCTGTCTTGCTTTAAAAAAATAAAACCAAACCCATGTTGTTCAAAAGTTACATGTTGTTCAAAAGTTACTTAATGTGTGTATGCAATGATGCAACGTCTCTGCCATCTGTATGTGGAGACAGTGTGACAGTAAAGCAGTGTTTAAAATAGAAATGTGACCAAAATCCATCCCTACATCTTTCATGCTACTCTACTATTTCACTGTATTTCACTCTACTTGGTTGCAGAGGTGTGTGATTAGCCCAGTCAGCTTCTTTAATCCTTTCATGTCTTGTACATGATGACATGACATTTGATGAAGGCCTACTGTTCACCCAATTTATCAACCAATCCAATCAAACCATTAATAGGTATTTGATTTGATTGATCCCACTATTGTATAGTCAAGTGTGATCAAACGCAGATCTGTAAGTGGGGTGCAGAGCCGCAAAAAGTCGGTATAAAAGAAATAGAGGCCGCACACTCATAAGCTCCACCACGTACCTTTATTCACAAAAAAACGTATGAGTGTGCAGCTCAATTTATTTTATTAAGGGTATTGTATAAAACCCATACCAATAGCCTGGAGAGAGCATACACTGATGGTCATACCTGATGGAGTTTCACTTAGTTGACAGGTTACAGTTTGACCTTATAAAGATCTTTGGTTGAAACATGGTTGCAATAATAAAGGTGGTACTGTGCTATGAGTGATAGTTTGTAGGATTTTCCATTTAATATATTTTATTATTATTTTTTACCTCAAAGTTGTACAGTGTTATTGCAGTGTGATAGGCTAACTGGCTAGCTAATTAACTGTTGTGGTTAAAGCTTTATATCCTGGGATTTGGGATACTGTTCAATGGTCATTTAAATTCTTGATTGAAACCTATTGATTCTTGAAGAATTTATAAATGCCTCATGAGCTTAGCATGTCTGTCATGAACACAACCAAAAATATTAGGTTTTATTACTTGATTGTTTACAAACAACAAAATATGTTTAAAACGATCTCTTAGATGTCGTGGACTGTCAGTCCTTGCATATAGAGCGCTGTCTATTAATTTTAAGAGGGGTTACAGTTCCTTAACCCCATCCCTCAGCTAAATACCAAAACAATTGCCCTGTTTTATTTTGTATTTTTATCACAGACTCAAGCTTTAATTGCGAGGTTTACCAGATTCAATCTAAGGACTGAAAGGCTGAGTCATTATTCCAAAGAAAAGAGGGCTCCTCTAGTCTTTGTGCTGCTCTGAACACAAACTGTGCACCTCAGCTAAACCAGCATGGCTACAAGGGCAGAACAGTGACACAGAGTGATAGGCCCACCTGTGCTTACTTCAGACTATCACTCGACTCTCTCTGTACCTTAGTTGGGTGGGTCACATCTGTGGCCATACTTAAAGGGTGGTCTGTCGAAGAATTTCTGATAGAAGGAATGTATTGATTGTATGAAGCAGATATACATATATAGGTAATATGTTCCTCCCATTGAAAGAATACAGTTGGATGTTCATGCATGGGACTGGTGCTGACAGGGCTGTGTCAGGGGTGTCAAAAAGGGAGTTTTGGAGAGGAGTGCCACAGACTCGTTTTTAGTAGTGTCATTTCCTTTCCTCTGGGTGTGTGTTCTTGTGCGTTATGTGCTCGACGTGTTTGTGTGTGAGGGGGGCATTTTCCTCTAGCACTCTAATTGGTGCCATCTGTCTGCTATTTTAACATGGCTTCAGAATGTAGAAATCCATTGAAAATCTCCTTCATTTCTCTGGACAAAGGCAGACAAGGTCACTCCCTCTAAATAAACAATCCCAGGGGATTGTCCTGGATGGACAGATTAATTGTCAATTTCAGATAAACCCCCCACAGTTTTACCTGGGGTAAACAGTAAAGTCTCTCTCTCTCTCTCTCAGATACCATGCAGATGAGCGATGGACCCGGTCGCGTCTTTGTGGCGCCGCCCAACGGTAACCTCCGGTCGCCAGGATACGTCCCAGGCAGGGTTGTACCTGTCCGTTCCCCGCCTCCGGCAAAGGCCCCACCCCCTCCCCCTCCCCCTCCGAAGCCCATTGGCCCGCCTCCTGAGTGCCTGGCGACCTTTAACCTATCAGAGGAGGGCCATCACCGGGAATGTGCTCAGAGTCGGAGGAAGAACACCTTCATCTGCTTCGGTGTCTCCCTGGGGGCCTTTTTCCTCTCGCTCATCCTCATCCTCAGCCTCACCAGTGGAGACGTGTTGGACGGTGAGTGTGTGTTTTTGTGAGTATAAGGATGTTATGAGCTGTTAATACGGACTTGGCTAAGTTACTTAGGCCCATTGCTCAACAGTACTCATAGGTCATTGGCTATAGTTTTCTATCATACCCTGTTTTGCTCTATCTCAGAGCTTCTCTATCTATGTGCTGTGTCAGTGATGTGACGTTGTCTTTGATTGGTCCTGTTTGTGTGCACAGAGAACTGTCCAGACCACAGCCCCTCCCTGAGCAGCTGGAACCCAGGTCACAACCCAGAGAAGGCCATGGTCGTCCGGGGGGGAGATCTGTTTCGATTGGTCTCTTCTGCGACCTTCTACTCGCTAACCATCCAATCAGGAGGTAGGTTAGGTCCTCTCTCTGATCTGAACACATTTCAACCCCAGAAGTAAATAGTCAGAGCATGCAATATTTGGCACTAGGTTCCGAGATTAAGTTGAGGATAATATGGCATTCTCTAGAAAGTATCATTAAGAATACGGCCTCTGATGAAGTGATTGTTTTATGTTTTAGCCTATATCTGTCTCCCCACAGGCCGATTGGTCTTTGCAGACAATACAGAGGGCTCCAAAAATATCACTCTCAGAACGCGTAATGTACTGATTGAAGACGGGGGTTCGCTGCACATCGGTGCTCCCAAATGCCGCTACCGCTCCCGGGCCACCATCACCCTCCTGGGCCGTTCAGACGAGAAGGCCGTAGCGGAAGTACCAGAACTGGGCCGGAAGTTCATCGGGGTGCGTGGAGGCGCAACCCTGGAGCTTCACGGGGCAGAGAGGCTGTCGTGGACCCTCCTGACCCGCAGCGTCCCCTCCTCAGGCCTAGCCACGGGGGGCTACGCCTTTCAGCGCAACTTTAGCCGTGGCATCAACCTGCGTGTGGTGGACCAGGACACAGCTGCCGTTCTGTTCACCGAGCGCTACGACACACATGAGTCACGCAACGACAGCCGGCGGCTCATGCAGCTGCTCCAGTCGCTGCCTGCAGGGCGCATCGTCATGCTGGCCGTGGGAGACTCTGCCGTCAAGAACCTGCTGGACGAGACCAAGAGAACCATCCAGAGCCTGCTGGGTAGTACCTACGTCCATGACCTCAAATACAGGTAAAAATACAGTTAAATATAATATGAATATTACCAAATCAATTTGGTAAAGAATAGACAGACGATGACTAGAGAAGGAGTCGTAGGTGGTGCAAGAGAATAATCTAATTTGGGAGCTTTACAGTGTGTAGCGCATCATTAAAGGAACTTCTAATAGTTTTCCATCTGTAGCTGCGTTACTGGAGCGCTGTGTGACGGTTTATACTACCCATCTCATGGGGGGATTCCATATTCCATATTCCGGCAGAAAGTGCACGGCTGGAGGGATAAGCAGGCGTGCTTCCAGGATTTGTTCAAAATGAGCTGACTCTGTAGTTTTCACCTTTGCACAGAGTTCCCGAACAGGTCAAAAACACACTGTCCCCTGAACACAGAGGGACACACATCATGTCCATTTGAATGCAGATCTTTAGCAATGCCAGTGACTTGTATACAGTACAATTGATAGTACACCATATGGTATTTTTTGGTGCTCTGCTGTAAAACCATTCAAATACTTTAGTTTGAGCATCTCATCGTTTTAGACACAGAGCTCAGGAAGCCTTATGCGCGCGCACACACACACACACTTAACCCAATGGAACATTTTGGTTTTTAGTTATTTGCTGGGCATGTCTGGCCTGGGCAGCTTTCTGGTCTCAAACCCAAACCACACCAGTCCACAGTGTCACGTTTCACATATGGAGTTGTCGCCAAGGCAACGCTGCGGTCCCCAGCACCAAATCCAATCAAACCCATAGCGTGACACTTTTATAAATGGATCACAATTCAGTTAAGCTACCTAGACATGATAAACAGGGGCTGTTATGCTTTCTGATTACACACTGATTTTGTCTGTGCGTAGTATGTGTGTCTGTGTGTTTGTGCGTAGTATGTGTGTCTGTGTTTGTCTGTGAGTAGTATGTGTGTCTGTGTTTGTCTGTGCATAGTATGTTTGTCTTTGTGTCTGTGCGTAGTGTGTATGTGTGAGCTAGCTAGCAGGGTCCAGCTTATTTGAGAATCCATTGTAATGTGAGCCTTGTTGTGTTAGTTGCAGTCATGCTGTCTTAATGTGACTAAGGGAGACATGATTGAAAGTATTGGGCAGGAGGTAATCTGGGTTGTGTTCATTACGGCACCCAGGTAGTCCCTATCAGTTTTTTCAGTTTTGTGTCTTTTGCTGCTTAATGAACACAACCCTGGATGTAATCTGGCTGGGCAGGAGAGGACAGAGCAGGAGAGCACCAGGAAATGCGCAAAGGAAATGTTTTTTTACCCACAGGAAATGTGTTCGATGTAGGCACTCCCATGCACACACACACACACTCACGTATACTGTGCCTATGGGCATTCCTATCTCCACCATGCCCCTCAGGGTCCTGCAGGTGAACCCGGAAACAAACGGCAACAATCATCAATCATTTCAAGCCCCCCCCCCCCCCCCCCCCCACACACTCGGTGACCATGATCAAACACACCCATTCCATAAAGTGAGGGTAATGACCAATGTTCCCTCTAAGCTGTGCGCGTGCGCGCAGCTCCCCTGGGACTGCCGCGCAGAAGAAATATCAGCCCGTGCAGAGAAGCATGAGATTGAATTTCACTCAACTTTCTAGTTTTCCCCTTTAGTTAACATTATCAACGTTTCCCTCTACTGTGGCAATTGCCAATATAAGCCACTTTCAGTGCAACATACCGAAACAAAACAAACTATGCAAGACTTAGTATGCAAAACTAACTATGAATTTTTTATTTATTTATTTTATTTCACCTTTATTTAACCAGGTAAGCTAGTTGAGAACAAGTTCTCATTTACAACTGCGACCTGGCCAAGATGAAGCAAAGCAGTGCGATAAAAAACAACAACACAGAGTTACATATGGGGTAAAACAAAACATAAAGTCAAAAATACAACAGAAAATATATATACAGTGTGTTCAAATGTAGCAAGTTATGGAGGTAAGGCAATAAATAGGCCATAGTGCAAAATAATTACAATTAGTATTAACACTGGAATGATAGATGTGCAAGAGATGATGTGCAAATAGAGATACCGGGGTGCAAATGAGCAAAATAAATAACAATATGGGAATGAGGTAGTTGGGTGGGCTAATTTCAGATGGGCTGTGTACAGGTGCAGTGATCGGTAAGGTGCTCTGACAACTGATGCTTAAAGTTAGTGAGGGAGATAAGTGTCTCCAGCTTCAGAGATTTTTGCAATTCGTTCCAGTCATTGGCAGCAGAGAACTGGAAGGAATGGCGGCCAAAGGAGGTGTTGGCTTTGGGGATGACCAGTGAGATATACCTGCTGGAGCGCATACTACGGGTGGGTGTTGCTATAGTGACCAATGAGCTAAGAATCAATCAATCAATCAATTTTATTTTATATAGCCCTTCTTACATCAGCTAATATCTCGAAGTGCTGTACAGAAACCCAGCCTAAAACCCCAAACAGCTAGTAATGCAGGTGTAGAAGCACGGTGGCTAGGAAAAACTCCCTAGAAAGGCAAAACCTAGGAAGAAACCTAGAGAGGAACCAGGCTATGAGGGGTGGCCAGTCCTCTTCTGGCTGTGCCGGGTGGAGATTATAACAGAACCATGCCAAGATGTTCAAAAATGTTCATAAGTGACAAGCATGGTCAAATAATAATCAGGAATAAATCTCAGTTGGCTTTTCATAGCCGATCATTAGAGTTTAAAACAGCAGGTCTGGGACAGGTAGGGGTTCCATAACCGCAGGCAGAACAGTTTAAACTGGAATAGCAGCAAGGCCAGGCGGACTGGGGACAGCAAGGAGTCACCACGGCCGGTAGTCCCGACGTATGGTCCTAGGGCTCAGGTCTCTCAGTTGGCTTTTCATAGCCGATCATTTAGAGTTGAAAACAGCAGGTCTGGGACAGGTAGGGGTTTCGTAGCCGCAGGCAGAACAGTTGAAACTGGAATAGCAGCAAGGCCAGGCGGACTGGGGACAGCAAGGTGTCATCATGCCCGGTAGTCCTGACGTATGGTCCTAGGGCTCAGGTTCTCAGAGAGAAAGAGAGAATGAGAGAATTAGAGAGAGCATACTTAAATTCACACAGGACACTGGATAAGACAGGAGAAGTACTCCAGGTATAACCAACTAACCCCAGCCCCCCGACACAAAACTACTGCAGCATAAATACTGGAGGCTGAGACAGGAGCGGTCCGGAGACACTGTGGCCCCATCCGAAGAAACCCCCGGACAGGGCCAAACAGGAAGGATATAACCCCACCCACTCCGCCAAAGCACAGCCCCCGCACCACTAGAGGGATATCCCCAACCACCAACTTACAATCCTGAGACAAGGCCGAGTATAGCCCACAGAGGTCTCCACCACAGCACAAACCAAGGGGGGGGGGGCGCCAACCCAGACAGGAAGATCACGTCAGTAACTCAACCCACTCAAGTGACGCACCCCCCCCAGGGACGGCATGAAAGAGCACCAGCAAGCCAGTGACTCAGCCCCTGCAACAGGGTTAGAGGCAGAGAACCCCAGTGGAGAGGGGAACCGGCCCGGCAGAGACAGCAAGGGCTGTTCGTTGCTCCAGCCTTTCCGTTCACCTTCACACTCCTGGGCCAGACTACACTCAATCATATGACCTACTGAAGAGATAAGTCTTCAGTAAAGACTTAAAGGTTGAGACCGAGTCTGCGTCTCTCACATGGGTAGGCAGACTGTTCCATAAAAATGGAGATCTATAGGAGAAAGCCCTGCCTCCCGCTGTTTGCTTAGAAATTCTAGGGACAATTAGATAAGGCGGGATTTGCCTAGCAGTGATTTATAGATGGCCTGGAGCCAGTGGGTTTGGTGACTAATATGTAGTGAGGACCAGCCAACAAGAGCGTACAGGTCACAGTGGTGGGTAGTATATGGGGCTTTGGTGACAAAACGGATGGCACTGTGATAGACTACATCCAATTTGCTGAGTAGAGTGTTGGAGGCTATTTTGTAAATGACATCGCCGAAGTCAAGGATCGGTAGGATAGTCAGTTTTTTACGAGGGCATGTTTGGCAGCATGAGTGAAGGAGGCTTTGTTGCGAAATAGGAAGCCGATTCTAGATTTAACTTTGGATTGGAGATGCTTAATGTGAGTCTGGAAGGAGAGTTTACAGTCTAACCAGACACCTAGGTATTTGTTATTGTCCACATACTCTAGGTCAGACCCGTCGAGAGTAGTGATTCTAGTCGGGTGGGCGGGTGCCAGCAGCGTTCGATTGAAGAGCATGCATTTAGTTTTACTAGTGTTTAAGAGCAGTTGGAGGCTACTGAAGGAGTGTTGTATGGCGTTGAAGCTCGTTTGGAGGTTTGTTAACACAGTGTCCAATGAATGGCCAGATGTATACAAAATGGTGTCGTCTGCATAGAGGTGGATCTGAGAGTCACCAGCAGCAAGAGCAATATCATTGATATACACGGAGAAAAGAGTCGGCCCAAGAATGGAACCCTGTGGCACCCCCATAGAGACTGCCATAGGTCCAGACAACAGGCCCTCCGATTTGACACATTGAACTCTATCTGAGAAGTAGTTGGTGAACCAGGCGAGGCAGTGACTTGAGAAACCAAGGCTATTTAGTCTGCCAATAAGAATGGGGTGGTTGACAGAGTCGAAAGCCTTGGCCAGGTCGATGAAGACGGCTGCACAGTACTGTCTATTATCGATCGCGGTTATAATATCATTTAGGACCTTGAGCGTGGCTGAGGTGCACCCATGACCAGCTCGGAAACCGTATTGCATAGCGGAGAAGGTACGGTGGGATTCGAAATGGTCGGTGATCTGTTTGTTAACTTGGCCTTCAAAAACTTTCGAAGGCAGGGCAGGATGGATATAGGTCTGTAACAGTTTGGATCTAGAGTGTCACGCCCTTTGAAGAGGGGGATGACCGCGGCAGCTTTCCAATCTCTGGGGATCTCAGACGATACGAAAGAGGTTGAACAGGCTAGTAATAGGGGTTGCGACAATTTCGGCGGCTAGTTTTAGAAAGAAAGGGTCCAGATTGTCTAGCCCAGATGATTTGTAGGGATCCAGATTTTGCAGCTCTTTCAGAACATCAGCTGTCTGAATTTGTGTGAAAGAGAAGCAGGGAGGGCATGGGCAAGTTGCAGCGGAGGGTGCAGAGCTGGTGGCCGGGGTAGTGGTAGCCAGGTGGAAAGCATGGCCAGCCGTAGCAAAATACTTGTTGAAATTCTCGATTATTGTAGATTTATCGGTGGTGATAGTGTTTCCTAGCCTCAGTGCAGTGGGCAGCTGGGAGGAGGTGCTCTTATTCTCCATGGACTTTACTGTGTCCCAAAACTTTATGGAGTTAGTGCTACAGGATGCAAATTTGTGTTTGAAAAAGCTAGCCTTTGCTTTCCTAACTGCTTGTGTATATTGGTTCCTAACTTCCCTGAAAAGTTGCATATCGCGGGGGCTATTCGATGCTAATGAGATTTTGTTGTAGGCAGAACGCACCGGAGTAGGATTCTATTGCATTGACAGGCACACTCAGCCCGTACTCTACAGACCGGTGCGGCATAACCAATCAGAGCTGCAGTATCCCTATATGCAAATAGACCATTGCCATATATGGATCTGTGCCATTCACTTTGAACTGGACTGTGTTTACAGCATGACTGGTCTTGAGTAGATGCGCTTGTTTTGAGATGAAAGCGAGAGCTGCATGTAGCCATGTGTGCACATTTGTTCATATTCTTTGCTAGTGAGTGAGTTATTAGCCCATTTATAGCTCATTTCTAGTCAGCAATGGGTAGTGTTTGCTTCCTACAAGAACACAAAACGTGTGCATTTCTAGCCATCTTTGAAAAGCGAGTTGGGTAAATATAATTGTTTATGTCTTAAAGGGGCAGTGTTATATTTTGAGACAGGCTTGAATAAGCTAAGTAGCTAATAGGCAGAGGGTAGCATAATGTCTGATTCTCTGTAATAATGGTATGGGAATATTAATGAACATTATTTTGTAAAATAGTTTATTGCATCAAACACATTTTCAGTCACCTCCTTGTCTGAAGGACAAGTGGATAAATAGGTTAATGTCAAGCCGTGCATATTTTTTCCAAAAGTCTCACGGAATGTAGGCCTACATTGAACACCACACATTGGCTGCTACTGTAGGCTAAATGATATAACAGTTATATCCATGTTAAAATGTTACAGGATGCATTTTCCCCATTGTTTTTGATGGTAAGCCACTTTGATAGGCCTACATTATGATCAAATAGCCACAGTAGCCTACTTGGCCACTTTTATAACTGTAACTTAAAGCGGATACAGCCTCAGTGTTCACAATAAACGCACGCCAGAAGTTGCACAGAATTTTCACAACGTTCAAGTTTGCGCTCAGCAGACCTGAAATTTACTCAGTGCCGAAAAAATTAGAGGGAACATTGGTAATGACCATTGCCCCACATCAAATGGTTTGTCTGTCCCTGCCCCGTGCCTGCTACCTGCTGGTAATGTGTAATCTATGTGATCTGAGAGGACAGAGCTCTGATGGACTGTAGTAGCGTGACCTCATCTAGTGTCCAAACGGCCATTACTGGCCAAAACAAAGAGCCGGTTAAAAGACTGAGTGACGTGTCAGGCAATTAAGGATGTTCTGGGAAAAAAGGTGAAAACAAACACGCGGTCTCTCTCACGGACTCTCTCTCTTTCTCTCTCTCGCACACACACACACACACACACACACACAAATTGAGTGAAATAGCTGCAGGGAGGACATGGTGCTTTCACAGATGGTTCCTGTTTGTATTTCAGCGGGTAAATGGTAGAGAGGCTCTTTGATTTGCTGAATGGCGTATTGGCCCGTGATTGTGTCGTTAGGACCAGCCTCAACAGAGAGCTGACAGTCAGGCCTACTTCCAGACGTCATTGCGTGGAGTGCCCTTCAGATGTGAAGCTAAAAGCAGTACAGGGGAAAGGTTTTAAAAAGGTAATGCAAGGGGAAAGGTTTTAAAAAGGTTACCACGCCTGAAAAGGGTAAGTGATGGTTGAAGATAATGACTTGAAAGGTCGTGTGATTGTGAAGAGAGAATTCCTCTAAAGGTCGCCTGATGACGGTGCATAAAGCTTACTTGATGTTTAAAAGTCTAAGCCATTGGGGAGGTTCTACTATGCTAACATATGGAATGTTTTAAGATGGTCATACCATGGATCATTTAGCTATTTGATTTGGAATTATAGGACCCCTTTATGTATAAAAATAAATCAAAACATTATTTCATAAAATATTGAATTTGGCCTTTAATACTATAGCCGATTAAAACCCATTGAATAACACATTCATAAATGGCATAAAAAGACAGTCAAAAAATAAATCATATGGAATAAGGTTTTGAAGTGTCTGTCCTATATCTAGGAGATATAAGAAAGTGCAATAAATATATATTTACACAAGTATAGAGGTGGTTTTGTGGCAACAAAATAAGGGGTTACATTTGAAATACATTTTAAACCCTTATTTTTGTTGGCACAAAACTACCTCCATACTTCCATTTATTTGTATGGGTTACCTTCAGACGAATCCCGTGACACTTGTGGGAGGTTGTAAAGCAAAACAGAGAACACCATTGTGTTCGTGAGAGTGTCATCTTTCCGTAGAGTGGTCATATTCGGACGCTACAGACGTTTTCGTGAGAAGTCAGGTTTTCGGGATGTCTCATTGTCTGACAAACACCGCTGTAGCTCGGCCATCTTCCACCGCAGATGCGGAAGCCCGACATGATGCAGCCCATGAAAAGAAACTGATATCTCTAGCTTAATAGACTCTTAAGGAGTAACATTGTTTTGACATTGTGTTGATGCTGACAAACCAACATTTCACTCTACACCCTTCACTGGTCCAGAGTTGCATGACCCCTGCTCCACACCCAAGCCTTGAACCAGGGGATTGATAGACTTATCTCCACTTCAGAGGCGGATTGTGTTTTGCCTTGTGGGTATGGTGGTGTGGTGGACTGAGATATCCACCGCTATCTCGTTCGAACACTTCCCACATTTTCTGATGCCAATGAATGTGGTATGATTGAGGTGAATGTGATGACCACACACACACACACACAGGCTATTCATGTCAGTTCAGTCACACCCTTTGCTTGACTAGCCCTTACACAGCTGCTAAATCTTACAAAAGAATGTTGTCCTGTTGATACTCCCAATGCTTTCTCTACAGTGGTCACTACAGGACTACAATAGTGTGCAGTTAAAAATGTTATGCATACACTCTTAGAAAAGAGGGTTCCAAAAGGGTTCTTCGGCTCTCCCCATAGTCCCAGTCAGTATTAATTGAACGTCGCGGCCCTGCCCGCCTGTGGGGAAAATAACCTGTGGTTACCTAGGTTACCCCATTGACTCACAGCAAAAACTTGACCTTTTTCAAACACAATTTTCTTGTCATCTGCTTGTTTTAGTCAATTTCAAAACTACATTTAAAGAAAAATACATGTCTAAAGATGACTTTTCAACATTGCCTGCTCCTGAGTGTTCTCACTACTTAGAAAAACGTTATATTGTAGGGCTTCCCTCATCCCCCTTTTTCTGATGGTGCTAGCAGCCATGTGAGTGCTAGCTAGCTAGCCAAGACCAACAACACAAAAAAAAGACTATACAGCTACAAGTAATGAGTGGAGTTACAAACAGACTATACTAAACAAGTTAAATGTCTTACCTGTGTCTTAAATGTTTTCCAATCCACACACATAGCTACGTGTAGCCTACTTGGACACCGGGTCCCCACATTTCCCACTCCCATGCCCAATAGCCTGAAGCCACAGGGCTATTCTCACAGGCTCTATTTCCCTACGTGGGAGCGTTGCGATCCATAGGTTGGGATTTATTACCTGGTTACATATATATTGAACAACACAGCAGCTTTTCGGCATGTTTTGTTATTTCTTCATAACAAAAAGTTGACTACGAAGTTGCCTCTTTTACAATAGGAAATAATGTTTGTTTTCCTCAATTTGTGGGCATGGTCAAGGGGAATTCCTTATTATTACGTGAATACCGACTGGGACTATAGGAGAACCCTTTTTGGTTCCTGGTAGAACCCTTTGTGGAAAGGGTTCTACCTGAAACCAAAAACGGTTCTTCAAAGGGTTCTCCTATGGGGACAGCTGAAGCACCCTTTTAGGTTCTAGATAGCACCTTTTTTTTTTTTTAAGAGTGTAGAGACAAATAACATAACAACAAGCCTTGTTATAAGACAATAAAAAGGCTCATACCTGCTTATAACAAGTTATAAAGCATATCTGCTTGGATGCTTTAAGTGTTACCTCGATTTCTTAACAACTTCTAAAGCTCAAACTCTGTCTGTCCATAGGCAGGCCTGGGCACTGGTATCTGTTATTGGTGGAGGGAACGGCTCGTGTTCCGAGGACGTGCGGGAACACGAGAACCATGACACGGGAGGAAAGGCGCTGGCCCGGCAGAACTTCACCACTGTTGACGGGGTCGGCTTCTCTGTCACAGCCTACAGCGAATGGAGGAATGGTGGGTCATTATAACCAGTTTGGCTTTACTTAAAACCTGCAGCTAGAATGGTTTATAACTTGTTATATTTGTTATCTTTTAAAATGTCCATAACCGCATTGGAGTGCATTGTACCTTTAGTAAAGTGTTACCACATTGGTAACCCAATATCACAAATATTGTCTAAGGAGATCAGCATGATTGTAGGTGCTCGTTTACTTGTGTATGTCATTGATTGTTTGTTCATTGAACTGGTCATATTAGGCCCTTCACATAGTCAGGAATGCCATGTAAAAGCAAAGCATACACTCAGATTCTCTGATCTTGCAGCTTTTCCTGGATGGTGTGTGTGTGTGGGGTTCAAGTGGTTAGTGTTTACAGGCAAGATCAATCAGCTGGACTGAGCATTCCTGAGTGTGTACGGGCAGGGTCCTCCTGTCACTAGGGCAAACAGCAGCTCCCCAGGAGGGAGTTTGGGTTTCGGTGTGGCACCGTCATGTCCTGTAAGATGGGATGTTTGTTCTCATACAGCCATACCCTCACACTTCACTGGTCCACAGTGTCAGTTCAAGATACACTATGGAAGTTTGCTATTGTTTTGGTTAAACTTTTAGCTTGAATGTTTGGTGTATGGTATGGTTCAGATTTCTTATCTCATGAAACCACTCAAATCCTTACTTTTAGGCAAATTGCCTGTAAAATGTCACTTTTTGTGACTCTAGATCTTGTTTCCGCCATTAGTTCTTTGGTATGCAGTAGAAAACTGCTAATGCAACAGATCTTATCTATGCTCCTCCAGGATTTCCAATATCTGGGTTCCAGGTGGATGCTGTGGACCAGGTAGTCCTCAACTTGCTGGAAGATGTACACACCTGGCAACCCGGGAACCATGTTGTGGTTGCCAGTACTGACTACTCCATGCATCAGGCAGAGGAGTTCACCCTCCTCCCCTGCCCCCACTGCACTAGCAGACAGGTTAGAGTTCAAGGTGAGTGAAAACGAAAGTAGTTTATGTGTTTGTACATTTATGGGGGCTTACTTTAATTCTGATATTGAGTATCACTGCTGTGTTTTTAACTGGATATGGTATGATATAAAAATAAGTATAATTATTTATTTATAAATCTTGAGCCATGGTCTTTCATTTCACATCTTCTATAAATTACAATTGGGAAGAGACTGGGAATCAGGCTTTTCTCCTACATGGGATGGTGGTGATCAATGATATCTCTCGCTCTGTCTGGCTCTCTCTCTCTTTTCTCGCTTTCTCTCTCTCTTTTCTCGCTCTCTGTCTCTTTCTCTCTCTCTCTCTCAAATGCAAATGGCTTTATTGGTATGGTAAGTGTTTCCACATACAGTACATTGCCAAAGCAAACATATAGACAACATATCAAATCAATGATAACGCAGATAGATAATCATAGGAAAAATAATAATAATAATAATAATAATAATAATATGCCATTTAGCAGACGCTTTTATCCAAAGCGACTTAGTCATGCGTGCATAAATTTTTGTGTATGGGTGGTCCCGGGGATCGAACCCACTACCTTGGCGTTACAAGCGCCGTGCTCTACCAGCTGAGCTACAGAGGACCACAATAATAATACAATAATAATACTCAATGAGTAGTAACAATGAACAGGACACTACAGTAAGACATTAATGAGGACAATAATGAAATAGTGAGAAAGACACAGGTAGCGTTGTTATTGTTCTGATTGGTCGTTCCACTGGCTGTCCCTATGGGTGTGGCAGGAAGCTACATATTTTGTAGCTAATATGGCACAAAGGGGTTAACCTCCCAATAGATATTAGATTTTCTCCTTTTATAATATAATATAATATGCCATTTAGCAGACGCTTTTATCCAAAGCGACTTACAGTCATGCGTGCATAATTTTTTTTTTTTTTGTGTGTGTATGGGTGGTCCCGGGGATCGAACCCACTACCTTGGCGTTACAAGCGCCGTGCTCTACCAGCTGAGCTACAGAGGACCACTTTTCTGTTTTGGTTTCAAAATGTTTGTATTTGTTTTCAATTTTGGGCAAGAAAATTGCCTGTAAGTCTGTATAGTTCTCGCAGACTCTCTCTCTCACTCTGTCTCTCTCTCTTAATTTCAGCTCCACTCCCCACGGTTTTACCTGGGGTAAACAGGGGGCCTGCTGGCTCATTCCCTTTTTCTCTGAGTTTAAGAAATTAACAGTAAACATTACACTCACAAAAGTTTGTAAAAAATATAGACATTTCAGATGTATTTATTTCTCTCTCTCTCCGTCCCTCCCTCTATCTCACTGTTTTCTGCGGTTTTGTAAACTGTCCATGGTGTCAAAAGCCCAGCGAGCAAAACTGGTTGCAATGACATCATGGTCAGATTGTATGCTGGTTGTAAATAATTTTTGTTAATTTTAGCAAAAGCAACCAGAAAAAAGTTGTTATGAAAAGGACATCTTAACCTGGTTGTAACAGAGACCAGTTGGTTGTAATCTGGTCTGGCGTTCCACCCTGTGTAGTCCCCTGTCTGTCAACACCTCTGTTTTGGCCCACTGCTCCAATGTCGACAAGCCACCTCCCCTTCCTGGAGCAAAGGCTGTGTCTCTCTCTCTCTCTCTCTCTCCATGTTTGCGAGGTGAAGCACAATTCCTGTGGTTGGCACTGGCACCAGTTGGCTTGCCATATTGAGAGAAAGAGAGGTGCTGACGTTGTTCTGTTTGGGATTAAGGTCACATGGCCCCATCAAATTAAATATCTAGATCTACTGTATAGTGACAACCATATACACTGCTCAAAAAAATAAAGGGAACACTTAAACAACACAATGTAACTCCAAGTCAATCACACTTCTGTGAAATCAAACTGTCCACTTAGGAAGCAACACTGATTGACAATACATTTCACATGCTGTTGTGCAAATGGAATAGACAACAGGTGGAAATTATAGGCAATTAGCAAGACACCCCCAATAAAGGAGTGGTTCTGTAGGTGGTGACCACAGACCACTTCTCAGTTCCTATGCTTCCTGGCTGATGTTTTGGTCACTTTTGAATGCTGGCGGTGCTTTCACTCTAGTGGTAGCATGAGACGGAGTCTACAACTCACACAAGTGGCTCAGGTAGTGCAGCTCATCCAGGATGGCACATCAATGTGAGCTGTGGCAAGAAGGTTTGCTGTGTCTGTCAGCGTAGTGTCCAGAGCATGGAGGCGCTACCAGGAGACAGGCCAGTACATCAGGAGAAGTGGAGGAGGCCGTAGGAGGGCAACAACCCAGCAGCAGGACTGCTACCTCCGCCTTTGTGCAAGGAGGAGCACTGCCAGAGCCCTGCAAAATGACCTCCAGCAGGCCACAAATGTGCATGTGTCTGCTCAAATGGTCAGAAACAGACTCCATGAGGGTGGTATGAGGGACCGACGTCCACAGGTGGGGGTTGTGCTTACAGCCCAACACCGTGCAGGACGTTTGGCATTTGCCAGAGAACACCAAGATTGGCAAATTCGCCACAGGCGCCCTGTGCTCTTCACAGATGAAAGCAGGTTCACACTGAGCACATGTGACAGAGTCTGGAGACGCCGTGGAGAACGTTCTGCTGCCTGCAACATCCTCCAGCATGACCATGTTGTGGGCTGGCATTTCTTTGGGTGGCCGCACAGCCCTCCATGTGCTCGCCAGAGGTAGCCTGACTGCCATTAGGTACCGAGATGAGATCCTCAGACCCCTTGTGAGACCATATGCTGGTGCGGTTGGCCCTGGGTTCCTCCTAATGCAAGACCATGCTAGACCTCATGTGGCTCGAGTGTGTCAGCAGTTCCTGCAAGAGGAAGGCATTGATGCTATGGACCGCCCGTTCCCCAGACCTGAATCCAATTGAGCACATCTGGGACATCATGTCTCGCTCCATCCACCAACGCCACATTGCACCACAGACTGTCCAGGAGTTGGCGGATGCTTTAGTCCAGGTCTGGGAGGAGATCCCTCAGGAGACCATCCGCCACCTCATCAGGAGCATGCCCAGGCGTTGTAGGGAGGTCATACAGGCACGTGGAGGCCACACACACTACTGAGCCTCATTTTGACTTGTTTTAAGGTTGGATCAGCCTGTAGTGTGGTTTTCCACTTTAATTTTGAGTGTGACTCCAAATCCAGACCTCCATGGGTTGATACATTTGATTTCCATTGATAATTCTTGTGAGATTTTGTTGTCAGCACATTCACATCAAGTATTTAATAAGATTATTTCATTCATTCAGATCTAGGATGTGTTATTTTAGTGTTCCCTTTATTTTTTTGAGCAGTGTATTTGGCTGACTGTTGTTAATATGAACACTTTTAAATATAATATTAATATGTATGTCTAAATGTTAACATTCTTTTATTGATATATGACAATGGTATAAGCTATAAAGTATGTGTTTTTATGTGTCCCCCCTCCCAGGGAGGCCCCAGTTTGGTCATATGGGGGAGATTGTGGACGGGGTGGACATGCGAGCGGAGGTGGCACTGCTCAGCAGGAACATACTAATCTATGGGGAGATGGAAAACACCTGCTATGGAAACAACTGGTGCCAGTTCTTTGGCCACGACACATACGGCGGACACATCAAGGTGTGTGCTTATGTAACAGTGTGTAACTGTGAGTATAGGGTCTGTGTTGAACCTTGAGCCTGCCCTGTGCATTTCAGCCTGAGTTAAATGCTTATTTAATGCCATTCAGTCTAGTGTAATCATGTTGAACATTACCATATTGCTGTGGCGGAGGGTCATTAGAGCATTCAGCAGATGCTGAATGACTGAGGACATTCAGCATTCACACATGATATAACAACATGTAATGTTCATTAGGCACCTAATTGAAGAAAACAGACAGAAACAGGGAGGAACTACCAATAAGAAATGTTGGTTTTAAAAATGTTGGTTGCATATGTTTTCCATTGCATGCCCTAATGAACACAACCCAGGGACCACTCAGAGAGAGAGGGGGCATGGATGAACAACACTCACTACTCTTAATGTTTTGTGTTTCAGTATAGTAATTATTTGTTCTTTTTTACTCTGTATATTTCAAACCCCCACTGAGCACACAAACCTCAGTCACTCTCAAACACTTACTCAGACCAACGTCAATACACACACCCCTCCCTCACACACACACATTCTCTGTGTCCGTGATGCACAAGTACAATATTTGCTCTGTATAATGTGTTACATACTCATGCTCCCTTCTGATAAATACATAATAACATTCCTCTTGCCTTATGTAAGCAGCCCCTTTGCAGTAAATGGAAAAACCCTTGTTACTTGACTGTAGAGAGTTCTGTCCAAGTGTAGTGTGTGAGTTTGGTTGAGTGAATGAGTGAGTTTCAGTTAGCTTGAGGGATTGGCCAATATCTCCTTAACACAAAACAGAATGTGGAAAAGGCCATATACCTAAGACAGACCTCCCTGAGTTTACTGCATGTGTTAGTGTCTATTTGCTCATTAGGCCATATTTGTGTGTGTCTCTGTCTCTCTCTCTCTCTCTCTCTCTCTCTGTCTCTGTCTCTCTCTCGCTCTGTATAGCATTGTTTGTGCTCAGATCATCTCAGTTTTTGCACGATCTTCCATTTATCAACAGATGTAACTGTAAACTAGAACCATCAATAGATCAACAGAACCAGAGTAATATGATACACACAGCACAGCTTACTCTTCTCTCTCTCTACCTCAATTCTCCTCAGATATTTGGGAACTTCACCTCGGTGCACCTGTCCCACGTGGAGCTGAGGAACATGGGGCAGCAGGAGCAGGGCCGCTACCCGCTCCACTTCCACCGCTGTGGGGACGTTGACTGGCGAGGAGGCTACCGGGAACCAGCCTACGTGGACGGCCTCTCCATCCACCACTCCTTCTCCCGCTGCATCACCATCCACGCCACCAACGGCCTGCTGGTGTGTGTATGTGTGTGTGTGTGTGTGCTGTATGTGTGTCAGGGCTGGGGTCAATTGAAGGCAGTCAATTCAGGAAGTGATTTTAATTTAAAATTCAAAAATGGAAAAACCTTTTGAAATAAATTGCTTCTACTTCTCAGTTTATTGATAAGTCATTGAAAATAGATGTAATTTAAGTTTACTTCATGAATTGACTGTCTTAAATTCTAATTGACTCCAGCCTTGGTGTATGTGCCGTATGTGTGATGATAAAACTTGGGGAAATGAGGACCATATGACGCCAGTCATTAAATAAATTCATGTCAAATGCATTGAAGTGACTCGACCAACATTCAGATAACATGATGCAGCAACTCCAAGCTGCTTTCCTGCTCTGCTCGTGTCTCTGGTGTTGAACGTTTCCCAAATGTTTCTCCTCCCCAGGTGAAGGACACTGTGGGCTATGACACCCTGGGTCACTGTTTCTTCCTGGAGGACGGGATAGAGCAGAGGAACACATTCTTCCACAACCTGGGTTTGTTGACCCGACCGGGAACGCTCCTGCCCACCGACCGCAACGAGACCATGTGCACCAGCATCCGAGACAAAGTGTTCAAGAACTACACGCCTTCACCGAGCATGGAGTGCAAGTAAGACCTTGAGAGAAGACAAAGGGTTCATGTCCTCTGTGTGAGAGTGATAGGGCCATCTTATCCCTGCAAAAACAACCACCCCGCTGCATGGGATGTGTTTCTGTTTCTGGGGGAGGTTGAAAAGGAGGTCTGTTTGGGGAGCATCAGGTGCAGTTTTTGGAGGACTGTGTGTGTGTGAGAGAGAGAGAGAGAACGTGTGCGTGTGTGTGTTGGCAGAACTGTCCCTGTACAGGATTTATGTGGGAGAGGTGGATTATTCCATGGATAACAGGAGTCACTGTTCTTATTAAATTAATAGATCTTGATATTAACAATCAGTTAGCCTGGAGACATCTCCTCTAATGCCCTTTCATCCTCCCTGTGTGTGTGTGTGTGTGTCTGTGTCTGCTCGGTGTGTGTGTGTTTGTTTTAGGGCAGTGTCTACGTTCTGGATCGCCAACCCCAATAATAACCTCATAAGCAACGCTGCTGCTGGCTCCCAGGTATGACTGCCAACCAACAAAACAACACTGTTTAATAATGAATGAATAACGATCAGCAGGGGACTGAGACTGTACATCTGGTGAGGCTGCCCCCACCATCCCATCCCAGACATCATTCATTATCTTTTTGATCTCATGGATGGTCAGTCCTTATATCCATAGCTCTATCTATGAAATCTCCAGCCCATTGCTCAGCTGCTTTGGGCATTTTGTTGTTGTTTGAATTATGAACTGCAGCTTTATGGTTTAGCCACTCATAAGGATCTAAGGCTGTGGCTTACCGGTTCATCTCATGTGATGATGTGATAAATCTGGGGAGATATTGGGTTCTTACTTTTACATCAACCGCAATAAATGATGGCTTCAACCAGGAGATAAAGTTAAACATCAAGACCTTACTATTTTAGTTCAAGCACCATTGTATCAATGTGCCTGTGCAGTACTCAATGACAGTACTCTCTCTGTGCAGTTCTCTCTCTCTCTCTCAGACCTGCTGTCTCGACCTCTGAATCCTCGGCTATGAAAAGCAAACATTTACTCCTGAGGTGCTGACCTGTTGCACCCTCTATAACCACTGATTATTATTTGACCCTGCTGGTCATCCTATGAACATTTTGAAGAATGATCTGGCCTTAATGGCCATGTACTCTTTAAAATCTCCACCTGGCACAGCCAGAAGAGGACTAGCCACCCCTCAGAGGCTGGTTCCTCTCTAGGTTTCTTCCTAGGTTCCTGCCTTTCTAGGGAGTTTTTCCTAGCCACTGTGCTTCTATATCTGCATTGCTTGCTCTTTGGGGTTTTAGGCTCGGTTTCTGTATAAGCACTTTGTGACATCTGCTGATGTAAAAAGGGCTTATAAATACATTTGATTGATTATTACTCGAGGATCATTATTCTTTCACTCCATTGTCAAAGCCACTTTCTATTATTCTTATTCTCATTTTCCTCCCCCATGTCATCCTAAAGGATGCTGGGATATGGTATGTGTTCCACAGCTCATCCACGGGGGACTCTCATGGGCTGGTTCCAGAGACCCGGGCAGAGCTGACCCCGCTGGGGATCTTCTACAACAACCGTGTGCACTCCAACTTTAAGGTACCACTCACTGGCAGCACTGTGTAAAAGACAAACACACTGGTTCTGTGTGGCTCAGCTGGTAAAAGCATGGCGCTAACAACACCAAGATCTTGGAATGAAATTCCCACAGGGATCACATACACAAAGTAGTAAGAGCTCTTCCAATTGTAGAGGAAATAATGCGTGTGGTAGAAAAACAGGTGCAAAAATAAGTGAAAACCAAGTTGCATTGGTTAAATCAAGTAGGTAAGTAGAATCAGGTGGGTAAATAATTAGCTATCAAATGAACCAATCAAAGGAGAGAGCGTTAGGAAAGAGTTTGGGCTGGACTGATAAATAGAGATAAGAAACCTGGTCAGTTTGGTGTTACCCATCCAGGTGAATGCAAAGCACACCATGCAGAGAGGAAAGGAGATCTCAGAGGACATCAGGACGAGGGTAGTGAGAGCACATCAGTCTGGGGAAGGCTATAAAATCATCTCAAAAATATTTGAGCTCCATCAGTCCACTGTGAGGCAAATAATTTACAAATGGAGAGCATTTAACATGACAGCATCTCAGCCTAGATGTGGACGCCATTCCAAAATATCCCCAAGAGCCACAAGAACAATAATAAATCAGGTAAAAGCCAACCCAAACATAACATCTAGAGATTTGCAGACCTCCTTTGCTGCATCTCAGGTAACTGTGCATGCTTCAACAATAAGAACACTGAATCGAAATGCCATTCATGGGAGGGTTGCTAGGAAGAAGCCTCTGCTGTCACAAAATAACCAAACTTTGCCAGAGACCACCTGGACAAACCTGAAGGTTTCTGGAAGTCCATTCTCTGGACCGATGAGTCCAAAATATATTGTTCTTGTGGCTTCGGGACAGGTCTCTGAATGTCCTTGAGAGGCCCAGCCAGAGCCCGGACTTGAACCCGATCGAACATCTCTGGAGAGACCTGAAAATAGCTGTGCAGCAACGCTCCCCATCCAACCTGACAGAGCTTGAGAGGATCTGTAGAGAAGAAGGGGAGAAACTCCCCAAATACAGGTGTGCCAAGCTTGCAGCGTCATACCCAAGAAGACTCAAGGCTGTAATCGCTGCCAAAGGTGCTTCAACAAAGTACTGAGTAAAGGGTCTGAATACTTATGTAAATGTTATATTTCTGTTTTTTATTTTTAATATATTTGCAAACATTTCTTGTGTGTAGTTTGATGAGGAAAAAAACTATTTAATAAATTGTAGAATAAGGCTGTAACGTAACAAAACGTGGAAATAGTCAAGGGGTCTGAATACTTTCTGAATTCACTGTTTATACCTGTGGTATATACACAGTCTCATTGCATTGCATTCACACTTGAACTGCACATTACACACTACACTCTTAAATCTCATACATTTGACAATATATCTGTTTTACAGAGATGCTACTGTGTACTATTACGACACTCGCATGAAAAACATGTAAAACTGTCCTACTCCTTTATGGGGGGGGGGGGCTGCCGTTTCACTGAAAAACGAATGAAGGTTTGTGCCTTTAAGTCCCTATTTGTGACAGTAGTTCCCATACCTGTTTGTGTTACCCAGGCTGGGCTCTTCATTGATAAAGGTGTGAAGACCACCAATGCCAGTGCTGCAGACCCCCGGGAGTACCTGTGTCTGGACAACAACGCCAGGTAAGAATACAGGTCAAACTACATTGCATTTAGAATGCACAGGAAATGTTACGAAAGGGGCGAACTAGTCAGTTTTTCTGTGCTGGTCACACAGAATTAAATTTCGACATGCAGTGATCAATCGTTTGGATCAATCATTGTCTATATACAGTGCTGCTTGAATGTATGTAAACCCTACAGGGCTGGTCATTATTTTGCTATAAAATATTAAAATAAATCCTTATCTAAAGACATTCCAAGTAAATGACAGAAACCAAAAAATATGATATTTGTATTGTTTATTTAACAAAAGTGGTTTATTTAACAGAAACTCAGATTTGATGTGTGCAAAAATATGTGAACCCCTTCCGTCAATAGCTTGTGGCACCTCCATTAGCAGCGATAACTTGGACTAAATGTCTCCTATAGCCAGTAACCAGTCTCTGACATCTGTTTTGAGGGATTTTTGCCCACTCCTCCTTACAGAACTCAGCCAATTGAGTGAGGTTTGAGGGTGTCTGGCATGAACTGCCCGCTTCAGGTCCTGCCACAGCATCTCGATTGGATTTAGGTCAGGACTTTGACTTGGCCAATCCAAAACACAAATCTTCTTTCTCCTGAGCCATTCTTTGGTAGATTTACTTGAATGCTTTGTGTTGTTGTCTTGTTGGAAGACCCATTTTCGGCCCAGCTTTAGCTCCTTGACTGATGGCCTGACGTTCTGTTCAAAAATCTCCTGGTACACCTCAGAATTCATGGTTCCCTTAATCATGTGGAGTCGTCCAGGTCCAGAGGAGGAAAAGCAGCCCCAGATCTTGACATTCCCACCACCATGCTTGACTGTTGGGAAAAGGTTATTTTGGTGGTAGGCGTATTGGGTTTTCGCTAAACATAGCAGTGTTGATTGTGACCAAAAAGGTCAATTTTGGACTCATCGGTCCAGAGAATGGACTTCCAGAAACCTTCAGGTTTGTCCAGGTGGTCTCTGGCAAAGTTTGGTTATTTTGTGACAGCAGAGGCTTCTTCCTAGCAACCCTCCCATGAATGGCATTTCGATTCAGTGTTCTTATTGTTGAAGCATGCACAGTTACCTGAGATGCAGCAAAGGAGGTCTGCAAATCTCTAGATGTTATGTTTGGGTTGGCTTTTACCTGATTTATTATTGTTCTTGTGGCTCTTGGGGATATTTTGGAATGGCGTCCACATCTAGGCTGAGATGCTGTCATGTTAAATGCTCTCCATTTGTAAATTATTTGCCTCACAGTGGACTGATGGAGCTCAAATATTTTTGAGATGATTTTATAGCCTTCCCCAGACTGATGTGCTCTCACTACCCTCGTCCTGATGTCCTCTGAGATCTCCTTTCCTCTCTGCATGGTGTGCTTTGCATTCACCTGGATGGGTAACACCAAACTGACCAGGTTTCTTATCTCTATTTATCAGTCCAGCCCAAACTCTTTCCTAACGCTCTCTCCTTTGATTGGTTCATTTGATAGCTAATTATTTACCCACCTGATTCTACTTACCTACTTGATTTAACCAATGCAACTTGGTTTTCACTTATTTTTGCACCTGTTTTTCTACCACACGCATTATTTCCTCTACACCAACATATGGTATTGGTAAATATAAACCTGTTATGTCAGATCAAAAGGCTGGTTCTGATTTTAAATGAAGATTTCATGGTTAGTATCTATCTGTACAGCACTTAGATGGTCTGTAGTTTATATGGTATGGTCTGTACTGGACTTGGATAGTCTGTACTGGTCTGTACTCTCCTTGTACAGTATTCTGGAGGGTCTGGCAGGTTTGTGTTTACAGACAAAACAAGGCTCCACAGATAGTTTCCACTCTGCAGCAGTCTGTCCAAATACAAGTCTCTGCTTCAACAGATGGAAGGAAAATAGCTTACGCCCTCTAAGACCACTGCCCATGCTGTGTGTGTGTGTTTAGTGGTTGTGTGTGAAGGTGAGGACTGAGATTGTGTGTGTGTAGTGTTTGTCTGTGGGTATTTTCTAAGAGTGTTGTGTGTCAGATCGAGAGTGTATGTGTGTTTCTATACTCATAATACACGTGGATCAGGTTCCGTCCACATGAGAATGCAGACCCAAACCAGCCGCGGGTGGCTGCTCTCATCGACACACTCATCGCCTTTAAGAACAACGACCTCGGAGCCTGGATACGTGGCGGTGACATTACCATTCAGAACTCTGGGTGAGTGCTGTGATGTCATCTCATTGAGCCCATGATGAATGTGGTTACTGTATCATTGTTCATCAATGTGCTGTGCAGTAGTCACATCTCATGGATTCTCTCTTCCATTTCCCTGTATGATTCACAAAGAGAAGAGTGTCTCAGGAGTTACTATAGCAACTTACATTAGAATTAGTAGTTAGCATGCTATGCTAACATATAAACAAGTGGCCATCTCGGATGAGGCAAAGGGCCAGGAGTTCCTCTTTCTCAGTCCTCAAGGCTATGGATGACATTGAACTGGTGACTCCTCCACTGCTGGGTTAGCCCTACTCAGTGGAGCTCTCAAACAGTGCACATCGCAATGCAGAATGAATGATACGTTAATTCTCTCTGGTTATAGATTTGCAGACAATGGGGTGGGACTCTCCTTTGCGAGGTATGTACCAAGGCTCCTGTGTCTGTTTCTACACTTGTGTGTCTGTCTGTACATTCATAACACCCCCACCACCTATACACATACACTTATGCTCAAAAACACATCCTGTCCCTTTCCTCTCCCTCCGTCAGTGACGGTAGTTATCCCAAGGACGAGGGTTCCAGTCAGGAAGTGACTCAGTCTCTGTTTGTGGGAGAGAGCCGGAACCGTGGCTTCAATGGAGGCCAGAACAAGTACTGGGGCCAGGGAGGAGCAGACGGCAAGATGAGGACACTACCCAGGAACAGGTGTGTGTGTGTGAAAGAAATACTGTAATAAAAAAACTGTAGATAGTGTTGGAGAGGTGCATTGCTCTTGGAGGGGAAGTACTGCTTTGACTAACTTCCTGTAATAGGATGAATGGTTTTGCAGTGTTTCAATCACTTCTGTATTTCCTGAAAACCGACTTCCTCCATCCGCGTAGTAAGCCGCCTTTGATAAACAATGACTGAAAGAAAAAAAAATAATCAAAGCGTTGCTTACAGTCGTTTACATTTTAGTCATTTAGCAGACGCTCTTATCCAGTGAGTGCATATATTTTCATACTGGCCCCCTGTGGGAAACGAACCCACAACCCTGGCGTTGCAAGCGCCATGCTCTACCAACTGAACTACAGGGGACTACAGTCATCAATGAGAAATTAGAGTCTGGGAAACAGTCAGTCAGTCACGGAGAACAGTTGCGGAGGAGCACTCGGATCAGGGACAGGGAGCAGGCTGTAACCCACCCACCCACAGTCAGAGCCGGTCCTCTGGCTCGGGTTCATTAAGGTATGTAACGGAAAATGTTTTTAAACGTTTTTTTCAGTAGAAAAAAAAGAGAGAGCATTGAACGTTTATTGGGATGACTCTTGTCCTTGTGGAAGAACTGAGCGATTTCCGCTAGATGGGCCAGCTGCAAAGTCAAAATTGGCTATATTGTAAAACATTCATGAAAACTAAAATGTGCTTTTTGGTCTTAATTTAAGGTTAGGGTGTGGCATTATTGTTAGCAGTGTAGTTAATGTTAAGGTTATGGTTAGGTTTAAAATCAGATTTGATCAAATTAAATGTTGTTTGTCACATGCGCCAAATACAGCAGGTGTAGACCTTACCATTAAATGCTTACGAGCCGTTAACCAACAATGCAGAGTTTAAAAAAAGTAAGAAACATTTGCAAATAGACTAAAGGAAAAATTGTAACACAATAAAATAACAATAACGAGGCTGTATACAAGGGTACCGGTACCGAGTCAATGTGCAGGGGTACGGGTTAGTCGAGGTAATATGTACATTTAGGTAGGGGTAAAATGACTATGCATAGATAATAAACAGAATAGCAGCAGCGTATGTGAAGAAATGTGTGTGTGACATCAATATGTGTGTGTGTGTTGTAGTGTCAGTGTAATATGTGTGTGGTAGAGTCCAGTGAGTGTACATCAAGCCTGTGAAAGAGAGTCGGTGCAAAAAATATATAATAAATACGATTAAAATAAGGCGGTCAATGCAAATAGTCCGGGTAGCCATTTGATTAACTATTCAGCAGTCTTATGACTTGGGGGTAGAAGCTGTTAAGGAGCCTTTTATAGAGGTCCTGGATGGCAGGAAGCTCGGCCCCAGTGATGTACTGGGCTGTACTCACTACCCTCTGTAGCGCCTTGAGGTCGGATGCAGAGCAGTTGCCATACCAAGCAGTGATGCAACCAGTCAGGATGCTCTTGATGGTGCAGCTGTCGAACGTTTTGAGGATCTGAGGACCCATGCCAAATCTTTTCAGCCTCCTGAGGGGGAATAGGCGTTGTGTGCCCTCTTCACAACTATCTTGTTGTGGACCATGATCGATCCTTATTGATGTGGATACCAAGGATCCTGAAGCTCTCGACCAGATCCTCTACAGCCCTGTCGATGTAAATGGGGACGTACTCGGTCCTCCTTTTCCTGTAGTCCACGATCAGCTCCTTTGTCTTGCTCACGTTGAGGGAGAGGTTGTTGTCCTGGCACAACACTGTCAGGTCTCTGGCCTCCTCCCTATAGGCTGTCTTATCGTCATCGGTGATCAGGCCTACCACCGTCGTGTCGTTGGCAAACTTAATGATGGTGTTGGAGTCGTGCGTGGCCACGCAGTCATGGGTGAACAGAGAGTACTGGAGGGGACTAAGCACGCACCCCTGAGGGGCCACCGTGTTGAGGGTCAGCGTGGTGGATGTGTTGTTGCCTACCCTCACCACCTGGGGACGGCCCGTCTGGAAGTCCAGGATCCAGTTGCAGAGGAAGGTGTTCAGTCCCAGGGTACTTCGCTTAGTGATAAGCTTGGAGGGCACTATGGTGTTGAACGCTGAGCTGTAATCAATTAACAGCATTCTCAGGTAGGTGTTCCTTTTGTATTACAGACTGGGTCAGGGAGAGGTTGAAAATGTCAGTGAAGACACTTGCCCGCTGGTCAGTGCATGCTCTGAGTACGCAACAGCTGGTGCTCTCATGCATTGTTCAGTGTTGCTTGCCTCGACGCGAGCATAGAAGGCTTAATTGTCTGGGAGGCCCACGTCACTGGACAGCTTGCGGCTGGGTTTCCCTTTGTAATCGGGATAGTTGGCAAACTCTGCCACATCCGACGAGCGTCAGAGCCGGTGTAGTAGGATTCGATCTTAGTCCTGTATTGATGCTTTGCCTGTTTGTTGGTTCGGCGGAGGGCGTAATGGGATTTCGTATAAGCGTCCGGATTAGTGTCCCGCTCCTTGAAAGGGTCAGCTCTAGCCTTTAGCTCAGTGCAGATGTTGCCTGTAATCCATGGCTTCTGGTTGGGATATGTACGTACAGTTGAAGTCAGAAGTCATTAAAACTTGTTTTTCAACCACTCCACAAATTTCTTGTTAACAAACTATAGTTTTGGCAAGTCGGTTAGGACATCTACTTTGTGCATGACACAAGTCATTTTTCCAACAATTGTTTACAGACATATTATTTCACTTATAATTCACTGTTTCACAATTCCAGTGGGTCAGACATTTACATACACTAAGTTGACTGTGCCTTTAAACAGCTTGGAACATTCCAGAAAATCATATCATGGCTTTAGAAGCTTCTGATAGGCTAATTGACATAATTTGAGTCAATTGGAGGTGTACCTGTGGATGTATTGCAAGGCCTACCTTCAAACTCAGTGCCTCTTTGCTTGACATCATGGGAAAATCTAAAGAAATCAACCAAGACCTCAGAAAAAAAATGGTAGACCTCCACAAGTCTGGTTCATCCTTGGGAGCAATTTCCAAACGCCTGAAGGTACCACGTTCATCTGTACAAACAATAGTATGCAAGTATAAACACCATGGGACCACGCAGCCGTCATACCGCTCAGGAAGGAGACGTGTTCTGACTCCTAGAGATGAACGTACTTTGGTGCGAAAAGTGAAAATCAATCCCAGAACAACAGCAAAGGACCTTGTGAAGATGCTGGAGGAAACAGGTACAAAAGTTTCTATATCCACAGAAAAACTAGTCCTATATCGACATAACCTGAAAGGCTGCTCAGGAAGGAAGAAGCTACTGCTCCAAAACCGCCATAAAAAAGCCAGACTACGGTTTGCAACTGCACATGGGGACAAAGATTGTACTTTTTGGAGAAATGTCCTCTGGTCTGATGAAACAATAGATCTGAATAGAACTGTTTGGTCATAATGACCATTGTTATATTTGGAGGAAAAAGGGGGTTGCTTGCAAGCCGAAGAACACCATCCCAACCGTGAAGCACGGGGGTGGCAGCATCATGCTGTGGGGGTGCTTTGCTGCAGGAGAGACTGGTGCACTTCACAAAATAGATGGAATCATGAGGAAGGAAAATTATGTGGATATATTGAAGCAACATCTCAAGACATCAGTTCGGAAGTTAAAGCTTGGTTGCAAATGGGTCTTCCAAATGGACAATTGCCCCAAGCATACTTCCAAAGTTGTGGCAAAATGGCTTAAGGACAACAAAGTCAAGGTATTGGCGTGGCCATCACAAAGCCCTGACCTCAATCCTATAGAACATTTGTGGCTGGATGTTCTTTGGGTTGTGGACCATTTTTGATACACACAGGAAACTGTTGAGCGCGAGAAACTTAGCAGTGTTGCAGTTCTTGACACAAACCGGTGCGCCTGACACCTACTACCATACCCCGTTCAATGGCACTTAAATATTTTGTCTTGTCCATTCACACTCTTAATGGCACACATACACAATCCCATGTCTCAATTGTCTCCAAGGCTTCTTCAACCTGTCTCCTCCCCTTCAGCTACACTGATTGAAATGGATTTAACAAGTGACATCAATAAGGGATCATAGCTTTCACCTGGTCAGTCTGTCATGGAAAGAGCAGGTGTTCTTAATGTTTTGTACACTCAGTTTAGATGCCTTGGATCAGCTGATCCTGTCTTGAATGTAACGTGACATTTGTGGAAGTTCCATGTTTTGTTTGTGTTAGCTCGTTGTGACTATAGTTCATGTTTGTTGTGTGACTCTCACACTGATTTTCCAAAGGACGTTCCCGATCCGCGGCTTCCAGATCTACGACGGTCCTGTGCGGATCACCCAGAGCACGTTCCGAAATTACATCCCAACGACGGAGCGTTTCACCAGTGCGGTGGGCTTCAACCTAAAGAACACCTGGCAGCTCACGCCTCGCAACAACCTGTCCAAGCTCAGCTTCCAGCCCACTGTGAGTAACTAGCACATCACTCCACCTTTCATCCTGGAAGTGCACACTCATTCTCTGCCCCTCATACATTGAAAAGCATTGAATTGGTGCAAGCACGGTGGAGGGAGTTTCTGCCGTATTCCTTACACCAGTGAGTGCTTTCCTTTTAAATCCATGAGGGGGAGTTTATGAGTGCACACTTCGGGAGAAGGGCCATTGCCTCTTCTCTCTTGTTCTCAAATACTGACGTAATAATGATGTTACGAAAAATAAGTCTGATAAGAATATGTGTGATAATTATATCCGGACTCTGGTCCGGAAGCTAAATTCCTGCAATTCCATCCATTTTGCCATGGGGTTTTGTACTATGTATTTAAATACTGTATTCTAATATTTCTACTACTGTACATTGCATTTTAGTTTTTTTATTGATTTATTTCACCTTTATTTAACCAGGTAAGCCAGTTGAGAACAAGTTCTCATTTACAACTGCGACCTGGCCAAGATAAAGCAAAGCAGTACGATTAAAAACAACAACACAGAGTTACATATGGGGTAAAACAAAACATAAAGTCAAAAAAATACAACAGAAAATACAGTGGGGAAAAAAGGTATTTAGTCAGCCACCAATTGTGCAAGTTCTCCCACTTAAAAAGATGAGAGAGGCCTGTAATTTTCATCATAGGTACACGTCAACTATGACAGACAAATTGAGGAAAAAAAATCAAGAAAATCACATTGTAGGATTTTTAATGAAGTTATTTGCAAATTATGGTGGAAAATAAGTATTTGGTCACCTACAAACAAGCAAGATTTCTGGCTCTCATAGACCTGTAACTTCTTCTTTAAGAGGCTCCTCTGTCCTCCACTCGTTATCTGTATTAATGGCACCTGTTTGAACTTGTTATCAGTATAAAAGACACCTGTCCACAACCTCAAACAGTCACACTCCAAACTCCACTATGGCCAAGACCAAAGAGCTGTCAAAGGACAGCAGAAACAAAATTGTAGACCTGCACCAAGCTGGGAAGACTGAATCTGCAATAGGTAAGCAGCTTGGTTTGAAGAAATCAACTGTGGGAGCAATTATTAGGAAATGGAAGACATACAAGACCACTGATAATCTCCCTCGATCTGGGGCTCCTCGCAAGATCTCACCTCGTGGGGTCAAAATGATCACAAGAACGGTGAGCAAAAATCCCAGAACCACACGGGGGGACCTAGTGAATGACCTGCAGAGAGCTGGGACCAAAGTAACAAAGCCTACCATCAGTAACACACTACGCCGCCAGGGACTCAAATCCTGCAGTGCCAGACGTGTCCCCCTGCTTAAGCCAGTACATGTCCAGGCCCGTCTGAAGTTTGCTAGAGTGCATTTGGATGATCCAGAAGAGGATTGGGAGAAAGTCATATGGTCAGATAAAACCAAAATATAACTTTTTGGTAAAAACTCAACTCGTCGTGTTTGGAGGACAAAGAATGTTGAGTTGCATCCAAAGAACACCATACCTACTGTGAAGCATGGGGGTGGAAACATCATGCTTTGGGGCTGTTTTTCTGCAAAGGGACCAGGACAACTGAACCGTGTAAAGGAAAGAATGAATGGGGCCATGTATCGTGAGATTTTGAGTGAAAACCTCCTTCCATCAGCTAGGGGATTGAAGATGAAACGTGGCTGGGTCTTTCAGCATGACAATGATCCCAAACACACCGCCTGGGCAACGAAGGAGTGGCTTCGTAAGAAGCATTTCAAGGTCCTGGAGTGGCCTAGCCAGTCTCCAGATCTCAACCCCATAGAAAATCTTTGGAGGGAGTTGAAAGTCTGTGTTGCCCAGCGACAGCACCAAAACATCACTGCTCTAGAGGAGATCTGCATGGAGGAATGGGCCAAAATACCAGCAACAGTGTGTGAAAACCTTGTGAAGACTTACAGAAAACGTTCGACCTGTGTCATTGCCAACAAAGGGTATATAACAAAGTATTGAGAAACTTTTGTTATTGACCAAATACTTATTTTCCACCATAATTTGCAAATAAATTCATTAAAAATCCTACAATGTGATTTTCTGGAATTTATTTTCTTATTTTGTCTGTCATAGTTGACGTGTACCTATGATGAAAATTACAGGCCTCTCTCATCTTTTTAAGTGGGAGAACTTGCACAATTGGTGGCTGACTAAATACTTTTTCCCCCACTGTATATATACAGTGTGTGCAAATGTAGCAAGTTATGGAGGTAAGGCAATAAATAGGCTATAGTGCAAAATAATTACAATTAGTATTAACACTGGAATGATAGATGTGCAAGAGATTATGTGCAAATTGAGATACTGGGGTGCAAATGAGCAAAATAAATAATAATATAGGGATGAGGTAGTTGGGTGGGCTAATTTCAGATGGGCTGTGTACAGGTGCAGTGATCGGTAAGGTGCTCTGACAACTGATGCTTAAAGTTAGTGAGGGAGATAAGTCTCCAGCTTCAGAGATTTTTGCAATTCGTTCCAGTCATTGGCAGCAGAGAACTGGAAGGAATGGCGGCCAAAGGAGGTGTTGGCTTTGGGGATGACCAGTGAGATATACCTGCTGGAGCGCATACTACGGTTGGGTGTTGCTATAGTGACCAATGAGCTAAAATAAGGTGGGGATTTGCCTAGCCCTGATTTATAGACGGCCTGGAGCCAGTGGGTTTGACGACGAACATGTAATGAGGACCAGCCAACAAGAGCGTACAGGTCACTGTGGTGGATAGTGTATGGGGCTTTGGAGACAAAACGGATGGCACTGTGATAGACTACATCCAATTTGCTGAGTAGAGTGTTGGAGGCTATTTTGTAAATGACATCGCCGAAGTCAAGGATCGGTAGGATAGTCAGTTTAACGAGGGCATGTTTGGCAGCATGAGTGAAGGAGGCTTTGTTGCGAAATAGGAAGCCGATTCTGGATTTAACTTTGGATTGGAGATTCTTAATGTGAGTCTGGAAGGAGAGTTTAGTCTAACCAGACACCTAGGTATTTGTAGTTGTCCACATACTCTAGGTCAGACCCGTCGAGAGTAGTGATTCTAGTCGGGTGGGCGGGTGCCAGCAGCGTTCGATTGAAGAGCATGCATTTAGTTTTACTAGTGTTTAAGAGCAGTTGGAGGCTACTGAAGGAGTGTTGTATGGCGTTGAAGCTCGTTTGGAGGTTTGTTAACACAGTGTCCAATGAAGCGCCACGTATATTCCAAATGGTGTCGTCTGCGTAGAGGTGGATCTGAGAGTCACCAGCAGCAAGAGCGACATCATTGATATACACGGAGAAAAGAGTCGGCCCAAGAATTGAACCTTGTGGCACCCCCATAGAGACTGCCATAGGTCCAGACAACAGGCCCTCCGATTTGACACACTGAACTCTATCTGAGAAGTAGTTGGTGAACCAGGCGAGGCAGTCATTTGAGAAACCAAGGCTATTTAGTCTGCCAATAAGAATGCGGTGGTTGACAGAGTCGAAAGCCTTGGCCAGGTCAATGAAAACGGCTGCACAGTACTGTCTATTATCGATCGCGGTTATACTATCGTTTAGGACCTTGAGCGTGGCTGAAGTGTACCCATGACCAGCTCGGAAACCGGATTGCATAGCGGAGATGGTACGGTGGGATTCGAAATGGTCGGTGATCTGTTTGTTAACTTGGCTTTCAAAAACTTTCGAAAGGCAGGGCAGGATGGATATGGGTCTGTAACAGTTTGGATCTAGAGTGTCACCCCCTTTGAATAGGGGGATGACCGCGGCAGCTTTCCAATCTCTGGGGATCTCAGACATTACGAAAGAGAAGTTGAACAGGCTAGTAATAGGGGTTGCGACAATTTCGGCGGCTAGTTTTAGAAAGAAAGGGTCCAGATTGTCTAGCCCAGCTGATTTATAGGGGTCCAGATTGTGCAGCTCTTTCAGAACATCAGCTGTTTCAGAACATCAGCTGTCTGATGATAGTTACACTGTTTATGCACACCATTTATGTATTTATATATATATATATATATATATATATATATATATTTATTTATTACTGGATTTTTTACATAGCTCACCCTATATCATTCTTAGTATATTCATCCGGTGTATACAGTTGAAGTCGAAAGTTTACATACACTTAGATTGGAGCCATTAAAACTCGTTTTTAAATTTTTTGTCATTTAGCAGACGCTCTTATCCAGAGCGACTTACAGTTAGTGAGTGCATACATTTTCATACTGGCCCCCCGTGGGAATCGAACCCACAACCCTGGCGTTGCAAGTGCCATGCTCTACCAACTGAGCTACAGGAGGTTTTTCAACCACTCCACACATTTCTTGTTTTCAAACTATAGCTTTGGCAAGTCGGTTAGGACATCTACTTTGTGCATGACACAAGTAATTTTTCCAACAATTGTTTACAGACAGATTATTTCACTTATAATTCACTGTATCACAATTCCAGTGGATCAGAAGTTTACATACACTAAGTTGACTGTGCCTTTAAACAGCTTGGAAAATTCCAGAAAATGATGTCATGGCTTTAGAAGCTTCTGAAATGCTAATTGACATCATTTGAGTCAATTGGAGGTGTACCTGTGGATGTATTTCAAGGCCTACCTTCAAACTCAGTGCCTCTTTGCTTGACATCATCATGGGAAAATGAAAAGAAATCAGCCAAGACCTCAGAAAAAGAATTGTAGACCTCCAGAAGTCTGGTTCATCCTTGGGAGCAATTTCCAAACGCCTGAAGGTACCACGTTCATCTGTACAAACAATAGTACACAAGTATAAACACCATGGGACCACGCAGCCGTCATACCGCTCAGGAAGGAGACGCGTTCTGTCTCCTCGAGATGAACGTACTTTGGTGCGAAAAGTGAAAATCAATACCAGAACAACAGCAAAGGACCTTGTGAAGATGCTAGAGGAAACAGGTACAAAATGATCTTGATCCACAGTAAAACGAGTCCTATATCGACATAACCTGAAAGGCCGCTCAGCAAGGAAGAAGCCACTGCTCCAAAACCGCCATAAAAAAGCCAGACTACGGTTTGCAACTGCACATGGGGACAAAGATCGTACTTTTTGGAGAAATGTTTGGCCATAATGACCATTGTTATGTTTGGAGGAAAAAGGGGGTTGCTTGCAAGCCGAAGAACACCATCCCAACCGTGAAGCATGGGGGTGGCAGCATTATGCTGTGGGGGTGCTTTGCTGCAGGAGGGACTGGTGCACTTCACAAAATAGCTGGCATCATGAGGAAGGAAAATTATGTGGATATATTGAAGCAACATCTCAAGACATCAGTCAGAAAGTTAAAGCTTGGTCGCAAATGGGTCTTCCAAATGGACAATGACCCCAAGCATACTTCCAAAGTTGTGGCAAAATGGCTTAAGGACAACAAAGTCAAGGTATTGGAGTGGCCATCCCAAAGCCCTGACCTCAATCCTATAGAAAATTTGTGGGCAGAGCTGAAAAAGCGTGTGTGAGCAAGGAGGCCTACAAACCCAGCTTGTGGAAGGCTACCCTACACGTTTGACCCAAGTTATACAATTTAAAGGCAATGCTACCAAAAACTTCTGTCCCACTGGGAATGTGATGAAATAAATAAAAGCTTAAATAAATAATTATCTCTACTATTATTCTGACATTTCACATTCTTAAAATAAAGTGGTGATCCTAACTGACCTAAAACATGGAATGTTTACTACGATTAAATGTCAGGAATTGTGAAAAACAGAGTTTTTAAATGTATTTTGCTAAGGTGTATGTAAACTTCCGACTGTATACGTACAGATTGCATTACTGTTACAGTGCTATTTGGATTCATTGGATTTGTTCCGACATTTAAAGATTTCAATTTGTAATTGTTTTATTATTATTTGTATTATTTGTTTGACATTTTACTGCATTGTTTGGAGCTAGGAACATAAGCATTTATCTGCATCCACTATAACATTTTCTTCACTGTGTACGTGACCAATAAACTTTTATTTGATACGATTTGATTTGATAAAGGTTACTGACTGAAACATTAGTGTCTATGGAATTTTCCTTTGCCAAATCAGGCAAAATAACCATCTGAAACTTCTGTCTGCTTGTTTGCACATTGTCATAATTCTGTTCTGATGGACCTAGTTTAGATTCTGTGCCTCCTGTGTTTACATTGACAGCTTTGATTTTGAAGTGCAGGGATCAGACACTGTTTTCCTGCATGCTCTCTTTCCCTCCGTCTGTTTCCTTTTTGCCTGTTGGTTCTGTTGTCCTGCAACACAACAGAGAGCTCAGAGTTACTGAGTTGGCACTTTACTGGAACTAGTGGTGGGGTGGAGACCCCATGCTGAGAGATGGGGAGAGCGAGGGGGAGGTTCTTGATGAAAGTCATTCTGAATTGGAGTGCCCTCTAGTGTCGGGGATGTGGTGACAAGCTCAACTCAATTTTTCAAGCTTGACTCAACTCAAAATATCCCTTTTCAAAATGGCTTTTAAGGACTTCTGTTGAACGCTCTTCTCTGACACCTGGGTTGAATTCATTAGGAACGTTTTGCTACGGTCTATATTAATGAAACAACCTTAACATACATTCAATCAAATGTATTTATAAAGCCCTTTTTACATCAGCAGATGTCACGAAGTGCTATACAGAAACTCAGCCTAAAACCCCAAACAGCAAGCAATGCAGATGTAGAAGCACGGTGGCTAGGAAAAACTCCCTAGAAAGGCAGAAACCTAGGAAGAAACCTAGAGATGAACCAGGCTCTGAGGGGTGGCCAGTCCCCTTCTGGCTGTGCCAGATTATAACAGTACATGGCCATTAAGGTCAGTACATGGCCATTAAGGTTACGTTTTTGTCCAAGATGTTCAAACGTTCATAGATGAGCAGCAGGGTCAAATAATAATCACAGCGGTTGTAGAGGTTGCAACAGGTCGGTACATCAGGAGTAAATGTCACTTGGCTTTTCATAGCCTGGCATTTAGAGGTTGAAATAGCAGGTGCGGTAGAGAGAGAGAGTTGAAAACAGCAGGTCTGGGACAAGGTAGCACGTACGTCAGGGTTCCATAGCCGCAGGCAGAAGAGTTGAAACTGGAGCAGCAGCACGACCAGGTGGACTGGGGACAGCAAGGAGTCATCAGGCCAGGTAGTCCTGAGTCATGGTCCTAGGGCTCAACTCTCAAATACTGTAGACCTACAAGATCAAAGTTAGGAAACCTGCACACCAAATTGCGCGTCATCACTTTCTAGGCCATACATATCTTTGTTAGTCGCTGGTTGTGTTATGTCTGTCTTTTTAAACCTATTGTCTGTGACAGGTGGGTCTGAGGGCATTCTTCGGGCGTCCGGGCCAGTGGTTCGAAGAGAATGATCTGGACGGGGATAAGAACTCTATCTTCCATGACGTGGACGGCTCTGTGACGGGCTACAGGGACACGTATGTGGGCAGAGCAGACAACTACCTGATCCGTCACCCCGGCTGTGTCAACGTCACCCAGTGGAACGGAGTGGTCTGCAGTGGCACCTATTCTCAGGTACGGATGGGACAGTGGCCCTAATGCCTATCACCATTGACTTTATTCATTGCTTAGGATATACAATGCATAGAAGTGACCAAACTCTATTGGTCAATCATTTTCTAATGTGTGTCCTCCAGGTGTATATCCAGACCCAGGGAGCTCGCAGCCTCAGTCTGTCCATCAGTAGAGATGAGTACCCCGAGGCTCCTCTGGTGCTGAGGGGTATTAACAGCCAGGGGGCGCTGTCCCAGCAGTACCAGCCTATCCTCATGATGAGCAAGAGCTACACCCTGCACTGGGACGGCCCTGCTCCCAGAGAGATTGTCCTTTCCCTCATAAACTTCAACCAGTGAGTGGCACACTGGGACTTGTGTGTGTGTGTGTGTGTGTGTGTGTGTGTGTGTGTGTGTGTGTGTGTGTGTGTGTGTGTGTGTGTGTGTGTTTTAAGGTGGTTGGTCTGGGGGTTGTTTGTCCACATTGAAACTGGTCTTGGTCTCGTAGCGGTCTCGATACACTGGATCTGGGTCTGGAGGTCTCTTTTTTTTCTACTGTGTGTTTGAATGTGTGTGCGATAAGAGGATATGTTTGTCAGTTCGTAAGCCAGATCTCTAACCTTCATTGTCACCTGTTGGCTCCTCCTCTCTCTCCAGAGGTGACTGGGTGCTGGTGGGTCTCTGCTACCCACCCGACACCACCTTCCAGGTCATGGCTGACATCAATGACCGCCAGAGCAACATCTTCGACGACATCACCGACTATGGGCCTGTGTTTTCCCTCGCCGAACTGGAGAAGAGGCTGCTGGAGAGGAAGTACTTCTTTGACCGCAGTGTGGGGTGAGACAGTCACTATACCCTAATGTCTCTCTATCCATATGGCTATATCTACTATAGCTCTCTCTCCCTCTATAATTTTTACTTAGTCATACATTGAATTGAAGTAAATAGGAGACTAACATTTTTAAGTGAACATTTTGCTTACGTTAGGATTCGCCCCTCTGTCTGTCTCGCTCTCCCGCACCACTCTCTCGATTGACACCGGCCTCTCCTCTCCCAGCTTGCTGTGGCTGTATTTGCGGGCGAGGCAGAGGCGCGATGGCCACAGTTACTGCTCGGTTAAGGGCTGTGAGAGAGTGAAGGTGATGGCCAGCACATCGTCCTCCAAACTGACCTGTAACTGCACAGCCAAGGCCTACCCCAAATACGCCAAGACTCCCTCGGCAGTGGTCGCCATGCCCACCCTCAGCACCCAACCATGCAGGGACTGTGGTGCCTCCCAGGTTAGCCTACTAGCCCCCCACATTGTCTTTGTTCCATTAGTATGCAATTCTATTGGAAAAGGAATGAGTTCATGTTGTGTTATCTGACATAAAAGCCCAGCTTTAATCTGTGTGTTTTCTGGTAGCTGGTGTTTTCCAGTGACCCGTGGAACTCCTACCTCCAAACTCAGATCAAATCGCTCAGCAGCAAGGAGCAGCAGAGTGGCGACACACAGTCCTTTATCACTGTGAGTGCCACAGATTTTAAATATAACAAAGTATTACATTATCTCTTGGTCAGTACAGTGTCCCGGTGTCACAGAATCACAGTGTGCATAATGACTGTTGTTTGCATGTTGTTGGTGTGCTGCTGTTGTTTAACTTCCATCAAACAGCCATTATAAATGTTTATGAATGGAATACTCATTTATTAATAGTATGCACACTATTGATAAATACAAAAGCACCACCCATGTTTTTAATCGGTTTGTGGTTGTAGCACGCCAGCGTATCTCTTACCCACTTTTCTACAACACCTTCTCTCAGGTGAACAGTGAGACATTCTCCTTCACACAGCCAGGCATCTTCCTGGTCTCTGTTGACGCCTGCTCTGGAAAAGTCACAAAGAAGTCATCTTTCCCCAAAATGGACCCCAAAATGGAGCAGTATCTTAAAACTGGATTACCAAAGAGGTGAGGGGGAAGAATTAGGCCCTTGCTGGTTGGTTTGATCAGGCGTTTGACTTGATGGTGAATCGATGAATCATAATTGGTTATATTTTCTCATGACTAGGTCTATAGTGCTTCTGGGAACACGAGGGCAGCCCGATGGCTTGGTCAGTGTTGCACGATATCTTGTCCCCCTGGGCATGGCTAAGGCAGCAGATCTGCAGGGTAAAGGTAGGTGTCACTCTCAAATGGTTCCCTCTCGCGGTTGCTATTACTGTAGGCCAGGTCTGGTTTTTCTATACAATTCTCTGTATCTCGTGACAGTTTTTTTCCTCTTTCATTCCTCTTCCTGCTGTCTCTCTTAACTATGTATTTTCTCTGCGACGTATACTTTTTCTTCTTTCTCTGCTCACCTCATTACAGTATTTTCCACATGACACTGTGTTTCTCTCACAGAGAGCCTGGTGTTTTGGGGGTTCCAGGGTGGCTCTGCCCCCCCTCCGTGGGCCTCCATCCTGGTTGGGCAGGGTGAGGAGGGGCTGGGGCTGCAGGAGCGCTACCTCCCCTTGGGCCTGGAGGCCTACGGCTGCACACAGCCCAGCACACGCAGAGACCTGGAGCTACTGAGGGCCGCCACAGGACCACAATGACAAATGTGAACACAATTTACCCAAAACACAACCAACCAGCAAATGAATGTGAACTGCTGAACTTTTATTTATTATTTTATTGGCAAAGATATTTACTATTTTGGGGGTTAATTTAGTGTGTGAGTGAGTGAGTGTGTGTGTGTGTGTGTGTGAGTTATATTTGAACAAATTAGAACTGGGAATAAACGGGGATGGACCCAGAATGGAACTATACGAGCAAATTAACAAATTAAGTAACCACATCAAACTTGTGTGGTCTGTCACTTCTATCCAGTTCCCCCTGATGGGTTTTTGGCTCAGGCCAGCGTTTGACCTGTCTGCTGCTCACCACATCCATAGATGAAACACATAATTAAGAAGGAAACTGAAAAAGCAAACCAAAGGAAAAACACTCACTATTACACACTTTCTTTTTTTTTCTTATGTCTGTTTCCTCGCTCACTTTTTTCTGCTGTTTTTGCACGTCCCAGGGGGCATTTTGTTCAGCGACTTGATCTGTTAAGGGCAGCTGTATTATAATGAAAACATTTTGTATGGGATTCCGTTGAGATTGTTGTGTTTCCAACAAACCTTTTTTCCCAGGATGTGTCCTTTTTTGTTCCATATTTATTTGATCTCTACACAGTGCCACTTTCCCCTAGGGCTGGCTATGTGTGTAGCAGAGATGGATTGTTTCTCTTTTTCTACTAATTTACCTTTTAGTATGGCCATGTATGTTGTTTATTACATATAAATGCCAAAAGTATGTGTTTCAGGGGGACATTTTACAAGGTGAACATAGCCTTAACACGAACACAGATTAGTAGTCCATACCAAAACCAAGGCTTACTGTACCTCTGTGGCCTCAGCAGGTGATTTGAGCAGGGCTCCCCCACTGTGCTGGTGATTAGTAACTTTCTGTATGTGATTGGGTGCATTCATTTCAGCTCGCCCGGTGAAGATTTCACTTTAGGATCTAAGAAATAGACAAAAATGTGCAAACTCCACCTACACAGTGCCCTGGACGAGCTAAAATTAATGCAACCATTGTGAGAGATCCTCCAAAGAAAAGGATTTGCTTTTTAACCACTGTACTGTTGTAAATAAGAGTTTCTTTGTTATGCAACATTTTTTTCTCCCTCAATGCTTTTAAGATTCACTCTCCAAATTGAGCTCTTTGAAAAGGAATTAGTGTTTTAAAAGTGTTGGTGGTGTGGATGAAAATATTGAGAAGCAGTCAATGGTGTGTGTGTGTATACTGTGTGAGAGTGCCTTTCAATTTGGGGTGAGTTGTATTTGAAATGTTGAATCACTATACTCATGACAGTTTATTTCTTTAATCAAACCTTTTATATTTGAATTCTCACATCGTCAGTGCTCTTCTGAAATTGCAGAGATGATAACTTTGTGATGAAGTGTCCTGTCATCATTGTCTTGTCATTATTTTTGCTGATGTATTCAACAAAATCAAGGATGCCTCTAGGATGACTTAATGTTATGCACAAAGGAATCAGATTACTGAAATCTCGGATCTAGCCAATGAGACTAATGGGGCAGCTGTATAGAGTAGACTTGGGTTATAGATGGCAAGAAAGGTTTGGTAGGGAGACGATCAAGAACAGTTCATTTCTAAAGATGTACTGCTATTTTACAATCTTACCACTTGGTGGTAGGCTTGTACCAATAGTTAGGAAGTCCTATCTAGCCTAAACCCATTACATTTTACATTTGAGTCATTTAGCAGAAGCTCTTACCCAGAGCGACTTACAGTTAGTGAGTGCATAATTTTTTTCTTCTTCTCATACTGGCCCCCCGTGGGAATCGAACCCACAACCCTGGCGTTGCAAGTGCCATGCTCTACCAACTGAGCTACACGGGACCTACCATGCCATCAATCTGTAACATGTGTTTTCATGCTGCAGATGTAATATGAAATTCCTATGAGAACTGACATAAAGACTTATTGTGGGATCATTCATTGTTCAAAGCAGTATTCTGAACCTTTGAATACATATTGGCCAATTATTTTTGAAGGTTTCATATATATATGTATTTTAAATGTCTTTATTTTTACCCCCTTTTTCGATCTTGTCTCATTGCTGCAACTCCCCAACGTCTCGGGAGGCGAAGGTTGAGTCACACATCCTCCGAAACATTACCCGCCAAACCGCGCTTCTTAACACCCGCACCAATGTGTCGGAGCCAACACTGTTCAACTGACGACCGAGGTCAGCCTGCAGGCACCTGGCCCGCCACACGAAGTCGCTAGAGTGCGATGAGCCAGGTAAACCCCCCCGACGCTGGGCCAATTGTGCGCCACCCTATAGGACTCCCAATCACAGCCGGTTGTGATACAGCCTGGGATTGAACCCAGGTCTGTAGTGACGCCTCTAGCACTGCACCACTCAGGAGGCCAAAGTTTTAATATTTTAATGATAGTAGGAAAGGAGAGAGGAAGAAACGTGGTAGAGCGGCAAGAGGCCGAGACGGGGCTTGAACTCCCCCGTCGCCAGCGCTACCACTAGACCATTGAAATCAATGCTATATACCTGCATTGGTTCACAAGTCACAGTCATTTGACCTGCATAAGTGTGGCACACAGAGAGAGAGGATCTCTGGCTGAACTGGTCATGGCTGCCAATCCATAAATAAGCTTAATTTGTGATTGATGGGTCCTGCTATATTTCAAGCATTTATCAGAAGCTCTTATCCAGAGTGACTTACAGTTTTGTACTTGTCCCCCGTGGGAACCGAACCCACAACCCCAGCATTGCAAGCACCATGCTCTATCAACTTGTCACACAGGAGCCGTGCTACTACTGTGACTGTGTAGTCAAGACAGAGTTGTCATATTATCTTAAATTTACTCAAAGAATCTCAGTGAAAATGTGACAATTGGACTGGCAGACGTTATGATTGTACAGATATGTTTTGAGCCTCTAGGTATATGATAAAATATTATTATTATTATTATATAAAATAGACTAGATAACATCTCGAAATCATTTTAGGAGAAAAACATTAGCCAATTAAAAGATGATAAACCTATCCGTCTACAAACAGGCGAGGTGGCCTCTACAGAATGAGCACTATAAAAGAAAACATACAAAGCATTGGGAATTGGTTTCGCTTCATGCATTAGTCTGAAATAAACATTGAGAAAAATGTGTTATGCTTTTAGAAAGTTTGTAACTGGCTTTGGATCCCCATAGGTCTATGCTTTGGATGTGTAAGGCAGTCTACTTCAATTGAAAATAACTCCTGAGGTTTAGCCTACAATTTATATTACGGTAGGCCTACACATGATTTGTGGGGTGGGGGGGTGTCTGGAGGTCTGTGCCCGTTCTTTAGGGGCCCCTCTGGAGGTCCATGCCCGTTCGCTAATCTGGCCCTGCAATGATGCCATCATAGTTTTTTATAAGTATTTTTTTAAATCATTACTAGCTTTTTTTGAATAGGAACAAACTGAGGTCAATCTAGCGCCAAATGGCCTTTTTGTCACGTAATTCGTAATTTCTGTCCGCCCATCCGCACACATACATCATCTATAGTTTAGCGCGAACCTCTGATTGCATGAAGAATTTGAGCACTGAATTGTAGGAAGACTGGGGAGCTGAGAGGAGAAGACCAACAACCTCTGGAAAGGTGAAAATATGTAATTTAGCTAGGCAGCTATGTACTTACTGGTTCTTTTCTCTGTAGTAGGGCTTTTGAAGTATTGCAGTTCTCCGTAACTGTCAAAATGGCCACCATTCACAGAAGCAACACCTAGCTGCTGATAATTCGGTCTTCCATTACAATAAGCGCTAAACCTGTGAGTTGAGCGCAGGTGTAGGCCTAAACATTTCATAGGCAGGCTATATTTTGACATTTCCAATACAGCTAGTAGGCTCTATGCCTACAATTGTGTTTTTACTTACTTTTTTGAAAATGTAAATGAGGTAGATCAAATCATTTGTAGTCTAATTGCCCTCCTAATCGTGAATGTTCTGTTGCTAAGGTTCCAATTAGGCTTTTAAATTCAGTGTGAATATAATTAGAGAAAAATACTACATGGTAGTCATGTCACGTGCAAGTTTAAGTGTGTGTTGTTGTGGGCAGCAGCCCCTGCCCACAACAACACATTTGCACTGAAGATTATGCCATGTAGAATACTGTAACACACACACACACACACACAGGCTAGGCCTATACCTACACTCTTAGAAAAAAGGGTTCCAAAAGTGTTATTTTTCTGTCCCCATAGGAGATCCCTTTTTGGTTCCAGGTAGAACTCTTTTGGGTTCCATGTAGAACCCTCTGTGGAAAGGAAATCAAAGGGGTTATACCTGGAACCAAAAAGGGTTCTTCAAAGGGTTCAACTATGGAGAGAGCCGAAGAATCCTTTTTAGGTTCTAGATAGCATCAGAGTGTACCTTGTGGCAACATGGGGTTATCTTTTGTCTTTGCCAGTAAGAAAGGCAACCACATGTTTTATATTAGACTATACACTGATGAATACAGTATTTTAGTCATATAGAAACTACACTATATATACAAACGTATGTGGACTCCCCTTCAAGTTAGTGGATTTGGCTATTTCATCAACAGGTATATAAAATCGAGTACACAGCCATGCAATCTCCATAGACAAACACAGGCAGTAGGATGGCCTTATTGAAGAGCTCAGTGACTTTCAACGTGGCACCGTCATAGGAACTGTTCGTCAGGAGCTTAATGAAATGGGTTTCCATGGCCCAGTAGCCGCATGCAGTGCCAAGCGTCGGCTGGAGTTGTGTAAAGCTCGCCGCCATTGGACTCTGAAGCAGTGGAAACGCGTTCTCTGGAGTGATGAATCACGCTTCACCATCTAGCAGTCTGACGGAACGAATCTGGGTTTGGTGGATGCCAGGAGAATGCTACCTGCCCGAATGCATAGTGCCAACTGTAAAGTTTGGTGGAGGAGGAATAATGGTCTGCGGCTGTTTTTCATGGTTCAGGCTAGCCCCCTTAGTTCCAGTGAAGGGAAATCTTAATGTTAC